AACTTCGAAACATGGATCCAAATGTTCGTGAAAAATTAGAAACCACTAGTCCATTTGTGACAAAACAAACTGAATTCGAATTGTATCAACTGAAAGCTGCTGCTAATCATAGTAAATTAGAAACTGAAAATAGCAAATGGAAATTCTATAGAAAATACAAATTGCATTTTGAAAAGATTTTACGAAATCGAAAATTGAAACAGCAGGCAAAAAAAAATATCGAGCTTGAAATGAATACGAATCCGGAAGTGTTTTGGGAACCATTAATAAACAAAAGTACAACCTTAAACAAAATTACAACATCTTCGAAAATTGTTACTCCACCAGAAGCTGAAAAACCGTCGGAATTGTTAGAATCGATTAAGACAGCAGCGTTCACTTTTTACAACTTTTTCGGTGTCGAGGCTGCTGCTGATTCGCAGGCTGATGTTGCTGCACTCGATGGTAAATTGGACACTGAAAATAGCAAATGGAAATTCTATAGAAAATTCAAATTGCGTTTTGAAAAGATTTTTTTAAATCGAAAATTGAAACAGCAGGCACAAAATAATATCGAACATGAAATGAATACGAATCCGGAACCATTAATAAACGAAAATACAACTTCAAACATTGTTACTCCACCAGAAAAACCGTCGCAATTGTTAGAATCGCTTAAGACAAAAGTGTCCACTTTTTACAACTTTTTCGGTGCCGAAGCTACTGCTGATTCACGGGCACTCGGTAATAACTTGGAGACTCAAAATAGCATTAATAGCAGCATGTTTTTGGAACCATTAATAAACGAAAGTACAACCTTAAGCAAAATGACAACATCTTTGAATATTGTTACTCCACCAGAAGCTGAAAAACCGTCGCAATTGTTAGAATCGATTAAGACAACAGTGTCCACATTTTACAACTTTTTCGGTGCCGAAGCTACTGCTGATGCTGATGGCAACGCACTAACCTAGGGGAGTTATTATCCAATTGATGCTAAATATTCTTGGTTTAAATGTTTCTATTTTATTCCAACTTGAAAAAATTCAAAATTTCTGAACTTCAGCACTATGAATAATAATCATATTAGAATGCAATGCATGAATGGTAGTCATCAATTTCGTAAGCGTTCTACATCGGCCATTGAATCGGGCAATTTTTTACCTTTGGTTTCGGGCAATATAATTGTGACCATACCAGCTGTCAATGTGAATAAGCCAATGACAAGAAATGGAATAGAGTCTCCATACATATTCTTGATGGTAATATATAATGCTTATTAATAATGAAATTAATCGTTCATTTTTGATCACATACCAATCGAAGAAGATATGGAGCTGTCATTGCCGCTATTCGAGCAGCAAATGAACACAATCCGATACCGGTCGTTCGTAATGGTGTAGGAAATATTTCACCCGAATATACAAAAATTAAAGCAAATGATCCTGTAATGCTCATTTTACCCATAATTGCCGTACTCATTTTGATCCATCCTCCTGTTTTAGCAAACGAAGCACCCATACTGCAAAAACCACCCAAAATTAATATGCCAATTAGATAGTATTTCCTGGTTATATTTCCTACATATCCGGCAATGACGACGGCTGGAAATTCAATTATCATGAGCAATACCATTGATAGATAAATGTTCGAATGAATGTCATGAGCTAGAAATGATAAACCAAAATAAACTAATGCATTTGTGAACCATATGAATAAAAATGCTAAAGTCCATAATCGTATTGTTCGATGCTTGAATAGGTCTTGGATTGAGCCTTTTTTTTCTTCATTTTCTTTGCTCTTTGAAGTAATAAAAACATCGAGTATCTCCTTATTCAATGATGGTGTTTTGCTTCCATTCTTTTTTGCTGCAGCCATCATCTGATCCATAGCTTTCACATGCTGACCTGATGAATATTGCCATCTTATGGATTCGGGCATAATACTTTTGAAAAACATTCAAACTCATTAATAGTGTCTGAAAAAAAGCTTAAGATAATGAATCAATTTTCTTACAATGGATATGCTAGCATGATGAGAGCGGGCAACAGGTTAGAAAATTCAATCAGTCTCCAGCGACGAAGCCACCAGGCGCATATGCAAACGTAGATGGCACCCACTGTAAATGATAAGCTAGACAAGATTCCGAGCCAGAATCTCCATTTACCTCCCAAGCATTCCATAGTGATTGCAAATGCCGATTGATAAATAGCAGCTACACATGTTCCTTTAATGAACATTCCAATACCATATAGCCAAATATTTGGCGTTAATGAACTCATTAAAATACATATGACTGTGAGAGGACTATAAATCCTGAATATAAATCGTCTGCCATATCTGATCGATATAATCATCATAAAGGTAATGAGAAAAACAATCGATACATAACATACTTATCGGCAAGAACTCCATTGCTTACAGCTCCAATCAAATTTCCAAAAAAATATAAAACCTGCAATAATTGTACAATCCATTCATTATCACAATATAGCTGAAAATCTGTAACAAATGTTGACTCAAAGTATCGTTGTTCAAATACATAGTTTGAGCAGGTTTGTATTGTTTTACTGTCGAACAAAGATGGGCTACATGATTCGTTTAATGATTTGGATTCTTGATTAAGAATACCATACGAATGACAATCATCGTATCGATGATCACTATCTGAGGTGATAAGCGAATGATCCATTGTTAATGGTATTGCGAATTTCAGAAAAGATTGATTAAAAAATGATGATCCATATTGTTGTGATGAAGAATCTTCGATTACTATTTTACTTATGTTAGAATCGCAATTCGGAATCAAACATCTAATATGGTAAAGCGTATAGGAAATAAAATTGATCAATCTGTAAAAATGAGCCGAATAAAACTTACCGATGTTGAGGAATGTTCGTTGTGAATACCATTGCAGTGCATAAGGTACCGGCAATAAAAATGGGTAATAATGCCATTAAGAATATCTGCCATTGATAGGGACCAATGTGACCCAAATATTTCACCAACATATCATCTATGGTATGTGGTTCAGATCGTTGATGTTGCTGGATCATTATATTAAATTCACACTCGGTTGTAGCTTATACTAATGGTTATTGATTATAAACACTGATGCTAATATGATAATTATTTCTATCTAAATATTGATATTTCAACACTTCTACCATTCACAATAAGAATATTATAATGAAAAAGCAATTATTGATTCCGAATTGTGTAAAAATTTTATGGTAATGAATACCGATCACTTGTTTTTTTTTGCTGACAAAATAAGCAAAAATAATGTTTGCAAAGAATCATGTCTTAAGATCTAAATCGTCATCGAAATAAAATAAAATAAAAATTATTTGAAAGATTTTTATGATACTTAATAAGTTTAATTAGGATAATAATAATCATCAAATATGATCAATACTATTTATGCATTAAAATTATCATATCATAAAGATTTGCAAATATCAACAAATGATTGAATAAGTAAATCAATTTCAATAATGTTGTATCGGATATTTCAAAGGAAATCATTAATTATCTGAGAACAATTTTTAAACAGTCTGATACTATAAGGAATAAGGATGAGTTTAAATTTTTCCTATCATGTGTTCGTTCATTCATTCATACTATTCGATCAAAGTACCGTTAATTGATGTCGCCTAAATTGTCGACAATTTCCGATTCTGTTTTCAATATCGATATTTTTTTTCAAAAATAAATTTTGTAAATCATTTTTCATTGATTTACAAAATAATTAATCAATTTTTTTAAATTTAGCATATAAAATTCGGTCAAACATTTCCGTATGTTTTTAGAATATCCATAAAATACATACTTCCTTATAGATTCTTTGCCGTTCTTTTTTTTTCAGGATATACTATGCTTGTATATGATAAATGTATGCATGCAGACGATAAATATAGCCCAACAACTATCGGCATCAAAACACGGTAGTGGTTAATATTGATAAACATTGTCTTGAAATGTATTTGTGTATATGTATGTGTATAATGTATATTACACAGAACAACAAATATAACGAGCCAAATATCATGACGCCGAATGGATTCATCACAAACAAGTATTCTGTGTATGTATGTGAGTAAAATTGATGAAAATTTTTTTAAAAAAAAGTAGAATTATTTTTTTTTGTCATTATAATTAAATACATGGTCGTATACAACATGTGAATATTATCATCATGGAAAAATTCTGGTCAATAATCTTGTAATTTTGTTCGTTATTTGTTGATTATTATCATTATTTTATTGATCGACATTTTATGACATTGATTTTTCGTCCGTATATTTATATTTTATTCCAAATTCATAATTTTCAATGTTTTCTTTAATCCTATTTGATTGTCGTATTCATAAATCTTTCATGAGCCTAATTGATCATTCATTAATCAATAGGTAGGTGTGATTTCTTATATCTATATTCAATTCACATTCTAAAAAAAATCAAATCAAATCAAAATTTTGATTACCGAATTTGTTTCTAATAACAGTTTAATATGGCCAACAAAAACATGTCTAGTCATGAAGCACCAAATAAAATATAATCTAATAAAAATGAGATGATTTTTAATCACTTTGTTTCTAATTATTTCCCGCAAAATGGATAATGCTAACAACCTGATTGACAAATGTTTTTTGTTTTGTTTTGAAAATGCATCATGAGAATCATAACAAAAAAAATTGCCAATTTTTTCTCATATTTATAACTGATTTTAATTGTTAAATGTGTATGGGCAAAATCCGTTTTGCAGTGGAAAAATCCCCAAACCCTTTTTTCCAATTATAAAAATATTTTTCTGCCTGCTTTTCCTGTTCTTTTTTTCATCCACCTAAAAATAGAATATTCTTAGTCAGATTTCTTTACTTTTTTTTTGTCTTCCTCGAACCTAAAAAGAAATCTAGTTCAACTTGACTATATAGTTATGGCGGTAATATTTGAGTGCTACTTTTGCATCGGATAGATCCGGCACAAAAAAAAAAAATATTCTCAGTTCATTGTCTTCAACAATAGTTGTAGTGGCAGCCATAGATGATCGGATATAGCGCATTGATTCTATTTTCGAATTTCGAATTTTAAATTGTTTACATTTTGTTTTTTCATTACAATTATTTATGTACAATTCAAAAGTTGAACAATTTTTTATATTAAAAATAGTAAGGTTCTTTCAACAAAAGAAACAAGGCCTTTATGCTCTTAAAATAATGTCATCGGGAGCTAAAGATGATGATGATGATGATGATATTATTGAAAAGATTGAAAAACGTAAAACGCTATTACAATGGAAATTAATCCTACAATATCTTATGATCAATCTATGTACAATGGCAATAGTTTTAATTGTTGTCACTTATGGAATGGATTTATTTCGCACATTAATCAATCAAGAACCAAAAATTTCAATTAATATTGATGATTTTAATGACACGATCAACACAACTGAAAAACGTTTTGAACCAACAAATCGAACATTAGTTTTGATGATAACCATCATCGCCATGATTATATTCATCATTGTATTTTTGATGGGTATCATAGCTGTAATGATCGATCATCATCGTCATATAATGACTATATTTCTTGGATTAATGGTAGCAAATTTTAGTGGCTGCTTAGCTGTCGGATACATACGCGGTGGTAACCATCGTTGGCATTTCTGGCCCGTATCATTTATTTCTTTCACATTAATATGTCTTTCATCCTCACATATTGCCATTAATTATAAAATTGAACAACTACCGGATTATGATGGTTTTTCTTCATCATTGGAAACACAACCTAATGGAATGCCATTCATTTTAGTTGACAAGAAAAATCGTAAAAAAAATAATCATCGTCATCGTCTATTCGAGACAACTTCATTAGATAGTATTAATAGTGAACAAAGTTTGAATTCAAATCCTTCATCAGTTTAGAAACATTTATTTTAAATTATTAATCAATTAGATCATTATAAATTATTATTATTTATTTTTTGTTGATTGTTAATATTAATGCGAATGCTTTTTGATTCCATTCTTCTGGGCGAAAAATCATCAATAAATGATTGATTAGGATTAGATGATGTTGAATCGATGGTCGATTTGTTCACATTTAGGTTTGAAGATATTGATTTGTTTTTAGGTGATGAAGATGCACGTCTATTGGGTGATCGTTTTTGATTTTTTTTTCGTCCCTTATAATGCCGATGATGTAATGATGATGGTGACGAATTGGATGTACTCGTAATTGAACCATCCGATGTTTCTGATGATGATGATGAGCCTCGTGATAATAAAATTGTCGTCGTCGTTCCTATGTGTTTGATTGTAGATGGTGACATTATTGCCGATGATGATTTAGTCGATAATGTTTGTTTCGATTGAAATTTTTGTTTAGTTATAACTTTTTTCACTAATATCAACATATATGCCGTTGTTAGTAAGCCTAAGAAAGCATCGATAGCAAGCGAAAATTGCCGATACTGATTGACAATCATATAGATAGCAAATGAGTGGGCAATAATAAGTACCAAAAATAATTGCGACCAATCAAGCCTTTCACGTACTATACTCACAATGCCAATTATATAGATTATTATCGAGAATGTACTGAACCCCATTATTAATGCCATTGACATTTTCTATTAATAATTTAAAGAATTATGCCTAAATCATTCAATATACTTCTTTATTAGATTTAAAGAAAATTTGCTTACAATGTTGACATTTTTGATTAGAAATGGTTCATCAGTAAAATTTTGATGATAGTCTTCCCAGCGATCCGTTGCAACCATAGCGATTCTTGTATTCAACAAAATTGTCATAGAGATCACGGCTAATGAACAGATAACAAATAACCATCGAAAAACTCGTAGACAACGATTGTAAGCAGTGATTGATTCTTCTTGTCGCCTACGTGCCGAATATTGATATGGATGATAATTACTAAATTGTTCATTCTGGCCATTGCTTGTACTCGCCAAACTGCGCCTTGAATTTGATGTTCGATGTTTTGATGCCATTCGCGGAAACACAATCACAATAGCCAACTGAATCGGCTATGTATTTTTTTTCAATTCAAATTCGATTAAATTATCCGCTATAATGACATTATTGCCATTAATTTACGAATCGAACAAAATTATTAATGTAATTTTGTGTGATTAATCTTATTGAATCGTGCAAAACTCAACTTTTGTTTTTATTACACAATTTCATTAGAAAAGCATTAATCTGATATCTTTGTTTATCTGTCATCTAATATTAACCAGATGAAGTTTTTAATTTTTGAAAAAACATAGATATAAAAAAATAGAATCATATGACTTGAAATCAAATTTTTAAAAAAACAAATTCCTTTATTTTTTCAAACAAATAATCAATTATAAAATGTCTATCTTCGATTAATGATCAATTGAAATAGAATTTTCAATCTTGGATGTCTTAATTGTTCGAATTGTGATCGATGTTGTTCAAATTTTTGTTGCAATTGTTGGTGAAGATTTAGGCTTTGTTGACCATCATTTCCATCCATAGCAATAGCTATGCCATAACGACCTAAAATATCCGGTATAGTACTGGTTTGCCACTCATTATAATGATAATTTTCACAAAACATTTGCCAACGAAAAGCATTGATATCGGATTCATATTTGCGCATCGATTCAATCACTTTGATACGTTCGTCTTGGTTACGAATTACCATAATTGAAGGCGATTAAAATATTTTTCTTACAAACAGTCTGACAAGCATCCTATCGATGTTGGTTGTTCGTATGTTATAAACACAAATTAAGTTGTTCTAATTATTTCATTATCACCATTTGTTCTAAATTCATATCGTTCATTTTATTGTTGCATCGGTTAACAGTATATAATTTGATACTAAAATTGTTTACAATTTTATATTTAAGATGATGCTCTCAATTTACAATAATGATTATGGAAATTTTTTATTTCCAACCTTATCAGTCATCGTCTCACATTTGTTGTTGTAAAAAATCTATTTGAGTGTTTTAATTGAAATTTAGATTATCTTATAATTTTTAAATAAATGTACCTCGTCTAATAATTAATTTGACTGTTTTTTATATGTCATATTTTTTTAGAACCCTCTTCTTCAACAAATTGAAACAAATGTGACTGCTTAAATTATTCGAAAATCCTGAATAGATTTTTTTTTTGTTCGTTATGACCACCACGACAACAACGAAGGCAACAACAGCGGATGAATGTGATAAACAAGAAGTGCTTTCCGCAAATATAATTCCAGATGCTAGATTTATCAATTTCGATTCATTGTCAAAAACATGTGTTAATAGGCTGCCGTCTGCATCTATAACTGAACATCAAGATGATAATGATGACTTTGTCATTGTTCAACCTCATTGTAAAAATGATGATGATTCATCCAACAAATCTATTTCAAATGAACATGAAGATATTGATCGAGATTATGATGAAGATGAATTGGATGATGCCGATCTTGATGATGACGACGACAATGATGATTATGATGAGCCTTATGATCGACCTTATTATACCGACAAAATTTCCATTTTATCCAATCGATCAAGGTTAGAACAAAAATCAGATCACAATCGATTGGATTACCTAATGTTAGATATCATCAAAAAAGATGATGATCGTGATTCCCTTGTTGGTACTAGTGCTTCGGATGAAGAATTAGATATATCATCTTGCCACAAGAATAATTCAGTTGCAAATAATAAATTCCAATCCTCATCGAAAGAAATGACCGCATGTAGAAAATCTTCGCGATTCAGTCCATTTGATAAGGATAAAATAAACGCTTCGATACCCATTAATCATGAGGTTTATTACAGCAATAAGAAATCAGCAGCAAATTTTACTGAGCAGTGTCACAACGTGTCACCTGAACCATTGCAGCTACCTCCAACTTCTCATTCACCAGATACAATTGAATCATCCGATTGTGATCAGCCTTATCATTTTACCATGGATGCAGCGACAACATATTCAACTAATTCATCGCAAGATAACCTAACTTCATTATCACCTTTACCACCATTACAAGATATGGTTAAATTATCCTTATCATCAATATGCAATCATTCATTATCATTACCAGAATCATCGATACCAATGACTAAAATGAACGTACAAATAACAAATTCGAATTTCGAAAACTGTAAGCATGAATCAAATGAGGACACGATCTCATCATCTGAACATCAACAGCAACGACAATCACCTTTGTATCCTCAATCATCAACGTTGACATCTATTCGTAATGCTGTTTCGCATTTAACCCGTTTAGATGATTTCAATGTTGTCAAACTATCTCAAGGTTTTTTCTCGCAAGTGTTTAAGGTATTTTATCCATTTGCATTTTCAATAACTAATTATCATGCTATTATTCAGGTTACTCATTTACCGACTGGAAAAATTATGGTACTTAAAATGAATAAAAATCCTGGTAATCGAGGTAAAGTATCATTATCCAAAATCGGCTCATTTCAATTTCAATTTTTCTTCCGTAGGAAATGCTTTAAAAGAGATCGAATTGCTTAATAAATTAAATCATCCGAATATAGTGGCCTATATGGGAACAGTTGTCCATGAAGGTAAGTTTCACTAGAAATTTCTCACCAAAATAATTTTTTAATAATAAAAGGTGGATTGCACCCGTTATTGGAATATATTAATGGTGGTACATTGGAACAATTGATACAAAAATACTATTCTTCATCGAAAAGTAATATTGTGGAGGATACACATTCAGATAAAGTCTTGCGAGAAAATGTAATATCTACAAAAGTTCATCGGCTGCTAAATCTCGATAAAACTTTCATTAAATTAATGCAAGATGTTTGCCGCGGTATGGCTTATCTTCATTCACAAAAATATCTGCATCGAGATCTAGCTTCGAAAAATATTTTCATTCGAAAGCATTTTCCAAATGATTCTGGAGAGAAACAATGCAAAACAGAATTTGATGATGAGCGTTTAGAAGCTGTGATTGGTGATTTTGGTTTCGCTACTGCCGAACCAACTTTCGAACAAAAACTCCCAATTGTTGGTTCGCCATATTGGCTTGCTCCTGAATGTCTTAAAAATAAGTGGTCAGTTTCACGATAATGCTTCGAATAATATGAAAATTGCTTGTCTTTTTCTTAATCAGGTACAATCATAAATGTGATATTTTTTCCTATGGTGTAATATGCTGTGAGCTTAATTGGCGTACACCAGCCGATCCGGATTTTCTTCCCCGTATGGATAATTATGCCATTGATTTTTCCAAATTGGAATCGGGTCGTATGGATACGTTTTTATCCAAAATAGCCTTTATGGCATGCCAGGTAACAATTTTCCTTAATTCAGTTGAATATTTTATATCCTGATTACTTCTTAGTACGAACCGGAAAAAAGACCTGAATTCCAAGAACTGCTATCCATATTTAATCATGATGTTCTTGAACTAGCCGCTGAGCAGAAACATCAATTACAAAATTCTAAACGACCAGAAAATGATATTGGCTCGCAATCATCTCGTATTCATTTCAAGCGTTTTAATAGTTTCGATTCAAGTCTTGTTCAATCTCGTCAAAATAGTGCCCGATCAATTTTTGATTCTTCAGAATCTCCAACTGATATCTGTAAGTACATATAATGTGATAAATTTTGGTTGATTTTTTCCTGTCATTTATTATTTATTTAGTTGAACAACATTTACAAAGGAGAAGGTATTCAACATTGAATCGATATAATTCTGCTCATTCATGAATCGCAATAAATGACAATTCTAATCAAAAAAAGCAAGATGTAAACCCTTTTTTGTTTGTATTTGTTGATTGTATATTTTGTTCTTATTCAAATCTTTCATACTATTGATGATGTTCATTTTTTTCCGATTATTGTGTAATTTCATTTCTTCAATTATTTATTTTACGCTGATCAATTTGATCTTTTTGTTCTAAAATGCATTGAATTCTGATGCAATTAAAATTCTTTTGACATGTTAAATTAGCGCCATTTTTCATTATAAGAAATTCAAAAAGTTTTTATTCAACGCCATCTGTTGTTATTATCATTGAAGTTTCTAAGAGAAATACACAGTCCACGAGCAACGTCACACAAATTTTTGCTCTCTGCGCAGTTGGCCATTATTTATGTTATTCAGATGATCATAACCCATCCTACAGGTGGTCGCCATCTGTTGACAGAAAAAAAACAAAATTTGATCATTTTTTCAAACATTTGTAGAAAAAATTGCGGCAATCAATAAACAGAAAAAAGTTTGGCCAGTGCTTGATAGTGTTTTTTTTAAGGATAATATATTTAAAAATAAATTTTATTTTCATTATATACAAATTTCAAAGATAAGATCAAAATTAATGAGAAGTTGATGACATTTGGCCCAGGAAAAAAAGATTTTTGTGCATTCTCCAACAATGTGATCGTTCGGAATCAATTTCGGTAAATTTAGACCGAAAGAATATTGACTGATTGAAAAACAAATTTTCATTTTAGTTTGAATGATTGGATGGGTCAAATTAATTTGTCTTTTAATAGCCCAAATGGTGGTAGTTCGAAGTAACATCATCAACAACGAACAAGCCCAATAGTGTAGTATCACAATATTTTGTTTCAGAAAGAGATAGATAGAAAATTGGGTATGTTTTGCTACTACGAGGAATATTTCAATTTTTTTACCAAAAACGCTCATAAGGGACTTAAACATTGAATAGAAAGGGATGAAAATTTAATCAATAATATCTTATGTTATTCTTTGTTGATTTGCTTTGATAATGATCAAATGATAGATGATCTGGCGAATTTGTTAATATAAATTAAATCATGAATCTCACTAGTTGAATAAAAATGCATATAAGCACTTTTGCTGAATGAATTCTGCAATAAAATCCTAAGTCAAAAATTATTCAATCCATGAAATATGTAAACCTAGTTTCTTAACTTTCGCATGCGAGTCACTATCGATGACGAAGATATGAAAGAAAAATAAGTTCTTTAAAACAAGATCAAGAAAAAAAATAAACAAAAAATAAATATGGGGAAAGGCCAACATATCCGTCACAGTTTCCATCGCAATGATCATTACGAATCATAAGATTATACAACAACGACAATATCTTGTTCGTGGCGTGATCGATGGTGGTGGCGTGGCCGGTGCAAAATAAGCATGTACTTTCAAGTTAGGTAAGTGATACTATTAGATGAGAAAAATAAGTCATTAGATTTAAAACGTCAATTTCAAATAAATACATACTCGCAGTCGACGGATTCCTGATTTGGTTATCAATTGACAATCATAAAGCTCAATACGTCTTAAATTATAGCAAGATATTAAATGGTCCAATGAACTATCGGTTATCAATGGACAATTGTCCAATTCGAGTACCTGCAAATGTTCGGATGAACCCGAACTAGTTCCAATGTGACGGATTCCTTCATCAGTGATTAATTCACAATGTGAAAGACTCTACAAGAATTTTTTTTCACATTTTCAAAATTATTTTTTGTCATCAAACAAAGTTTGCTCACCAAATTTTGCAGTAAAGGGCATCCATTAGCCAAATGCGAGAGTGTGTTATCGGTAATGAGGATACATTCCTCAAGGTCTAATTTTTCCAAAGAATGACAATTTCTTGCCAAACGTTGAAATCCATTATCAGTTAGCTGATTACAACCAGACACTTCTAATGTAACCAATTGATGACATTGTTGACCCAATGATATTAATGATTGATCGGTCAAATTCGTACAATTGGAAACGCATAAGTAACGTAGATTCAGACAATTTGAAGCTAAATTTTGTATTGCCTCATCAGTAATCTGATGACAGCCATGTAGATTGACTGTACGAAGTAATTTACAATTCTGTGATAAATAGCCGATCGCTTCATCATTGACATTGGTACACATTTTACTAATGAAGGCACTGAGATTATGGCATCCCATGGCCAATTTTTCAATACCATTTTTGGTGATCTTGTCACAATACGATATATTCAAATGTTCCAGATTAACACATCCGACACTATTTGACAACAAAAATATGAGTTAATTCTAACGATTATTTACATAAAAAACTTACCTTAATGCTATTAGTGACAGGTCAGTTATCTCTATACAAGATCCTAAATTAAGACGAAGTAACTCATGACAATAATGACTAAGCTGTACACATGTACTGAAAAATGAAAATTGTGGAAATAATTTAAAAACCATTCTTTTGAATTAAGCATCACTTACGCATCAGTTATTTGTTTGCAATCAAATAAATTTAACGCTTCAATATTGTTACAATTTTGAGCAAATGTTTTCAACGCAGCATCCGTTATGCATTTGCAGCCGCGAAGACTTAATCGCCGTAAAAAACCACCACATCGTTTGGATAGATTCTCTACGACACGGCCTTCGATCTCGGTTTGAAAATCAAATAGATCAACACTTTGCCAATTGCTGCCATCCAAAGCAAGTACATTCCAACTCTGAGTAAGATCAGATTAATAAGTTATCGATTTTCATATGAAAGAATTTTATAATTACCTTAGATACCTGAGCACAACGACACAATGTTATGACATCCAAATAAGAGAAGATGCGTAGCAATAGTTCTTTGGGTAGCTTACGATTAATCAACGATTGATCATAGTCATGATCTTTGTTGTAGGCACCATTCTTTGCCGAATGATTACCATTGACAGACGTGGTCATGTCACCATTAGTAGTTTGGCCACCATTTGTAGCCGATCTGAATATCTGCTATTTTTATCATTGAATTAACGGGAAAAAAACAATCAAAAAATTAGTATATCTTTTCATTAAATTTTATTTCAAAAAAAAAGAAAAGAAAAACAATTAATTGCATACAAATTTTATTGACCAAAATAATCAATCAATAGCAACTATCATAATTCAACTATTCAAAAACGAAAACAAAAAACCAAAACAAATGAACAAAAGCACAGACAGAAAGAAAGATAAAGAATACAACACTAAAGAAAAAAATCATTCAACAACAACAACAAAAAAAAACAAGAAAAATAAACTTATATAAAAGATCATAGATTAATTAGTCAAATATAACAATTTTTAAAAATGAAAAATTCAAATAAAAAAGCTTGGACATTTTTTTGTGACTATCTACAATTAGTTATTTTCTCGTATTACTACAGGAAATACAACAACATGAAAAAAGACGAAACATACTGATGGATTGGCTAATAAATGTTGAGACATTTTGGCTATAGATTAAAATAATCAATTAAAATGAACAGAGAATGAATTTGATTATGAGAAGAGAGTATAATGGAACGAAAGAGAGAAGAGAAATGAGATCCAAAGGAAAATTGTTTATTTATTCTGTTTTGTTTTATTTTTGTGGCTATTAAAGATGGTCGTAAAGAATTTCGAATGAATGATGGTTTATTTTAAAGTGCGGACAATTCTTTCTTTGCTTGTCACTTGTGGTGTGTGCGTGTTTGTATTTAAAATTTTGGAGAAAAAAAAATCAATGACAATTTAAATCTTTTATTATGGAAATGCCTTTGAAAAAAGAGGGGGGATTGAAATAGTAACCAATAACGCAAAAACCAAAAAGTTCCAAAACCCTAAAAAAACAACACAATTTTTTTTCAATTCAACAAACGACAAATATTCTTCGTTTCAAACATAAAAAACGAAAGAAACAAACGATTGTGGAAAAAAAATTCAACTATTTCAATAGTCGTTGTCGTCGTATATATTCTGAAGTATATTTGGAAGCAATAGATTGAAATTCGGGGGAAAAAATTCTGAAAATTTTATATTTTTTTCAATTCAACAATTCGTTTATCGTCTTTTTTTTGGTCGTCGTCGTATTATTGATTTATTTAGTTTTCTTTTTCGTAAACAAACACATCATGATGATGACTATGATGATGTTGTTGTTGTTGTTGTTGATGATGATGATGATGATGATGAGCAAGATGTATATGTAAAATGTGATAGATTCATATAACAACAGGAACAAAAATACACAAACATGAAAAGAAAAATTAGCAGCAATTCATAAAATAAATTTAACATGACAAAAACATGAAGATCATAGCACACACAAACACACAAATATATAAAAACAAATATGAAAACTAAAAATAAAGAATGAGCGAACGAAATGAATTCATAAAAATGGACATTATAATTTGGTTGGATCTATAGAATCAATGAATTTTAGGAATTTCTTAAGTATAAAAAAAAATGAAAGCAGTCAGCCAGATGTCACAAGAATAAAAACAAACAAACGAAAAAAAACGCGCAGACACCAAACAAACAAAAAAAAAGGAAAATAAAAAAGATGATTGTGGAGAAGCGAAAGAAATCAATAACAACAATAACAACAACAACAAAGAGGAAAAGAATGAAATATTAGAATTATATTAGAAATATATTCGAAGCCAATCAAATTCAAACTAAAGGGAAAAAAATGATTAAATTTCCATTTGGAACCTTTATTCGATTGTGTGCCTTCAATGAAGGTCGTTTTGTAGCCATAGGTCCACTATTCGATGATGATGATGTCGATGATGATGATGATGATGATGAATTACTAGAAAGACAAGTCAACGATTTCATCGTTGTTTATTTTTTTTTCAATTCAGGAAAAAAATTTCCTATTATTAGTTAGTTAATTGATGCATAAAATTTCAATCAAAATTTTCATTGTCATTGTCATCCAAAAAAAATATTGATAAAAAACAAATCTAGTAAATAGAAGATCGATTTGGCGTACAACAATAATGATGATGTTATTGGTGATAAAATAATTTTATATCATTGCCCATATCATTTATAAACATTAACATCATGATTACTTCTTTTTGTCATTGATAATAGTGTTGACAATAAGAATAATATTGACGTTGTCATCATGATCATTTAATCATTAAATCATCATCATCATCATTTGTTTCGATGAACTGTTAAAATATGATTGTTGATAAATTCAATTTTGTAGACAATATATGAAGAAAACTTTGATTAAAAATCAGTGCACAACAAAAAAAAAACACACACACAAAAAAAATGATCCAAAATGAAAAGGCATAGTTATAGGGAGACTATAGTAGAATCGTCACAAAACACACACACACACACACCTATTAATTCCCTTACACTTTTTTCGAAAGACCAAAAAAATAAAATATAAAATTATAAAATCCTATTTTTCAATAATCGAAAATGATCAATGACAATTGCAAAAAATATTGGGAAAATTTTTTATATAAATAAAGACGAGAAAAATAAAGTCTGTCGGTCAATGAATTGATTGATTGTTGTGGCAGTGAGCAGCAAGACAGGTGAATTTCGAATCAGTTTTTATTTTTGACTTAAGAATCTTCTCGGCCTTCTCCTACTCTTTCAACGTTGATTAGGATAAGATGATGAAGATCTCTTATTATTATGGTTTTTTTCTGCCATGGCTCCACACAATAACTCTCTAACAAACAAACAAACAAATACAAACTATCACCATAAACACTCGTTTTTAGCAGCTGCGACGCAGCAGCAGCGACAACGACGACGACAAAATTTAAAGGCAAAATTCATTTTTTTTAATGTATGAAAATATACGTTTGTTTGGAGCAACAGACAAACGAAAAAAAAATTAATAAAACAAGAAGACAAACCCTGCATGTATTTATGTATTTGGGCAACAAAAAAATAAAAGAATAAAATACCAAACAAATTGAATATATGTTATTACGATTATTATTTGTGAGCATTTCAATGTATAACCAAAAATAAAAAATAATACCGCCATCAATGAAAAATCGAAGACAAAAGAGCCGCCAAAGTTTATGTTGGCCGATGCATACGAAGTTATTGTGTAGAGAGAAAGAAAGTAGTGGCCATCATTTGTTCTCTCGAATCTTTCTCGCTTTTCATATAGAGATATATCATCCACCTGATTATTAGACCAACCAAAAAAAACCCAAAGATTCTTAAAAATGCGCATCATATACTTTTTTTCTTTGGGTTTTCATTGATAAAATATTATATAGAATCCTCCGACTAGATGGAGCCAGATTTGAATATGATTGTAGAATTAGCGCGAATTTTTTGAAATTATCCATCATTATCGGTAATAATTACATTAACAATCAATTCTTTGAATTTTCTTTTTAATTCAATAAACAAAATTCATATAGAAATAAACATTATTATCATTATTATGATGATGAATTAGGGTTGAAAATATTTAGCACATTCAAAGGAAAAATATAAAGGATGTTTTGTTGATTTTGTGTGAAAATAAAATCATTTAATTGGTTCAAGAAATGTTAGATAAATTGTGATTTTGTTTTTTTTGCTATATGTAAAGCATGTTTTATCGTTTCAAATGAAATAAGATTAAATCATTTTTGTCAAGAAAACAAAAGGAATCGAATAATTATTATATGAATGATGATTTGTGAATTTGTGTCATTAAAGCTCCTAGCACAATTCTAATTGATAATTAATAATAATAATAATAATAAAGAGTAATGTAATGTGCGAAAAAAAATTCATTATTAAATTCAAGATGGATAGTAGAAAATTTTTATAATCTTAAAAATGCGATGAAGGTGAAACGATCATTATGATCGTTATTATATAAATGAATGTGTTATGCTAATATTTTGGCTGAATCGTAGCAATGCCAGGATTCCATTATATACATAAAATAATTATTGTTTCCAATTTCAAAAATAATCAGAATGTACGGATTGGATGCATGTGTGAATCATTACTTCATCGCCATGTAACAGCTATAATTGTCAATTCTTAATGAAAAATAAATACTTGTCTTCATCAAATTCAGATCCAATCACGTGGATGACGGATTTTCACTAGCAGTCGTATTCGTTAGTGGAACTGGTACCGATGAAGATGCAGTGATCACTGTATCATTATTTGATGGTGCCGGTTGTGCTTGAAGCTGATCATTATCAACCACTTGCGGAATTGTTGTCGGAATAACAGCCGGTACTGGAGCGATATGCTGTTGTTGTTCTAAGCTAGAATTGGTTAAAGGATTTGGAGGCTGCGATTCTGCCGTGGTTACTAATGGTGGTTGCTGTGACGAAGACATCGTTACTGGATCTGAACTAGTCGGTATCGGCTGCTGTTGGGGCTGTTGCGATTGTGGTTCTGTAAATGATGATGGAAGTGGTTGTTGTGGATGATGAACCGGAATATTTTGCACTTGATTCGCATCTAATCAAAAACGAAAATTAAATATTTAAATAGTTGTGATTTTTATCTTATCAATTATAAAAAAAGAATTTTTTTCTAAATCAAATTTTGAATAATCTATAATTTCATCAATAATTATAATTTGTATTTACTATTTGGATTTTCAGATGGATAATTCATAGGAACAGCCATTCCTGTTGTAGCCGACGTAGTTGGAGGCGTTACCGCGATCGCATTACTAGCAAGTTGTTGTTGGGGCAGAATCGTTGATAATGGTTGTTGTTGCTGTGATGTTTGAGATTGAGAAATAACCATTTCAGGATTTGTGGTTGATGGTTCTTTAACCTGTTGTTGCGGTAAATCCGATTCGAGTTGTTGTTGTAGTTGCGGAACAGAAGAAATAGTAGACGATGGTAGAGAAGTTACATTAGATTGTTGTGATAAGGTGGTTGGCACCGGATGTTGTGGCTGCTGCTGTGGTATGGTATTTTGTGATTGAGGCATTGTGACTTGCGGATGAGCAGCAGAAATAAACGAGGCCTTTTGCGGTTGTGAATTGGAAATTGGTTGTTGTGGTTGAGATTGTTGAACTGGAATTTCACCAATTGATGGAGGAATTACAACATTGTTACTAGCAACATCTGTAATGAAAAATTGTTATTTATTAAATATTTACTTATGGTTTTGATTTTGACATACTAGTTACTGCTACATTAGCAGGTAACGGTTGCGATTGGTGTGACTGTTGCGAGTGCGGCTGTGGAGGTGGAATTTGTGGCTGCTGTTGGGGTGTCATAACCGGATGTTGATGCGATTGCTGCTGTATTCTTGATGGTAGTTGTGGTGGTCGCATCGGTATATTTGGCGTTATCGGTTGAGCTGTATGTGTTGATGGAATTTGAGAGGCAGCAGGCACCTGCGGCATTGGTGTAGCCGGAACAGCTGTCAAATGTTGATGCAATCTATTATCCTGTGATTGATGTTGTTGTTGCTGTTGATAAAACATTTGCTGTGCTTGAGATCTAGCCCGATTCTCGGCAGCTTTTATTTGTTCCATATGGAATTGCTGCCTTTCTTGCATAAGTTGTTGCCGTTGATATTCGAGCTATATAGTGAAGACAAAATAATCAAGTAATTTTTTTGAAAATTTAAAACAATTAAAAAAAAAATCTTTACCGTTTCTTTTTCACGATCCATGATGGCTTCAAGTTCTTCGAAATGCTTGAGCTTAATTTCCAATTTTTTCATTTGAGTTTCGACCAGCAAAGCGACTAATGATTTTATTTTTCTTTCTTCAATTGCAGCCAAATGTCTAGCTTTAACAGCAGCAGAACCTAATGCAGCAGCAGCTGCAACCGATATTTGCGATTCTTTTATGACGCTCTTTTCTTTTTCAGTTAGTTCTTTTTCTTTTTCTTTATTCTTAGCCCCGGTATCATTTTTCTCAACAGTATCTGTCACAGCTGTTGATAATTGTTCTGATGATTGCCCTTCTTTTGTTTGCTGTTCACTCGAAGTATCCGATTCTTTAGAAGATTTATCAGTAGCGGCGGATTGCGATGGTGAAGATTCTTCTCGTTGGCCATCCACATCCATTTTTTCTTCTTTATCTTTTTTGTTATTATCTGATGATGAGGTGGAAGAATCTTCTGATGCCGTTTCTTGTTTAATCGCCTGTTGATCAGCTTCACTGCCGTTAGTACCAACTTCATCTTTATTTTGATTTTCCTTATCTTTTTCAACTGCGGACAATAATTGTTCAGTTTTATCGGAAGATGTTTTATCCGATCGATCGCCATTCGTATCAGCTGATGATGAGGCATCAAGATTTTTACTATGCTGTTCGATCAATGATGGCGGTATTTCATCTTTTAATTTAGCAAATTCATCCATTGCTGCTTTGGCTGCTGAAGCAGCTATTCTTGGATCAACAACTGAAGCCAAGAATGCAACCGTTGACATAATAGGATTGCCCGATTTGGAAAATGGAATCGGATGATAGGAGAGAGGACCAAGGGCATTGTTCGTATCTTCCAGGTATGGATCTTCGATGGGCAGTCGAAGAAAATGTAGTATACATTCATCTTGTGTGCGTGAGCCGATATGCTCACAAACTTTATTCCAATCATCTTTGTATAATTCAAGTGCTTCCAACAACAATAACGTTTCTTGTTCCGTCCATTCTCTCGATAAATTGGCTGCCGCTTTACTTTTGAAATAGGAATTTTTACGAGCATATTGATCTAATTTTAATCCAAAGTTATCGCCAAATCCATTCATATTTTCTGATTCTTTTTTCGATGATGATCCAACACCATTTTCTTTGGGAAGATTCAACATTTGTTGTGTGGCCGATGATGATGAATTTGAAGTTGTTACCTGACCACGAGGCGGATTCAACGGTTGTAAGCCAGATGGTGTATCCACAAGTACATGGAAATGGCTAGTAGATGGTGGTCCCATTGGTGTTGGCCGTGCATCTACGTCTACCTGATAATTAATTAGACCCCATTGTTCGAGGAATGCATGGACTCGCATTATAGCACAAACATCGCCGGCAATATTTCTCCTTACAGCCGTCAATGTTAGATATTCGGTTGGATTTAAACGATAAGTATCAATCATAAAATTTCGATAGGCAATATATACTTCTGGTGTTTTGGATTTGTTACGACCATTGAAAAATTCTGGCAATGCCCGACGTTCTACAGCATGAATACAATTATAATCAAACCATGAAGCATATGAAGGTATAATTATATGATTAGCCTGTTCGGTCACATTATCATCTTGGCTATCATCTTTATCAAAGTTATTACTGCTATAATTATTGATCGAGACTATACCCGAGGTTCCATTCGATTGTTGATAATTACGATTTGAAGATGGTGATGCTGATCGTGATGATGGTTTAGCACCATCGATTGCGTTATTATTTGACGAATTATTTAAATGTTTTGATTGTTGTTGATCTTGTTGATCATATTCATTCGAATCCAAATCTATGATTGTTCCACCTTTGATTGGCATTGATTCATTATCTTTTTGATTACGATTTCCAGCTGAAATAGAATTTCGATTCAAATTGACAACTTGAAAATGAGTTTCGGGTGATGGATTGTCCATGTCTTTTGTAAGATCTTCATCATCTTCGTTCTTGAATTTTTTCTTATTGGAATTTGTCAATGTAACCGGTGCAGGACTACGCGCACTAGATCCTTTACCACGACTACGTTTTTTATCCGATTGTGGTGATGGCGAACGACGGCGTTTACCTTTTTGTATCGAATTCGAACGTTTATCTCGCTTCTCTTCATTATGTAATTCTTCAATCGTATATCGGAAACGTTTTGATATTCGTTTTCCATTACGATCAACATCGACTTCATAATCTTCTTCATTCATCCATTCGTTGTATTCGTCAGTATCAAGTAACCAATTGGCAGAAACTTCATATGGATCATCATCACGATCACGTTCACTTTCCGGTTCAAGATCGACATCAATATTTAGCCATGTATCATAGCTATCGGGTCTACCAAGACAATGAACAAGAAGGGAACGATCACGTTTCGTAACAATACGAACAAATTCATCACCATTACTATCTGTGTGTTGAGTGGATGCCGCAGTTGGTGGATAAATAACATGTGTTGCTTTATCCAAAGATTCTATACATTTAGCATGATATCTTTTGATAATATCTCGTAATTTTGTTGCCAATACTTTATCAACTTCAGGCAAGATGTATACATTTGGTTCGATTAAGCATTGATTACTTTGTAAAAATTTATACAGTCCAACAAACATTTCAACATTACGATCCATACGAGATGGTGATTGAAGATCAACACGACGCCATTGTTGTTCGAATTTAAATTTGAATACAAATTCAAATATACGACAAAGTTTACCGCCAGGTTTGAAATCTATAAAACATTTATAAGGCAATCTTGTAAACAATTGCTGCTTTGTATTAGTAGGAGCTGATGATGGCGATCCCGTTGCTCCACCACCGGTAATTGGTACAGTCGAACCACCGACAGAATCCCCAACACCACTACCGGCAGATGAAACCAATCCATTTTTGCCTAAGGTATCCTCTTGAAATTGTAATAATTGACAGGCTAGATTTGCCAAACTTTTATTGGTTGGTTGATCGTTTTGAAGAAACTATGAAAAGTAAAAAAGAAAAAAAAGAAAATTAATCGATCTTTAATGTGTCGATCAACAACAACTTAATAACTGTCAAAAAAAAATTATTTGTCTGTTATCACTATTGTCATCAATTATTGAGACAAATGTGATGCCGTGTTTGTGTGTGCTTTAGCGATTTGATAGATATGACATAATACATGCATTCATATTTCAAGAAAAGAACTATCATCAACAGATAGAATAATTGGCAAACAACAAAATATAATGTTTGTTTAATCAATTTAAATTAATGTATTTCATAATTAAATATTCAAGATAATTTAACTATAATAACCGGCAATTTGAAAATATTAAATCATCATCAAAAATATGCAAAGAAAGATAATTGTGTATTGATGCATTGATAAAATTTGAAAAACATACCTTTTTACAATTCTTCTGTATCCATAATCTTATTGTATCAAATAATTGTAACGTTTCAGATGATTCAAAAAACTTTAAATTTAATCCATTATCTTTTTTCTTAAATTGAACGTTGTTCGCCATTTTTGATGTCAATCTTTATGAATCTGTCTGTGTGTATGTGAATATAGGCAAATACACACAGAAACACGGGCGAGAGCATATACACACTCACTCATTCCTTTTGTTTGATCACACCACACACAATAAATGTGTTTTGAGCTACTCAAACTAATAAGATTTGTTCCAGAACTTAAACAATAGATGGTAGTACTTTCGATTATTTGGATATAGAGGATACGTTTTACATATACCACTACGTTTATTATCCGGCAAATTAATTCCAATCAAATTCATGAATGCATGCATGTGAGAAATGATCGCATTTCCCGCCTGTAAAAAATGCCACTCTTACGAAAATTTATAGTGTTTTAAATGTTACCATCATGAATGACGTTCAAAGTTGAATTTGTGTCGAATCGAAAGAACATTTCAATAATTATCTATTTGCTGATCAAATTGATTTTTTAAATATCAATTTGTAAATTACGAATATCAATTCGATTATAGCAGGATAATTTGCATATATCACTTATTTAATATAATAATTTCATTTGTAAACTTTGTTCAATAAATTGATTGATAATCTATGAATGGCATTTGTTTGACTTTATGGGACCAATTTATGATTGATTGATTGATTGATTGATTGATTGATTGATTGATTGATTGATGGATGGATAATTATCAAACAAGATACAAAATATTTTTGGAAATTATCATGCTTGTAAACATTTTGCATACAATCAGAAATCAAATAAAAAAATTGAAACAAAAAATTCCGAAATGAATTCATACATTGGTAGTTTATCAATATAAATGCCGACACTGATGAGATTGACGACGAGTCATAAATGTAAAACATTCGATAATTCTAAAAAAATGGTATATATTGTAAATTATTTGTTTCCAACAACGACAACAACAACTTAAAATATTGATAATAATGGTGATGAATGTTATAATCAGTAAATTATTTTTACTGGCTCATTCAACAATAGCATGATTGTGTGATGAATTTTTTGTTATAGTGGGATTTCTGATTAGATATTGACATCCCAATTACAACCAGACATTCATCCAACAATATTTTTTTCATTTTTGATTATCATCATTATAATTATTTACTTACATGATTCAAAACGCAATAAAACGAAGAGAGTGAATTTTTCAAAATCGAATTTTCTTTTTAGTGGCCAAACATATTAATTGAAATTGGTATTTGTTTTTCTTCTATCAACAATCATGGTCGCAACATTGATATCCGATGTGTTGTCCAGCACTACTAATTCAACAAGTGGCGATGTATCATTTTGGTCACGGCTGAACGAAGTAAAATTCATCCATGGTTATATTGCATCATTTTCTGTCATTATTGTTTCAGAATTGGGTGATAAAACTTTTTTTATTGCGGCTATAATGGCTATGCGTCATTCAAGATTAAAAGTCTTTGCTGCTGCCATGTTCGCCATATTGATCATGAACACATTGGCTGTGTTGATGGGTATGGCAACAACTGTTATACCACCGGTCGTAATTAAATATGTATCCAGTGGTCTTTTTCTAATATTTGCCATTAAAATGTTTTATGAAGGTTGTAAAATGAGTGATGAAGATACCAAGGAAGAAATGGAGGAAGTTCAAAAAACAATAAATAAAAAAGAACTAGATTCATCTACTGATTATGAAAGTATATCGCATCAAGATCCTGAAACTGGTATTATCATAGCACCTCGTAAACTATCGGTAGCAACAAAAATAAGACGAAAATTAATGCAATACGTATCATTAGTTTTTATCGAAACATTCACTATGACCTTTTTAGCCGAATGGGGTGATAGATCTCAAATATCTACCATTATATTGGCAGCAAGTGATGATATTTATGGTGTATTCTGTGGCGCCTTATCCGGTCATTTTATTTGTACTGGCATTGCCGTACTTGGCGGTCGTATCATATCTCAAATGATTTCAGTCAAAACTGTCACTATACTGGGTGCATTCATTTTCCTTTTATTCGCAATATTAGGCATATTTATTAATTGATTTTAAATATTTGTTAAAGTTGTCATTTTTTTAATTATTATTATCATCATCAGCGGCCAATCACCTATTAATGGATTACTGATTCAACGTTGTTCGATGATCTCATTTCACCCAACAAAGAATTCATAAAGACATTTATTCAGACTTTCTTGTTAACTATATATACTTCATCTGAAATGTTTATTTTTTTATATAAATAAATAAATAACACGAATATTTTCATTGACTCGATCACCAATTTTTCCATTTTGAGAAATTTTTCGTTGAAAAATATTCAAAAAAGTAAAGGTTGTTTCTGTTACTAGATGGCGAGAGTAGGATGAAAATGCCAAGTTTATATGTTGAAATAATCACAACATCGATGATCATTGATGATTGGACAATCGACACGACATCAAATCGTGATAAATTTCTGAAAATATTCAAACTTCATATTGATTTAAATTATAAAAAGTTCACCATTCTTAGTAAACAAAAATTGAACATCGAAACGCTGCAATACAGTGAAGGATTAGATTCATATTTGATTTGAAAACAATACCGTTATTTGTTCGTTGACAACTTAATTCGATTGATCATGACTGTCGAGTCATCATTGTTGGTAAGTTTTGAAGTTAATCATGTTAATGATAAGATAATAATTGTTATTCGGATTTCATCGTCTTTTTATTCACTCCACATATGATCTTAATTATCGGCACAAATGCAGGAACCAAATTTATATTCGGTTAAAGGAATCGCTATACTTGACAATGATGGCAATCGAATTTTTGCCAAAGTACGATTTTTATTTTCATTTTTGACTATTGTTTCTGTTTATTGAAAAAATTTTCTTTTTCAGTATTATGGCGAAACATTTAGCTCGGTCAAAGATCAAAAAGCGTTTGAGAGAAATTTATTCAATAAAACACATCGAGCCAATGGAGAAGTGATCATGTTGGATGGTTTTACTTGTATATATCGCAATTCGGTCGATCTCTTTTTCTACATCATGGGCAATTCTAATGAGAATGGGGTATGAAATGATAAGTTTGATTCACAACAATTATTTCATTTTTCTATTTATTCTAGTTGATTTTGAATAATATCATGAATTGTTTATTCGAATCATTATCGCATATATTGAAGAAAAATGTCGAAAAGAAAACGTTGCTTGAAAATTTTGACATGGTCATTTTAGCATTGGATGAAATTTGTGATGGAGGGTATGAAGTAATTTAATTTTTTCAGTTTATTCATTTTTTTCGTATTTTTAGAATCTATCTGGAATCTGATCCAGTGTCCGTTGTTCAAAAAGTTACATCCAATAGAATTGATGATTTACCGTTCAATGAACAAACTGTTGCTCAAGTGTTTCAATCAGCGCGTGAACAGATAAAATGGTCATTACTACGATAATTTGCAAAATAAAAACAATGATTTAATTTTCTGAAATTATTATTCCATTTAACAATGATTATTTCTTTTCCTATATTTTCAATTAAAATTTTTTTATTTCTTTCATCTTTATGAACACGAATTTCATGAAAAAAAATCTGTATAATATCATTGAATCGAAACTTTGATTTTATTGCTATTGACATAACATATGTTGGCGATTGTCGTTGTCATTATCAATTTACTATGTCAGGGATGCAACATCATTTATAATAGTAGAAAATGGATAAATTTGAAATGTAGCAAAAAATGTCGTCGAGGCAATATTAATTATTGCTTACCAGTCCTTAGTACAAATTCTACAATCTTCTGTAGATAAGACACCTGTGTATAAAGCTGGATAAATCTAATTTTGATATGGTGACAATTTTTCTGATCAAGTCGTAGCTCTTTTTTTTCGCTCTTTCTCTCACTACAAATTTCAATTTGTGAAAACTATTATTATTATTTTTTTGAATCAAATCTGTCCAATCGAAACAAAAAAAACATTTAAGCTGTCAAATCAAAGTGATCCACTGGCTATCCGGATCTGTGCATCTATGCTTAAAAACAAAAGTGAACACGGCACCCATCAATCTTAATAATAGATGATATAATAATAAGATAAAGTGTTGATCAATTCATCCTTTTCATTGTCTGATTGATTATCATCATTATTTGTCTTATATCTATTATCAGCTACATTTTTTTTAAATGTTTGGTTCGATTGGTGATAACAAACAAATGTTTTCAAGTGTATTATATTTTTAGCGTATAAATGTTTATCAGTTGTTGCACAATAACGATACTAACAAAATCATTAGATGTATACTTTTAGTAAATGTTTCAGTTAAATGTGACTCACTTATCGAGATTACTTTGGAGGGCCAAAGAATTGTGTGTGCGTGTTTTATTTGAATTGTTTGCTACTGTTCACAATCAGTGGAGATCATCATCATAATTGATCGTAATGCTAAATCATCAAACATTGGATAATAATAATGTTAATAAGAACGGTAAGCAAAGATTGAATGACGATGGCAACGGAGAACAGCAACCATCAATGCAGGTAGCAGAAAAAATCTGTAATAGCGGTGATCATTATAAACAACAATCATCCGATTCACTATCATTTTCATCTGAAACAAGTGGAAAAAGATCATTATTCATTACAGCGTCCGAATCTTTGATCAATCAACTCATCAAGTTCAATCAATCAATAAAAATGATGGGTTGTCTATCCTGTTCCGAATCTAATCCACAAATAGAACAGAGCAGAAAAATTGATAAAGAATTAAAAGAATGGAATCGACATGAGTCAAAGGTTATAAAAATGTTATTGTTGGGCGCTGGTGAAAGTGGAAAAACAACCATCATTAAACAAATGAAAATTCTACACATCAAAGGATTTTCAACTGAAGAACGATTGGAAAAATTGCAAGAAATCAAAGAGAATGTCTTTGAATCGATCAAAGTAAAACATGAATTTTGTCGAATTTGTTTCGAAAAACTATCAATGTTTCGTTTTTACTAAACAGGAACTTACCAGTAACATGGAATATCTTGTTCCACCTATTGAACTAGCAAATCCGGTGAATCAAGCTAGTCTCGATTTCATAAAAAAATTAGACGCAACTCAAATAAAAACTTATGATTATCCTGATGAATTTTTCGAACACACTAAACGGCTATGGTCTGATTTAGGAATTCAAGCCTGTTATCTACGATCAAATGAATTTTCTCTAATTGATTCTGCCAAATAGTAATTAATACTTTTTATCTATTTTCAACCCGCATAACTATCATTTTATTCATCAAAGTTTTTTAGATATGATCGACAAAATTCGAGATCCAAATTATGAACCAAGTGACCAAGATATTTTACATAGTCGTAAAAGAACAAGTGAACTACAGAAAATTGACTTCAAAGTTAAAGTTCCCAAACAAAACGGTGGTAAAATGCAACCATTTTGGTAAGACATAGAATTATGATCATAATAGGATTTAATATCGAAATTCATTTAATTTTAGCATGTATGATGTGGGTGGACAACGAGGCGAACGCAAAAAATGGATTCAAGTGTTCGTAGGTATAAAAGCCATTTTATTTGTTGTCGATTCATCTGGATTCGACACAAAAGTTCGTGAAGATGGCAAAACAAACAGACTGGAAGAAAGCCTTGACTTATTCAAAGTTGTTTGGAATAATTCTTATTTAGAAAAATCCGGAATCATTTTGTTCATGAATAAACAGGATATTCTCAAGGAAAAAATTCAACGCGGTCACAGAATAGAGAATTATTTTCCTGAATATAAAGATTATAAACCGACAAAGAATAAAATTAATGAAAAAGAATATGAATATTTGAAGGCAAGGCAATTTATCCTAGATAAATTCCTCGAAGTTACCAAAGATGGTAAACATCGATTTTTCTCTCATTTCACAACGGCAACTGATACAAATAATATCAAAAAAGTATTCAATGATGTGCATTGTATGTTTATGGCCGACAATTTTGATTACATAATCTAGACTCAGTAAATTGCAATATCAGATCAAATAAAATCATCATTCTTGTATAAAATTATAAATCTGTTTCATTTATTACATATTAATGCTGACTAATAACGACTATTCACGCTTATTAAATTCAATTTTTCAACCCAAATTTTCGCTATAAAAAGAAGATCCATCGTTTAATTTCTTAATCTTTTCTTCAAAATCGATAGGTACGCCAACGTTTTGATCTTTGAATTCGGTAGCAAATGACTTCGGTTTAGGTCGTGAAGTTTCATGGACACGAAGTTGTGAAAAATATCCAAACGGTGGTCGTTTGATGCCCATTTTTTGCTCCATACATTTCGCTACTTGTTTTTGTTCTTTTTTGCAACTGAAAAGCAATAAATTTTAAAAAATTGATCTATCAAATTCATAAATCATGCATACTAAATCAGTCGACAATCGACATGGGTGAATTCCATGCATTTGGCCATTCGTTCAACTTCTTCACGGCATGTTTGTCCAACTTTACGAAAAAATTCATGTCCACACATGGTCACCGCTTTACCTTCGTTCAGACATTTTCTTGGATCACGTTCTTCCAAACGACAGAGCATATATTCCTTAGAAATAACATATGAAAACATTTATATACAAATTGGATTAAATATGAAAACAAAATTTATTTACTTTAGATTGTTGATCACAGTATTTTCCAAAATATGGCCCAGATGCAACAAGAACCGGTTGCGAAACATTAATATCTTGTACATCTAATTCTTGAAAACTGGGCAACGATATATCTTCGGTGATGGGCATGTTTTTTGTTTTGTTTTTGAATGTAATTTATATCAAATAAATTAAATTAAATTAAATTCTAAAAATCCTCAAATTTTGTGATGATAAACAAGCGACCTCTCCGAATCAATAATATATCATAATCATCCATATATTACGTTACATTTTTTTTAAATTTTAAATTTTGAATTTTTCCCTCCAATTAATTAAAATTAAAATTTGAATCTAAAAAAAGTTTATTATTAATATATCATAGAAAAAAATACGAATGATAAATGTTAAATCATATCACAAACAAATTTAATTAAATAAATAAAAAATGTAAATGTAAACAAACGGTAATCATTTTTTGCTTTTCTGCTAGAAATCGATTCAATAAAATTTGACGTCGGTGTTCCCGACTTTTCGAAAATATATGCCTCTTCTACAATTGAAATCTGTTCTGGTTAATGTTTGTCTGTTTAATGATTACCGTGTATCCAAGAATCTTCTATGTAGCGTTTTGGATATGCGTAAAGTTGTAGTCTATTTTGGTCCATTTTTATTTTGTATAAATGTAATACAATTATTGGATTTCTTGTTGTTGTTGTTAATTTTCCTTGGTATTCATTTATTGGTCTCGATGAATTGACAGAAATTTTTGTCAGTTTTTTTCCTGGTATTTTTGGAATTTCTAATTCTCAAATTCAAATCCATTATAGATCCATGGCAGTTGTTTTAAGTTGCCTACGGCTTTAGCATTTAATATTCTTTTATTTCGTTCAACGAGTTAGTATTGAAACCAGTATTGATCATGGAGACAACCGAAAGAAGTTCGAATATCGTCATTTCAAATATTGACGATCAATATCAACAACAATCTCAGGAAGATATTTCCAAACTAAATTCGTTTGATTATACTGTTGTCGTTCTCTATTTTTTCATGATAATAATTACCGGCTTATTTGTAAGTTTAAAAAAAATTAATTTTTTTTCCAAATTCCATTGAAATATTTTTTAAAAAGTTTTATATACAATCGCTATGAGGGAATTGTTTCTGTTGAAACAAAAATAATTTAAAAATTCTGATAATTTATCAAGTTGAAAAGCTAATATTGATTCATTCATTTTGTCATATATTTATCAATTGATCATCATGAATATTATTTTTAGAATTTTTGTCATTATCAAATATATATGATAATTTGCATAAGTCAAATCCAGAATGATTAATGTTTTTCTAATTGTTTTTTGTTTGTTTAGGCAATGAATAGGACGAATCGTGGTACAATTAGCGGATATTTTCTCGCTGGACGATATATGCAATGGCCATTGGTAAGTTGTATTTTTATTATTAACAAAACAAACAAAAGTATCTGCGGATTGTTTGTATTTCCTCTTCATCAATTTTTAATTGTATAAATCTTGATCATCATGAAATTATAATTCCCGCAAAATGAAAATTTAAATGGATTAGAGAATGTTTTTTTTACCTATTTGTTTATGTGCACAAGAATTGCTAAAACAAAATCTGCTCATTATATTCATAGATTGGAGCATCGGTATTTGCATCAAACATTGGTTCAGAACATTTTATTGGATTGGCTGGCTCAGGTAAATTGGAAGTTTTTCAACAAAACCATCATGGTGATAAATTTTATTTGCAAAAATCCATTGGAATTTCAATTCATTGATTCATTTCTATTCAAATTGATCAATGAATGTTTACTATTATTATCATCATCTACCAGATATGATAAAAATTCTTCAAATATTTCTCTATTTCTTATTATTAAATAATAGGTGCTGCAGCCGGAATCAGTGTAGTTGCATTCGAAATAAACGTAAATAATTTTTGTATGTATTAAAATCTATAATATTTATCATTGTATTCTATCATTGAATTGAAAGGCATTACTTATTCTACAACTATGCGGTTGGATATTCATACCGGTATTCATTGCTAGCAAAGTGAGTTCTTTTTATATCTTGAGTCTCGATGATGTTGAAATCACATTATTTTTCATATAGGTCTGTACATTACCTGGTTATATATCAAAACGTTTCGGTAGTCATCGTATACAAATCTATTTGGCTGTTTTATCGATGCTTTTGTATATTTTCACAAAAATTTCGGTTAGTGTTTAACAGATGCTTGGTTATTAATACAGCTTAAAAAATTTACATTCGAATTAAAAATAGGTGAATTTGTTTTCCGGCGCCATATTCATACAACAAACAATCGGTTGGGATATTTATTGGAGTATATTGTTGTTGTTATCAATCACATCGATCTGTACGATAACCGGTATGATTATGAAATAATTTTATCGATCATTAATTTTTTCACTCTGAAATAAAGGTGGCCTTGGTGCTGTAATGTGGACAGAAACAGCTCAAAGTATTATCATGATTTTTGGTTCCGGTACATTAACCTATTTAGCATTGCAAAAAATTGGCGGTTTTAAAAACTTGTATCATGAATATATGAATTCTCGACCGAGCATCATACCTAACAATATGTCCGAATGTGCAAGTCCGAATCCTCGATCATTTTTGTTGTTACGACCATTGAATGATCCAGATATGCCATGGTTAGGTTTTATTTTTGGTCAAACAACAGCTTCCATCTGGTATTGGTGCACGGATCAAATGATGGTCCAACGATTATTGGCAGCCAAATCCTTATCACATTCACAGGGTGGTGCACTGTTTGCCGGTTATCTCAAATTATTACCTTTCTTTCTGATAATCTTACCTGGCATGATTAGCCGAATTCTCTACACAGATCAAGTAGCATGTGTTGATCCGGTTGAATGTTTCAAGCATTGTCAAAATCGTCATAGTTGTACAAATGTTGCATATCCACGATTAGTTTTAGGTGTGATGCCATCACCACTTAAAGGATTAATGATGTCTGTCATGTTAGCAGCATTAATGAGCGATCTTAGTTCAGTTTTTAATAGGTTTGTAATGTAATCATTGGCTGAATGAATTGTTTGATTCAAATCATATTTTTGCTTAGTTCAAGTACTTTGTTCACTTGCGATATATGGCCATTATTTCGTAAGAATGCTTCCGTCATGGAATTAATGATTGTTGGCAGGTAATTGATTATTGAGATCAATTTCTTTGATAACTTTTTTGAAATCATTCATCTAAAGAACATTCGTTATTTTTATGATTGTCGTGAGCATTGCCTGGATTCCAATCATACAATCAATGCAAAATGGACAACTATATCTTTACATTCAGGATGTGGCAGCAAATCTAGCACCACCAATAGCTGCAGTTTATATCATGGCAGTCTTATTTAAACGAGTCAATGAATCAGGCGCATTTTGGGCTTTGATGACGGGCCTCATTATAGGCCTTTTACGTATGGGATTAAATCTACATTACATGGAACCAACTTGTGGCCAGTTAGATCTGAGACCGTGGATAGCCAAGGTTCACTATATGTATTATGCTATATTTGTCTTCTGGATTACGGTTGCATTCTGCGTCATCATAAGTTTATGTACTGATCCACCTGAAGACTATTTGGTAAGTTTACAAAATCAAATTTTATCCGTAATCCTCTAGTTTTCTCTTTAATAGCTTATTAGAACAACATATTGGTCACGATTTGATGAAAGAGAACGAATCGATGAACGAGAAGAAGAAATGCAATGGGAAATGTTGGAAACAGATAACAATAGAAATAATAAGAAACAGAATCATAATCACTCAAATCATATTATCGCTATTGACAGTTATTCACAAGAATTACAGACCAAACAACAACCAATAAAATCATCCAATAATAATCCTCTTTGTATTTTACGGCGATTTATTATCTGGTTTTGTGGAATTGAACCCGAATCTCAGAAACAAAATAACAGGAAGAAAAAATCTAACAATGAAAAACATAAGCTAGTATCGATTGAACAGGATGTTCAAGCAAAAAAAATCCTAACATCTGCATTGATCATAATCGTTTGCTTAGCATTATTCATCTTTATTTTCTTTTCCATTCCAAATTGGTGGCAATTTATATTTACTGATTGGAAGATATCAATAAATGAATAATCAGGAATAATCATCAAAGTCCATTCGAAAATTTCCAAACAAAAACACATTACACACTTGTTAGATTTCAAACAACAAAATCAAATAAAAACTAATATAACCACTGTGATTTAGTGATAAATAGTAATAATAACCCATGTGAACAAGTCAAAAAAAAAAATGTTTTTTTTTTCAACCGTAACACAAAAACCAAATTAAAATCCATCAAAATAGTAAGTATATAACGATTAAGGAAATCAAATGTGATGCAATAATTTTAAATTAATATAAAAAAAATGAAAATACATTTCTAATGAAATCTTTAATCTCCGATTTCAAATTTGATGTTAATAATTTGAAAAAAAATTATTCTTCAATATTATAGAAAAAACAAAATAATGAACAAAAATATATTTTTTTTCACTTGAATCATGCATAATTATTTCAAAAGAATTCCATTTCGAAGAAATTTATTGGATTTTGTTGGTTTAAAAAAAAATTGACAAATTTGTCGCTGTTAATGATCATAAATTTTATTTTAAATGCATTTTTTTCAACCATATATAATTTTTGTTTTAAAGCAACAATAAAATTTTATTTTCTCATTTCATGTGACATTTGATTATATTTTTTGTGTTTTAATTTTTTTGATGTTGATAGGTTATGTGTGAAAGGAATCGATTGCTTGGGATAAGAAAAAGTTTTTGTTGATTGTTTCAAGGATTTAGGAATTTTTTTTTTGAAGGCAAGAAAATAAAAAATAAAAAAATAAAAACAAAGAGCCAGGTAAATGAAATGAGATTGATTTCTTTCAATCATTAAAAATATTTTTTTTTCATATAATAGATAAGAAAAATAAAATAAAATGTATCAAGAAAATTGTTTATGGGATTTTATTATTATTTGTTGTAGTGTAACATATATATTTTTTTTTTTGCATTTGTAAATATATAACATAAAAACATTATAAATGTATCGATAATGATGAAAGTTAATTTTTAAAATGATAAAAGTTAAATTCAAAAAAAGAAGAAAATTAAAAAAAATTCTTTCCATAAATATATATCGAGGAGCAAAATAGGTTTGATTTGATTTGATTCAAATGTGATTGTGATTTGGATGATTTTGAAGAGAAAGAAAAAACTTTCGCCTTAAGCATAGGAGGTGTTTTGAAGATATTTTTTTCGAAACGAATAATAATATATAACCTGCTTGAGATTGTGATTGAAATACTCAAAAGGATACAGGATGGGAATTTCTTAATGAATAAATGGATGATTCATTAGCTTTGAACTTGACCAATTTGTATTTTGTATTATTATATTTTTTTTTGATCCGGTCGATGTGGGTATCATTTTTTAATAACGGTTTGCACAGGATTCAACATTTATATCGTATCAATAGGAATATAATTAAACTCGTCATTTGTCATGGATCTATTATAGGATTGAAGAATTTTTTAAATTTGTTTTGGTTTACATTTGGTTTTTTTTAATGTTGATAAGCGGAAAAACAAGAACAAAAAAGAAAAAGAAAGAGAAGCTTAATGTCCATAAACTTACTCATTTGGATTACGATTCCATTCATATGAGGTTGACATGTTTGTATCGAACGACATGTTGGTCATTGATCCAATTTCATTAAAACTTGTACCCAATGCTGTATCATTGATAATATTATTAACAGAATGTGGATCATTCATGCTTTCATAATTGCCCGATTCTTTATCGGTTTCGCTAAATTTATGAAGAATGATGAAGAAAAAATAATTAAAAATTTATAAAAAACTATCATTAACTATTTGATCAACAAGTCAAAAATCATCAATTTATTACCTAGGAATGCAATTCTTCAATTGTGTGAATACATAGCCATTTGATGCTTGATTCTCAATTTTTGTATAGTATTTCGAAAAAGCGGTATCTTTCGGTATTTCCGGAAATAGATAGACAAATTGATTAAAATCATTTAAACGATCTGCCAATTTTCGAATTTTAAGATCATTACTGACGAATGGTACAAGACATTCAACTTTATTATGAATATTTCGATAAGCTACACTGATGCCGCCCAATTGTGTATCGGAGAATCGGAGTAAAAATGTACCTGGTGCTTTGGTCATCAATAACATTTCTGCACGTTGTCTTGTCAGAAAGCCAATGATCAATCCGTCAGCCCAAAGTTCAGCCAAATGCTCACGTGTCAATTGCAATATGTTGTAAAACCAATCCCAAAACGTAAAATTCTGTTCTGGTAACAAATCTTTAGAAAATTTTGTCCATGGCACCATGATGTTAAAAAAATTTTGCTTATCAACTTCATGACCAGAAATTTTTTCAGCAAGAAAATGCATATTATCTTCGCTTAAATGTCTTCGTGTGTGATCATAGAACTGACGACTTAAAACCTGAGCCAATTCTCCAAGTTTGACTTCAGTCGGCACATTGAATGGTATACGTTTCTATATGAAAAATTGAATCAAAAAATTTCATGCTTTACATAATGAAAACATTTTTTAATCAAAGATTATTACACGTACCACTTCCGAAAATGCATTATCCCAAATGATTGTTGACAAAGCATGTATCTTCTGATTACCATGCACAATGACTACGACTGGTACTGAAATTGTCTGAAATATCATTAAACAAATAATGAACCAGTTTAGTTTATTATAATTATTTAGAATTGGAAAAGTTTAAAAAATTAAGAAATTACCGAAATAACAAATTTTATATCGCTCTCGAGAAATATTTCAGTCAAAAATAATAGAGCAAATTTTTCGTCCACAACTTTGTCGATTGAAGCCTTTTTTTCAGCTCGTTTGATGGATTTTAATCGCAAATTTATAAAATTGGCACTCAACGTATTTGTAGCCGAATTATACTCCATCACAGTGGTATTGTTGACTATTTCACCACAACAAGAACTAAGATGAAATTTTTCATGATCAGAGTTCCAAATTTTTGCCTGTTCTTCATTGATAATCTGCACACGTACAACCAAGCTGTTCATATGAACGTTTAATTCGCTACCGGCCAACATAGTTACCGTAGCATTAAATTTAGTTTCCTTTTTTATCACCTGTTTCGGTTGATTTTTGACAATAAATGTTTCACTTATCAAATTTTTAAACAATAATGTTGTATGTTTCTTTATTTCGATGAATTGCGCAATGATCATGGCATCTTCTTGTGTCGAATCATTTGATACGAGAGCATCGATAAATTTTAATTGCTGTAAAAGATTGCCCAGATTTGATGCCATCTTTTCAGATAGATTTTTAAGCTGTAAATATGTTTCAGATGAGTCCATTTTACTTTTCTGTTGTTGCTTCCATATATCCAATTCATTGAACAAAAGCAAAGACATTTCTTGCAATTTAACAATGATATCTCGATATTTATTAATCAAATCATTCATATGTGTTTGATATTGTAAATGTAAAGAATTAACATTTTCCATGAAACGCATCTTTATAGCATTATCATTTGGATTATTATTGTTGTTGAATTTTTGGTTATCGAAATTGCTTATCTCTAATTGTTTAATATTGAATGTTTCCTTGAGTGATTTAATATTTTTGAATAATGTTTCTGTTTCTCCAATTTTATCCTTAATGACAACATTCATTTGGTTAAGCTTTTGAAAATTATCGAATAAATTCACTTGGGGAAATGGAACCGACTATTTGTTTCAATTATTTCAATATAAAAAGATAGGAGAGAAAACAGATTCAACAATAAGCTAGTTTTATGAACATCGGATTCAAACAATGAGGAAGAAATTCAGTGTATGTAAAACTTACCTCTTGATTATTACATCGAATAAATTCTTTTTCATATGAAAGACAATCATGAATGTTCTTGATGATTGCATGAATATCGGCATTCGAATTGGTAATCATATTCCAATAATTTACTAGCTTGTAACGATAGGCTACATCATTGGACATTTCAATAAGATTTTTAATCTCTATACTGAACCGTTGTATTAGTTCACATTTCATCATTGTATCATTTTCAACGAAATATTGCCAATTCTGTTGTTCAATCCAATCAGCCAATTGCATTCGAATCTCTATAGGTAGATTTTGATTATATATGGAGAATAATTGCCGCTGTTGATCTTCAGGTAACGATAGGATTCGACTCCAGACGGACATTTTGTACAAAAAATTTTTGGATCGATCAATATGATGAACAAAATGAAAATATTATTCTGTGGTAGAGAGGGAAAAAATGAAGAAAATTATAGACAAACAAATTATTCTTGAAATTTTATTTCGATATAGCACAAAACATCGGTAGCAATCTTTCTCCTTATTTTTTTTTCTTATGGCTTAAAGTTAATTATTATTATGAGGAAAAATAAAGTTTAACATTTATGACCATCATACGTTATGATGAAAAGTAAAGTTTGGATTTGATTATTCAATCGCTTGTATATTTTTCTTTCAATGATTGACCGTTAAACATACATACACACGAACAGGTATCTTAAAATGTACAGGTATTCAAATTAGTATGAAAATTATTCCGTTATTTTCAATGAAGCTAATTAATTTAATTTCTAATCAACTATTTTTTACGTTTCAGTATGCAGTATGATGGTACGCACTATCAATAAATTAGTTTTTATTACAAAAACAAATGATTGAATATAGTTTGAAATAATGATAATGAAGAATGAATTCTCAATTAACATTAAAAACATTCTTTGCAAATTGAGGAAAAAGAAATTGCTAAATCAATTAATTCTAGATGATCAACGATAGAATTAATTCAACCAATTATAAAAACTATTTATTTACCACTTAGATATTTATTGCATCATTTTTAATTTAATATTTGAGTAAAATTTATAAATTAATAAACAAAAAAAAACAATAAATACCTAAAGTATTAGATGAAAAATTATTGTTGAACGCTGTTCTATGTCATTATGTATGATAATTGACAGTTCAATAAAATATTTGATGAACACAAAAATTATTGTAAAGAAAAGAAAAAAACACTGATTGATTCTGCAAATGAATCTATACTGTTGATGATGAAACAAAAAAAATGTAGATGAAAATTCCTCAAGAATGGTATGTCAAAAAAAAACTAAACGTATTTTTTGCGACTGAGAAAAAAAGTGAATGTGGAAGTCGAAAATTCGGATAAATTGACGGCAGCAGAATTTTTCAGTTTGTTTTTTCATTGACCACCAGTGGTTGTTTTTCTTTTTTGACAAGAACAGACATCAACCAGACCAGAATCAATGCCAATTGATGATGATGATCGACATTGTTGATAGCTATATTATCGAACAAACAAGATTGGTTACATCTAACATACACATACAATCCCGTTATATTATATAGATATTAATAGGTATAACTTTCACTAAGAAATATTTCATTCAATTTTCTGGTTCGTTTTGTTGGTTTTCATTTCTTGTTTTCGGTTAGATATATACAAACAAACAAACAAACACACAAATGTAGGGTAAACATAATATTCTTTTGGTCAAATTGTAGAATGCTACTACGATCTATATGATTTATATATGTATCACACACATTAAGATATACGATCTCATCATCAGAAATGTATTTTTTTCTGCTATTTCTATATTTGTTTTATTTGCTTACCCGCGGTTGTATAAGTGTTTGCGTACGCGCATCATTATCATTTTCTTTTTGGAAATGGAGAATGTCATCAAAAAAAAAAAAAATTTCCTATCGGCACAATGAAAACCATAAGTTCAATTTCAGTCAATGTAATTCCAATGAATGTATCCAATGAATCCTATATATTTTTTCCAATGTAGAAGTAGAAATTATGCGCATGCATTCAATGTGTTGAACATTATTATCAAAATCGATAAAAAAACATGAGCATTCGATCATTCTATCAGCACCATCTTTTGTGAGAATATTAATTTCATTGAATTTTGAATTCAATTTCTTTTTTAACACTAAATCTCCACCTCATGAGACCAATTCGACTTTGTAGGCAATAATAGGTAGAAATGGTCGACTATTGATTGTTTTTGGTACTTTTTTTCTATGACAAACCAATAGCTTTGCATAGTAAAAAGGTACTGTATATATGCTTCAAGAAATTTCGACAAAAATCGAGAATGTTCGTTCAAATTCGCTCAAACTCAGACGCTCGCTTTTTTTCGATAAAACTCTATTTCAGTTTGGTGAGGATTGTGCGCCATATATAAATTATCAAAACTTGATCGTAATTCGTGTCATTTTATTAAAACAGTGTTTTAATTTAAGTCTGAAATATATACTTAACGAATCTTTTTTACGAAAATATTTGGTGTTTTGTTTCTGAATTGCAATTCTCATTCTATTCACAAAAAAAATTCCGTATAATTTATCTATTGAATTTATTCCATCAGTTTTCATAAACTTTTTTTTTGATTTTATAAAAATCAAAAGTTCTACACTTTTCATCACTCATTTGGAAAACATCATCAACATTTTATCTACTGTTCATCCGTTATAAATCTCAATCATGGGAAAAGATTATTACGAAATTTTGGGTATTTCTAAAAAAGCGACTGAAGATGAGATTAAAAAAGCCTATCGTAATATGGCTTTAAAATATCATCCGGACAAGAATAAATCGCCTGAAGCTGAAGAAAAATTCAAATTGATCGCCGAAGCTTATGAAGTTTTATCCGATAAAAAGAAACGCGATATCTATGATCAATTTGGTGAAGAAGGTCTTTCCGGTAATGTTCCGCCTGGTAGCTCGGGCATGGGTGGCTTTGCTGGTCCTGGAGGTGGAACGTACAAATTCTCTTATCATGGTGATCCAAGGCAAACATTCGCTCAGTTTTTTGGCACGGATAATCCGTTTGAGATGTTTTTCGGTAATTTGGGCGGTGGTGGTAGTGGAGGTGGTATTAATATCGATCAACATCATGGTATGGATACAGATAATTTTGGTTTCAGCAGTTTTGGCGGCAATGCAGATCGTGTATCAAAAAAACCTTACAAGCAGGATCCACCAATTGAGCATAATCTGAATGTTTCTTTGGAAGAAGTATTGAAAGGATGTTTGAAGAAGATGAAAATCATCCGGAAAGTTCCTGGCGGTAGCGGTACCTATCATAAACAAGATAAAGTTTTGACCATCAATGTTAAGCCGGGATGGAAAGCTGGAACAAAAATTACGTTTCCTCGTGAAGGCGATCAAAATCCTGGTACAATTCCATCAGATATTGTTTTCATCATACAGGATAAGCCGCACAAAGTCTTTAAACGTGAAGGTGCCGATATAGTTTATACGGCCAAAGTATCACTTAAAGATGCTCTCACTGGTTGCCGTATAATGGTGCCGACGCTGGAATCCGAAGAGTTTCCATTACGTATGAATGATATAATCACACCGCAAACTATACGGCGAATTTCCGGACGCGGCCTTCCATATCCAAAAGAGCCAACGAAACGTGGTGATTTAATTGTTAAATTTGATATCCAATTTCCAACATCACTGACTAGCGATCAAAAACGAGCAATTGCTGAATTATTGCCATAAATGGGCAATTTTAGTCAAAATTAAAAAATTAGGCCTCTGTACAGAATAAATTGAATTCACTGTATTTGTAAGACTTTGTCCGCTTTATCCTTGATCCAATTATATTCTTTTTTATAATTATTTTCTGTAAATAAACAAATTGTTCTTTTTCATTGTCCATTTTTCAAAGAATTGGCGTCTCTTTGAACATTTTCATTTAAAATAATGTATTTTTAAGAATTTTTTTTGCAAATTGATTAAACTAATAACCGGAAATTATTCGACCTAAGAAAAAATCGTTTTTAATAAATCGAAAGATTTGATGAAAATACATTAGCATTTCAAGTTTTAAAAGAAATTAAGATTCGAAATTTCGGGAATGTTCCGAAAATTTCTTTTGACTCGGAAAAAAGAAACTTCCACGCAGAAATTTTGCTGGCGCATGTATACGTGTTCTCTGTGCATCGAGTTAAATTCAGCGCTGACGTTTACAGTTTGGTTTTTCATTAAAAATTTCTAATTACTTTTGAAGTTTGTCTATAAAAAAACAGATAAATCATTTCCATCCATACCAAATTATTAAAATGGATCAGATAATCAGTTTTGTTGAACCGGCAAAAAAATTCACCAAAGATTCAATTCGTTTGGTCAAGCGATGTACTAAACCAGATCGTAAAGGTAAGCAAAGCAAACGAATTTTGATTTGTTTGAGTTTATCAAAAATTATCGCTCATGATTTACTTTTCGAAATTGAATATAGAATTTCAAAAGATCGCGGTAGCTACTGCTATTGGTTTCGCTATAATGGGCTTCATCGGATTCTTTGTGAAATTGATTCACATTCCAATCAATAATATCATTGTGTAAGTTTTTCTCTTTCTCTATTGCTATTCAAATCAATTGATTAAAATCATTAAACAGGGGATCCTAAGGAATTGAAGAAAAATTCGGTACATTGCCATCTCTAACGTAATGTTTAGAAACAAAACGTACAAAATGAATAAAGAAAATCGTTTACAAATATTTTATTGCTTTGCATCTTTTTTTTCAATAAAATGCTTATAATTACAATAATAAATTCATATTAATTTCTTAATTATTTATCTTTTTTGGCTAAATTTTTTCGGATAAATTTGTTAGTATTTTCCCAGTAGTAAAACATTTGCAACACAAGAATCATATTTATAATTGATGAAAGCATGAAACCAAGAATGATCAATTGATCACCAGTTTCTTGAATTGATGTCATTATTCTTGTGGTTGATCCAATAAATATTAGAATGATGGTCAATGCTGAAAGATTACCCGTATGTCCATTACGGAAATTAGACCAAGCTTGAACCAATTTACTTGATATGATCAATGGCAAGGCTGCGGCCTGACCCAGCCATAATAATTGCATGGGAACATGCCCTGACATTAGAACAGCGAATACCGTTGTGAACATCATCATGAACAGGAATGCTTTACCTTTATTAATGTCATAATAGATGATCAAAAAGGCAATTAATGATGTCATGAATAATATGAATAACGCTTCACCCCAAGCACTGAATGGGAAACCGTTTGCATACGAATATGATGATGAAAATGTTAAGGCAAGAATTTCGAGAAGCACGGCCGGAAGACTAACACCTAAACCACTTTTGGCTGCCAATAATTTTAACAATTGAGGCAATTTAACCATAGTCGAACCAAATATAATTCCATAACCGAGCGATTTAATTACGATCAATTTAAAGCATTCTGGTTCGATGATGAATTCTCGTAAAATTCGTTGGCAGCATTTCGATGGATAAAGTACCTCACAAAGACTTTCGATTTGTTCCATGATCATATGAATATGAAATTTCTTTTTTTTGTACCCGATGAAAATTTTTTCTTAAAAAATTAGATTTGTTTTTATTATCTTCAAATAAACTTATGACGACACCGGTTTTAATGATTTACAGTTCTGAATCTCGACAAGAGATGTCGCTATTCTTATTTATTGATTGTCAATTTTGCCTCATTCAAAATTGATAAAAAAGTTTGAAATGATTTTTTTTTCATCGATTTTATCGAATCATTTCCAATATGTAAATAAAATTATATTGAATAGAATTGATATATTATTCAAATCATTATCATCATTGCTAAATATTATACAAACAAAAATGTGCGCATTCTTTGCGGACATATTCAATGTCGACGACAAATCCAGATAATTAAGCACCGCAAAAATGGCGACAAACAAATGATGATGAGTAAATAGAGAAATGCACGAAAAAAATTTCTTGTTTTGTTTCGATCACAATTATTTTTGTTAGTTTTTTTTCATGAAAAAAAATTCACTTTGCAGTGCCAGTTTTCATTTCAACAACAATCAATGAATCAATATAAAGATCGTTGACATTTTTGATTCAATTGATTCGGTTACAAAATTTAATTTATATTACCATATAAAGAATAAAAAAGATGGAATTATCACCAGTTTGAAAGATTTGATCGAATTCCATTGTCGATTAATTAATTAATTACTGATGCGTGATCAAATTCTGATATATCGGACACAAGGTAATTTTTAGTTTTGAGGACATCGATTAATATCCATCGTACTCTGCAACAAATATAAATCAGTATAGAAAAATTATAATACAAGAAATTTCCTACTGTGTTGCTGTGTAGTCTAATTGATTATGGCTTCCATATTTTTAATTAAGTTTTTTTTGCTGTTCATTGAGCCTGATATCCTTGAATCGTTGGATAACCAGAAGCTGCTGATGATGAATTATTGGTCAATGTACTTGCTAGGGGTGGTTGGGTTGTCCAAGCAGCAGATATTGGTATGGCCATTGGTGATGTATTGAATCCAGCGGCAGCACTAGGCGTTTGGCCAGCTGCTACGGCTGCTGCCATTGAAGAATAATATTGATGATGTTGATTATATGGATATTGAAGACCGGTAGGAGTAGTTTGGACGGTGGTATATTGGGTCTGATGATGCGGATGATGATGATGGTGATGATTAGTTGCAGCCGCAACCGATGATGGATGTTGCGATGCAGGTGTCGCTTGTGGATGACCAGCATGAATAGCAGCAGCAGTTTGAAACGCTGTCGGTTGATACCAATAAGACAATTGTTGCTGAGGATGAGTATGATGCCCGTATGGATAAATCAAAGGTGTTGTTGCAGCTGCAGCTGCTAAATTTGCTTGTGCGGCGACTGCTGCTGCTACCGCAGCCGCATTTAAATTCGAAGTGGTTGTCGGCATTCCCATCAATGAGACAGCATCATTTGTCTCTTTACCCCAGGAACATTTGACAGTTTGTCCTAATATTTCTTGATTGTTCATCATAACGATTGCATTTGTAGCTGCTTCTTTACAGGTAAACTTGATGAATGCATAACCTTTTTCTTTGAAGACACGAATCTCTTGAATCGTACCGAAACGACAAAATGTTTTTTGCATCAATTCTTCTGTTAGTCCATTTATTATGCCACCGCAATAAACTGTACAATTAGTAATGCTAGATGAATTGAAAACTTCATCATATTTCATTGTACGATTATTGACATTAGGTCCAATCACCATGTTATTATCATTGCTACTAATACCAACACTACCAATTCCTCCTCCGCTGGAACCTTTTAATGAAGTCATTTTTCTTGTTGCCCAATTTGTGCGTATAGGCCGATGACCTAGCCATTGGCCATTCATTCCAGCAATGGCATTCTCAGCATCTTGCCGCTTAACAAAAGATACAAACCCGTAGCCTTTGGATTTGAATGTATGTGAATCACGAACAACACGACAATCTGATATCTCACCGAAAACTGTGAAAGCTTCTCGTAATTGTTGTGTTTCAATTTCCGGACTAAGATCACCAACGAATATATGAAAATGCTTCGATGTATCGGTTTTTTGGCCACTAGCACCACTGGAATTTGAAGCCCAATTGACTTTCATTTCTCGATCTAAACACAAGCGTTTGTTCATAGTCAAGATGGCTGTCGCTGCGGAAGAATGATCCTCATATTCGATAAAACAATATAGATCGTTTTGATTATCAGTTATCAATTTCAATCCATTGATATGGCCAAAAGGTGCGAATAATGTATGTATAAAAGTTTCATTGATGGATGAATCTAAATTGCCCACGTATAAAGTTTTCGGATTTTCGGCGTTAGCCGTTGTTGTACCAGTGGCTATGGTATTGGCTGCCGTTGTAGTCTGCGACGGTACCAAAATCTGGCCGTTACTATTATTATTAATATTATTGCCGCTTGTTTGATTCATTGATGATAAATTTTGTTGTTGATGATAAAGAGAATTATTGTTGTAATGATGAAAGGACGAATTACCATTGAGCGATTGATTATCAACAATAAATGTTGTGGTCGTATTGTTTTTTATATTTGGATTGGAAGAATCCATTCAATCAAGCAATTCGAAACAAAAAAACAAATACAGACAGTTTTGATCACATTAATCAAATCAGGAAAAAATAACCTGCGAATAAAATATTGTTAGTGAAAAAAAAATCAAAAATAACCAATCAACACTAACCGTATTTCATGAAAACCAAAACTGATTTCGTTCAATAAAAAAAAAATCTCGATTTTGTTTTCAATTTTTTCTCAATGCATTTTGAAACCTTTTTTTCGCATACAAAAAGAATAACAAATTAAAATCAATTGAAAAAAAAACAAAATCGAAAAAGAAACAAAAAACTAAACAAAAAATAATAAACAAAAAATTAACAAGAGAATTTTAGTTTCAGAATTTTTGAGTGTCCTGTTTTTTTTCGGTTGATAATCTCTTTCAACAATAGATATTTCAATATTTCATCAAGATCAGAAAAGATAAAAAAAACAGTCATTCACACACACACAAATATACTCATGAGCGAGAGAAAATAACCAAAATCCAGCCATCTAATAACATAAATAGCAAAAATAGCAGTCGTAATTCATTTGAATCAGCTCAATACAAACACAAATACAAACACACTTAAATGCCACACATATACGTTAGGACCGACCAAATCAAAAAAAAAAAAAAAAGAACACCAAATAAAATACTCTTATGTCGTCTTGTGTTGATCTTTTTGGGTTCGACGCTGTCGAATATCTTTNAATAACATAAATAGCAAAAATAGCAGTCGTAATTCATTTGAATCAGCTCAATACAAACACAAATACAAACACACTTAAATGCCCCACATATACGTTAGGACCGACCAAATCAAAAAAAAAAAAGAACACCAAATACAATACTCTTATGTCGTCTTGTGTTGATCTTTTTGGATTCGACGCTGTCGAATATCTTTTTCTTTTCTTTTTTTTTTTTTGAAATTTATCCAATACAATTCGTGGACAAAAAAATTTTACGAAATTAAATAATTCTGTTCAATATATTTTCAAAGAGTTAATAGATGATGATAAAATCATTTTTTTCCCATAAATATAAATAAATGGGTGACATTATGTCACGAATATATATAATTAGCTAATGTGGGTGTGTGTTTGATTCTCGAAGTGTTTAATGATGGATTACCCTATTTTAGAGCATTTTGGATTTTCAAAATATTATGAGCTATAGATTTTGGTTACACAAATTTTTATGAGTATTTTAGGCTATTCTATTGTCACCATCATCACTATATGATTGTGATGGCCGTAATTTTTTTTTATTTTTATTTTCTCAATTATCGTAACTCATGAAAATATACGATTCAAAAAAAAAGAATGAGTCATAGTTTCATGAGACGTTCTGGCTTCTGGTTTTTTTTCTTATTGATTGATTATCAAAAAGAATAATAAATGCTTGATGACGACTTCCATGATCATGACACTCATATCGATTGAAGTTATCAAATTCAATTCAAAATGATTTTAATAATGAACATAGCTTTACTAAAAGAATCGTATTCGACAAAGTAAAGGATACCGGTTGTCATTTTTTTTTGTTGTTGTTATTTTGTTTAGCTTTCATGCATGAAATACATGCGCTGAACGATTATCCATTGGATAATCTTTTCAAATATTTTCCTCCTAAATAAGATCATAGTCCTCTACTACTATATGCAATTAAATAGACCAAACAAGGAATTGATGAGTAAGCGCTATTAGGAACAAAAAAAAAATCGAGGCGGCGGAAGCTCAACTAATTTTAATTATCGAGGTAGTGGTGGTGCCCACACACACATATCGATGAAGAAAACCGCCGCCCGTTTTTCCATTGTATCAATGAATAAATGTATGTTCCAATTGGAACAAGACTATATATAAAAATGTAGAACCGCATAAAACATACGCGTATACAACAATGATGTCTAAATGACTGCTGCATCTGGATTTTTCATTGGATTGTATCCAACGAAATGTTGCTGCAATGATTATGTGATGGCATGATCTACACACAAATATTGCATTTATAATGAAAGATTTTAAAAGAAATTGCTGCTGCAGCCAAAATTGTCGAGTTGAGCTTTTGGCTCGAATTTTGTTGCTGATAGACGTGCTTTTACTTCGTTTGTTGCATTCTCGTATTTGGAAACAAGAAAAGCAAAATAAAAAATTCTGATCACCAATATCGTTGAATCGACCAATGTACTGCAATTATAATAATCATCATATTAATGATTTTAAGTGATAGTTTTATGAATGATTAATGAAAATGAAACGACAACAACAAAATCTGAATCAAAATTTTTGATTTTTAGAAATGTTCATTGAAAAACTTTTGTTTCCAATATTACTTTGATAACGTCATCATCGTTATCGTAAAGCGAATGAAAAATAATTTTATTGATAATCGATGGTGAACGATTCGGGTAATAATCAAAAATAATGGATAGCTGCGTTGTTGCTGATGATGTTCCTGAAACCGAAAATAAGATTCCAGATCAGTCAAACTTTCATAGGATTTTGATCGATCAATCGACTGAAATGGATTTGAACATTACACATCAACAACCAGCATCTTCGAATACCAATACTAGTCAACAAACTCTATCATCATCGATAAATGATGAACTGCATTGGTACCGCGTTATGGATATCTATCATGCTACTTGGTAAAATAATTAATTTTTATAAAATTTCTAAAGATATTTTTATTCTAACCTAACTAATAATATTATTCTAGTGATAACAACATTTGTCGCAAAACAATGAATGCTGATGCAAACCTACAAAATTCAGAAATTTCATTCACTTTAAATTCATCCGGTTCTGATGCTAATGTTAATCCCAATGTTTTAAATAATGTTAGTGATGATCGCAATTCGAAGAATTGCCGTCATCGACATCGCCATCATAAAAATCCACCAAATGAATCTTCATCCACATCCTCTTCATCATCATCACAATTTTTGATCAATAATAATAATACTTTTGATATACATCTAGCTCAGATTGATATAGAAACATTTAAAAGTGAAGATATTCGAAAGATTCCTTTTAATCAACACTCAATGATGAATGCGTCGAACGACGATACTCTAAGGTATTTTTCTGAAAATTATTTCACATTTTCAACAGGATTTTTTTTCTAATTTTTAGAATTGTCGATTCAATCAGTTCCTTTACGAATCATCTTCAACCACCTATACATTCAAAAGATACAGCTCTATCAATAGATAGTCTGGATATAAGTATTGATAATGATGAAATCAATACTGAATTGATTCAAAAATGCGCCGAAAAAAATGACAGAACTAAATATAAGATCGCCATGATCGATTCGCAAATGCACGGATCTACATCAACTAATCCGTTTCAACAATCACCATTGCCGTTGATGATGAATGATTCATCTAATCTTCAATCACCAGGCACATTGGTCAAAATGTTTATACAGAACAAGCAATCTGTCAATTCAGGTGAAAATTCCATGATATCAAGTCTAATATACGATAAGAAAAATAACAACAACATCACGAACAATAATGACGTGCCCTCTAAATTTGATAATTTATTCCGATTGAGTAGCAACAATAATAATCATGGAAATTCTATAGAAAATGAAGGTTTAGATAGTACGACCAACACTAGTTTAAATACAATCGATTCAAATGAATTGCCATTACATGTTCTTGATCTCAGCAAAAAATTGCGATCATTAAATTTAAGTGGTAACAGTAGCAAACAACAACAATCGCCTTTGATGATGAATAATAACAATAATAATAGCAACATCCGATATGTTGGATCGACATCATCCAATACAACATCGTTTGCATCGACAACAACAACTTCCTCATCCGCAGCTACAAATGGTGATGTTTACAGTAAACGCAAACATCAGCATAGACAGCGGATGGTCGCAACAAACCCGTTTCTTAATATCAGTGAAACGGATAGTAGTGGTTGTGCGAAAAAAACTAGATCAATGGCAACACAATTTCCTGATCTATTTCAGGATAAAGAAGTACAGGCATCATTCGATGATGATGAATCGGAAATAATGAAGGAGGCTCCTGTACTCGTTTATTATCCTAATTATTCGTTGCCAGATCTAAGTTTTCTACAGGAAATTTTTCATCCAGAAAATCATGCTGTCTACTTATCACCTGTCAAGCATGAACCAGTCAAAATAGCTACACCCGAAATCAGCAATGTAAAGATGCGAACACATACAAATATGTCATCTAGGCGAAAATGTCGACCAAAATCCTATACCGATTACGAAACATTATTGAATCAAGATCTAAGTCATATAAAAGATTGGGATTCACTTAATTTATTATTACCTGACGATTTTCGTGAATTTATTGAACAGAATAATTTATTAAAATTGAATCAAAATTCATCATCAGAAAAAGATGAAAATCCTGGTCAAAGTGATAGAATAGCTAAAAATATTCCGATTCCAATCAAAACAATGATGCCGAATAATCATAGATTATTTCAAAATGGTGTTCGCATGCGACCACAATCTATGCGTCAAAATATTATGAATCGCAATAAACGATATTCATTACAAGAACATCAATACAATAATTACAATCAGAACGTATATTTCAATGAGGATAAAAATTATAATATAAATCCAACAACAGAACAGCCATACCAATCAAATCGTGGTGAATATGATTTTCATTCATTTATGACCCGTAGTCAAACAATGCCTAATTGTCAAACAATGCCATTCAATACTCCACCACCTTCTTCGATGGTTCCAGGTTTTTCCGGAACTTATTATCCATTACCACATTTACCACCAACTGTTCATCATCATAGTGGTCGACATCAATCTAATCCCATTGCCTGTTACAATGCATGTTGCTGTCATTCGGCTTGCCATTCACCATCGATGGCCACTTCATCATCACAACAATCCTCTCCTCATGCACAAAAGCCACCACCAAATCTTAATTGGGAATTACTTTCATCATCAACTAGTTTTAAGAAATTATTATCATTTTTATCGAAATTGGATGAATATTCATCCACGCATTCCTCATCAGCCGATACAGCTACAATCACTAGCAATAATGAAAAAATTGCTTCGGATGGCCACAGCAACAGACGAAACAACGTTCATAAAACTAAATCTCATTCCCAGCGACAAACCAATATTAACGATGAACCAAATTACCAAAAGTCAGAGAACTTGGAACGAAATCATCATAATAAAATTCTCAATTCCAAAAAACATTCGAATACACGTAGTAATAATAATAGAAAAACTACATCGGCCAATGTACAGACAATGAAAAATTCAAAAATTATATTAAAACGACCAACTACTTTGCATCGACAACATTCATCAGCAGCTTCAACATCATCGACGGCTATACCAGTACCATCACGGCGAATTTCATCAATGATACCAGTGTTGAATAAAAATAGCCAAAATCATCATCAAATATCATCAGGTCAAACGATTACTGGTGGAAGTAACGGTTTTCGACAACAAACTAATTTAAACATGAAAAACATGTCTCGGTTCTAGTCAAACACAAACGAAAATTTTAAAAATGATAATGTATTTCTTTTTCTTTCAAATTCTGTTTTAATCTTTGTTAAAATTACATTCACTCATTTATTAATGCATGTATGAAAACAAAAAACAAATTTCCATATTGTACTTCTGTGCTTATTTCCGGTTTTGTTTGTCACTCATTCTCTTATAGCCTTTTTTTGGGATCTATTTGAAGATATTTTATTGTCAATGATAATTTATTTTTTTAAGTTTTTTTTTTGAAATTTTTTCTTGATTCTTTTGATTGATATAATCATCATTGATAAAATTCTTATTAAAACAATTATGGAATTGTTTGTGCAATACAGGTTTTTATTCTTATTTTTCTTTTTCAAGCTTTGGAATTTGAGATTGGATTCACAAAAAAAACAAACAAACAAGCTAAGAAATAAATAAATGACTATAAAATAAAAATATCGACTAAAATTCAAACTTTTTTTGAAATCACCCACAAAAGGAATGTTTTAATGGGTAAAAAGAATAATTTTTTTTTCTCACTCAACTTGAGTGATTCGCATTGTTGATCCACTGACTATAATGATCGGATCACCTTGTCGTAATATATTCATTTGTTTGCCTAATTGTATACCTGCCTGAACATCTCTACTGCAATCATCAGGATTCTGTTCAGCTTGAATATATGGTATAATGCCACGATATAATTGTGCCTGTCGAGCTATACGTGCATCACCAATAACAGCAATGATTGGACAACGCGGACGATATTTTGATATGAGATGTGCTAAACGTCCTGTGCTGGTAACAACTATTATGGCAACAATATTCGATTTTAGTGCTGCATCTACTGTTGCTATGGCCAATGCTGTAGCTGTATCCGTTGGTACGGGAGTTTTTGCACAAAGTTCCACAAACAGTTGCTATCAAGATTTGAGTTATTAGGTTCAAAATGAGATTCTAAAAAATTGTTTGTTTGTTTACCTTAGAGTGAATAGCTGTTTCGGCTTCGAGAGTGACGGCTGCCATTGTTGCGACCGTTACAGCTGGATAATCACCTTTAGCTGTTTCACCCGAAAGCATAACGCAATCGCTTCCATCAAGTATAGCATTTGCTACATCCGATACTTCAGCTCGTGTTGGTCGTGGTTTCTTGGTCATACTTTCTAACATTTGCGTTGCACAGATAACAGGTTTGCCCAAAATGTTACATTTGGCTATCATCATCTTTTGGGCGAGAAATACTTTCTCTGCTGGAATTTCAATGCCCATATCGCCACGAGCAACCATGATACCATCACTTTCTCGAATAACATCATCTATTTTTTTCACACCTTCGTGATTTTCCACTTTTGAAATAATTTTAATGTATTCACTATTATGTTCCTTTAGAATTTGTCGAATTTCTTTCACACCATCACCATTACGAATAAACGATGCAAATATCATGTCTACATTATTCTGACAACCCAGAATAAGATCTTGTTTATCTTTTTCCGATACGGCAGGCAAATCCACTAATGCACCGGGAAGATTAACACCTTTTTTCGAGCCCAACATACCACCATTTTCGATTTCGCATTTTAAATAATCACTACCAATTTCTAGTACTCGGAGTGATATGAGACCATCATCAACAAATACATGACTTCCTTTAGAAACAACTTTCACAATGTTCTTGTAATCTAAATATAAATTTTCAACTGAACATTTCTCTTTAAATTCATCGTTTGTTGTCACTTTTATTGTTTTTCCTTTCATTAATTCTATTTCAGCTGAAGGACCCTATTTTCGAATGGATTGTTAATGAAATATGAACATAGATATTTTTTTAAATAACTTACTCCCTCAAGAAGGCCAGTTCGAATTTCCGGACCTTTTGTATCTAAAGCAATAGCAATAGGTAGGTTGGATATGTTTAGCTCTTGACCAACTATTTTAGCTGCTTCTCGAACATTTTTGATGGTGCCAAGATGATACTGTTAAAAATAAAATAAAATTCAAAAAATATTTGAAAATGTTTGTCGTTGTTGTTTGAACCTCGTGTGTTCCATGAGAAAAATTCATTCGCGCGATGGTCATGCCACATTTTATTAGTTCAACCAATTTCGGTACCTCTCGTGTAGCGGGTCCAATCGTGCATACAATACCACTTAGACGAAAATTCATCGGTTTTGAATCAATATCCAAAGCACAAAGATTATCCAGTCGACAATCGGCTTGGATGGCCCGTGTTTGAAAATCCAATACAGGTAACATATTTTTGTTAGGAACACTTGGTTTGATTTGTTTGTTTGATGAGCTCGATTTTTGTGTCGGTTTCCTGTGAATAAATGTAATAAAAAAACATAACAAAAATGACATTAACAAGCAGAATCATTATCAAAAAAAACATTCACTTTATTAGGGAAGTCATGATATTAATTTTCCGAAATATAAGCCGTTTTTGAAAATAAGATTGGTAAACAGAAATTATTCTAACCGATCGACCAATTTTATAGGGGAACATGGCAAGAAATAACGGGCAACAAACAACTATAACAATTCTAATTGCTTTGATTTTATCGAACTTTTGACCATTACGTAATACTTACAGTAGCTTAACAGGAGAGATGAGATTTTTTTTTCTTAGATAATAAGAGGAATTAAGTCATTCGAATGAATGTCACTTTGCCAATATTATGCATCCGAATAATTCGATGATGTTTTTACAACAAAAAAAAAGAATGCAACAGAATCATGAAGGTCAACATTTTGCTCATTTTGAGGATTCTGCGTGAAAAACTGGTGCATCGATTCTGGTAATAACGGTATCAAAATACCATATTCTTATTACGTAACAGAATAGAAAAAATGTAAAAATTTCATTTATTAAAAAGCAAATGGCCCTTATGCCATATAATTAGAAGAGCAATAATTGAAAATTTTACAATAATTCATAATGTCTTAAAGATTTTTCGAAAAAATTCAAACAAAAAAATTCTTTATTACAAAAACAAAATTAATAAAATATTGTAATATTAATAATAATAAAAACAATTGACGGTCAATTGATTTGGGTTTTAAGCTGTTCTAAAATCTGCGCCATAATCTGTTGCAGATTTCGAGGTTGACATTGATCCTCCAGCCAACGGATCGTACAGGAAGACAATCGGTTGAAGTTGCCAACATTAACTGAATCATCAAAAGATAAGAAAAGGCTATCACATAAAGTTTTGAATATTTCAAATTTCATTTCGTCTGAAATCATTGAATTTCCATTATTAGCATTATAATTCATCAGATTTGGCGAAATCTGTGATGATGATTGTTGTCTTTGTTGCGAAGTTTGCTGTTGTTGTTGTTGTTGTTGTTGCTGCTGCTGATTATGTTGATGCTGAATAACCATTTGTTCATAATTATTTTTCATTATCTCCAATCCAAGTACTTCTTTCCGCAATATTTGAAGTTCCTTTTCCCGTTTATGTTTTTGTTGTTGTAATGTTTGAATATATTCGATACTTCTTTGAAGAATAGCTGCTTTGCTTAGCTTATATGAGGAAACAGCATCTTGTTGTGTACAGGTAGGCACCAGCAATTGAAGATCTTCATAACCTTTTTTGATTGCATCACGACGTTTTTGTTCCGCTTGGGTATGTGCTTCACGGCGACGTTCCTTATAGCTATTGTTGCTCGATTTTTGATCACTATCATCATCATCGCTGGTGTCCATGGATGTTAGGTCGTTTGGATTGTTGTTTGTTATAGACATTTCATGTGTATAGAATTCTATAGCAATTCAAATTGAATGTGAATTCATTTTCAATCGACACCTTTTTTGACTGATACAATTCGAATGTAAAGATAGTTTTTCATAGTTTTAAAGCTAACGATATATTGAGATTTTTATTTTGTTGTCACCAATATTAGCAACAACAAGAATGACAACATCCCGAGTCGATACTATATACGCATTCCACCCAGCAGATAAAAAAGATTTAATGGAGTTTTAGCAGCGAAAAAAAAGCAAACGCATCATCATCATCAACAACTACATGATCGCGCTTATCAACATTGCCATTGATACACAATGATGATCATAGCAATGATCAAAACTCTATTAATCAAAACTTTTGTCGATTTTGGTTGTAATTCAAAATCTTCATTGGAACCAATGAAAACAGCAGCTGATGTGATTCAGATATGCATTAAGATGCATTGCACTTTCTCAGTTTACTAAGTTGTTGTTTGTTCGATTGATTGGAATGTTGATTTATTTTTTTACTTCAATTATTTTCAAACAAAATGAGATAATATTTCTTATGATGGCAAAAACCCGATAATAGTCATGTACAACATTCAATATCTCATATTTCAATGCTTGTTTTTTGTTTATTTATTTGTTTACCAAAAAAATGGCTAAATCAAACAAAACCTTGGTTTTGGTAACGAAAGCAAAACATGATCATAATCTATAGAATTTAGACAATAATTTAGTTGTCCAACGGAGATTGTTATGATTTGAATATTTGATTTGAATTAATGATAACATCGAATGTAATCAATTAGTGATTGAATTATGCGCATCAAATCCTAAACAACAAGGCAGTGGTATACTATAGTGGTGAACATCTAAAATATTATCGAAAATATCATTCGATCTTAAGGATAGTTCAATTATAGTTTCAATTTGAAGTTTTTCTATTTGAGGCAATAAATAAAGTCCATAGGCTAGAACATTTAATATATTCATTCGGATATTTGCGTTACATATTCAAAGTCGTCACTAAAATGTAATCAATTTCAATCTTTTACTTTTGTTTCTATTTCTAGGCTAAATATTTAAACATATTTTTTCTTTCATTTTCTTTTGTTCATTTTCTTTTTAGCGTGATTATTCGATAAGAATAAACACATTTAATAACATAAAATTAAATTAAATTAAGTCGTCATTAATATTGGTATCAATTACTTCAACAATAGATTTCTCGTATTCTCACAGAATGCGATTCATAATTTTAACAATTGTTGCCGTTTGCATTGGTTTAAATCGTAAGCATACGATTTTCTCATTTTCAAAGTTCTATTTTTTTTAAAATAAATCTTTCTATAGAAACCAATGCATTTCGTTCCAATGATGCCTGTAACGCTTGTCAAAAATGGTCAAATTTCATCTCGAATCTCACCCACAATATGAATGACGAATTATATGATTCAATGAGTAAATTATGTTCAGATTATAGCGAACTACCAAAACAAAGTTTTGTATGTAACCATTAGAAATGATAATTTACTATAGTATTATATATAATGATCCCTTTTATTGCATTTGTATGATGGTCAGTGTAACAAAACTGTGCATGCATTCGTTGATTTTTTAAATCAACGATGGGTAAGTAGTTTATGACTGTTTTGGGTTGAACATTTAGCCGATTCATTTGATTTCCAGAATAAGGATAAAATTTGCTACGATATCAAAGCTTGCAAAGATTCTCTTGATGATGGTGTGCGAGAATTCGATGATTTTTTTGTTAATGATGATGTTGATTGCAAATTTTGCATCTATGTCAATGAAAAAATCAAAGAATTAATGACTGGTTCGGCCACAGAAATGGAACTAAAAGTACATTTCGAAGACGCTTGTCATTATCTCAAAAGTTTTGAACAAGAGGTTTGTATGAAATTTTCATATTCGATAATTCTAGTTAATGATTCTCATTTATTCTAACCAGTGTCTTAGCATGGTCGATGAATATATCGATATGTTATTCCAATATATGAAAGAAGATTTCGTTCCTGGAAATCTTTGCAAATCGTTACGCGTTTGTCCAAAGATGACTGGCCCATTGAAAAAAGAAAACTCTATCCGATTGCCATCCGCTTCTGATATGATCAATATAATGCCAGTAAACATGTCGTTAGCTTATCCAAAAGAAACAATTGGTCGTGAAACACCAACTTGCATGATATGCAAAAAAATTGTCAAAATCATTCAACGACAGCTGCAAGACAATGCAACCGATGAGCAGATTATCAATGTCTTGACCGAAGTTTGTGAACTATTCCCTCAAAAAGATCGTGCTAATTGTCAAAAGGTTGTCACTGATTATGCCAATCAGTTGATACAGATTTTGTCACAAGATATCGATTCCGATACTGCATGTTTATTAGCCGGTCTTTGTGGTAATCAAAATTTAAATGATTATCTTAACGGAGCTCTCATTAATGAACAACATCGATTGAATGGAAATGCCCTATGCACAGAATGTGAATTAATTGCTCATTTTATTCAGAACGAAATCTACGATTATCAAACCGAAGAGCAAATCGAAAACTTTATCAAAAATCATCTTTGTGATAAAATGTCGTTTGTCATTACTAAAAGTAATTGTCAGGCATTTGTCGATCAATATGGACCGATCATAATGCAAACGATTGCACAGGATATTTTCAATCCGGATATGTTATGTTTCAAAGAATTAAAATTATGCAAAAGAGCTAAAATTCATGTAATTACACCATTATCGCATGATCGATGTCAGATTTGTAAAGAAGTTGTCAAAGATTTGGCCGATGGATCGTATAATGATCTTGATATTGATCGTATCATTCAACGAGGTTGTTCACGTTTGCCACAATCACATCAAGTAGATGTAAGTTAAAACTTATATTTTCTCTAATTTTACATGGCAATCATTCGATTTCATTTATATCGCAGTGTGCACTTTTAATAAAAACATTCGCTCCATATTTCCTGGACATGTTAGATCGTTATGATAATCCGGAAAAAATATGCGAGGTAATTCTTTCGATAGATATCAATTATAAGCTTACTGAAAATTACCTTTTTTAAATAGTCGGTCGACATCTGTTTAACACCGGGCAAAATTCATATGCTCGGTGGTCATAAATGCACATATGGTCCATCATATTGGTGCCATAGTGTTACACATGCTAATTCCTGTAATGTAAGTCTCGTATTATTTTATTTTTTCAAAAAAAAAATCATAACATTTTTTTTATTTTTTCACATTTCATCAAATCTTTTGTTAATCCTAAAAATTTAGGCCTTCAAATATTGCCATCAAAAGGTTTGGAATTCAGACAATAATTAAATATGAGTTGTGTGTACAATGGCCACAAAAAAATTCATCTTTGTTGCATCATTTTTCAATATCATAAAATTGATAACAATCAAATTTATAATGCACAATATATTTTTAATTTAGAAAATAAAAAGATCAATCGCTTTTGATATAAATTAATCATTGTTTTTTTTTGCTTTATCTTTATTTGATTCAATTGAGTTGGGCACGAATTTCCTTGTGCAGATGACATAAAAGATCAACATAGCTAAGGCCTTCGAGTTTACTGTTGAGAAAAAAGAATAAAATTATTTAAAATTTGAATTCCATAATATTTCATTTCGTTTACCTATCACCGGCCTGCCTGGTTATGATTTTTTGATCTTCATATAGAAAACTACGGAAAACTGATTCGGTTTTATCAATTCCTTGTCTTATGATAAATATTTTGTATGAACATTTTCGTTCGGTTTCCATCTTTTTGATTAAACGATGCATAAATTGGGATTCACCTGTCAAAAGATTTGGCAATGGCTAAACAAAAAAAAAATAGCTCAGTGAAATATGTCATTGCTTTATGATAATCCAACTTACCAATTCTGTTTTGATTTTTGTAGCCGAATCGACATTGGGACCGAAAACACCATTTAAAAATTTAACATTATTGCAACCATTTGTTGTTATGTAAATCATTACATAAAAGCCATTTTCAAGCACATATGATAAGGCAGCTGATGTGAGTTTATAGGCCGAACAACGAATTTGTGAATATTTTAAGGTATCGGTCTCGGATTCACTTTCATACTAGAGTAAAAAGCGTATTATAGACATTGAAATTATTTATAACAAATTTAAACAAACCTCTATTTTATAAAGTTTTGGATATAAAAATACTTGACTCAACGATATGAAAGATCCCAACATTTTAAGTTGGGCATAGGCTTTATCATCTGGATTTGTTTCCGGACCACCATCAATGGCATCACATTTCAATAGACCACATATATACATGGGAAGTATTTTCAGTGCTTCGGGCAAAATTAGTTGACCAAGCGATGTACCGGGTTGTGAACAATGTTTACGATATGCAGTTAATATGTTTATAACACGACCAACAATGGCTTCTTTGGTTTGTTGAATCGTTTTATCTCCGTTTCGAAGTGGATTGACAGCTGTAAAAAGAACGATAATTATGGTCAAACAAAATCATTATCAATGAATACAAACCCATTCGAGCCAAAATATTTATGATTGAATCACAACAAGCATTACGATAAAGATCGCTAATTTGTGTACAAGATGCTAATGCAATATTATGAATACGAACACGCCGTTGTCCAGATAATGATGTATATAATATTGCTGACTAGAATTTTACACAATCAGTAAAAACATTGAAAAAGAAATTTAAATAAACTAACCTGAATAACAACGTGCTCATCTTCGGTCAATTTATCATCATATTTAAATTCTACAGCTATGTTTGTCGTCGTATTGATAGCCGCACATTCAACATCACTTGGAGAACGTGAATAAAAATAACCATAATAATCATTGGGTCGAATACCGGTCGATGTTCGAACTGTGTAATCAAAGAAAAAAATAACACAAATTCAAATATAAAAATAAGATACAAACTTTTTAGAACGCATTCGAATGCAAATGACGAATAAAGTGAATATTTTAGATCTTTTAAAAATGTATCAGAAAAATCATTGTAAAATTTGTAAATGGATCCAGTTCCGCTTAATCGGACCAATTCGCCTAATGTAGCAACGTCCAAAAATCCATTCGGGGGAGGGAAAAGAAATAATTCGACGCCGGTTGCATAATCGGTGACACATTTTTGGCCAAGTTCGATATAGTATTTATTCGTCAATGGGCTAAGGATTGTTTTCTCTTTATCACTGCCCATAAGTTTACGTAATTCATCAACAGTATTTGTCCATTTTTGTTTCAAACGACCAGGTGTATCAGAATCGCTACCATACGTTGGCAATGTACTATGAAATAGATAAATTTTTCCACACGGTATCGTATCATTGGGAGAAGATTGTTGATCGCCACTACCAGTATTCACAACTTTATTAACAATATTCTTATTAATCCAGTTGTTCACATCAACTTGTGTGCTCATCAATGCGGCCTCAATTACAGGTCCTAAAATTGTCTGCATGTCCATTTGTTCATTATCGTATAATTGTGGTAATCGTTCAAAAAATTTTTCAATTTTATCCATATGGATCAATGGATCAACCAAGAAAGTGTTGAGTGGAGCGAATGGTGTTGTTAGGTCACAAATGACATGAGCATGGCCATTATTCACAATATCATAGATCTGTATTTTTGAATTGTACGTAATAAAGCCAAACATGGGTGGCATTGATTCCGGATATCCTAAATCATGAGGAAAATTTTTAATAATTTCAACTAAATTTGCAGCCAATATGTTTAATATTGGTTTAGATGCTTCAGTCAATTCACAAGCAAAAATCAAATGTGGACGACGATTATTCTGCACACCGTTATGGCAATATTCCTCTGTGGCTAGAAATTCATACGATCCAAGACATAATTCAGGTCGTTGCTGTCGGTCTAATCGATGTCCATTGTGATCGAGATTGGCAAAATAAGTTTGCGGAACTTCGGTCACATGATGACAAAGAGAACATTGAAATCGACGACCGCCATCGATAAAACGATTATAAGGATTCATATATGCTTTACAACGATTACAGCGTACAATTTCGCTTGGACTGATAGGCACATAAATTTTCCTATCGACTTCTTGATCATCAAATGGTTTGATCAAAACACCGAATGGAATGTCAGTGGTTTTTATAATATCATCCGATATAGGCACCTGATAGATGGTCGGTCGCATAAATAACGGACTGGCACAGCCACCGTCTTGTATGATTTGATTCTCATTTTCCATTATAGTAGTGACCAATGGAGGAACACTAGCCGGAACTGTTGTCGTGAACAGCACTGGACTATTTGTCTCGTATTTTACTTTATCTTCAAGAATCACTTGTACAACACTAGGCATAGCATCTGGATCAAGTTTATTTTGAGCTTGCTGTGGTTGTTGATTGAATGGACTGGTATTTGGACTCATCGATCCATAGCCAGTAGGACTTGAAGGTGTAGTGCCGTATCGATTGGTTGGCATACCGTATGGAGAACTATATTGATGATTGACAGGAGTCATTGATTGTTGCTGACCACCCATTTGCGGCGGTGGTGGCGGATATGAATTCTGTTGCTGATACATATTTTGCGAAGGTTGTGGATAATTTGGTGGTAGATTTCCGTTTTGTTGCTGTTGGCCATCATAAGCGTTATTGCTTTGATAGCCAGTCGTAGTTGATGCAAGCGGCAAAGAAGGGACAACTGGTTGTTGTTGTTGTTGTTGATTGGTTGTTTTGATCGGATTCTGATTCCAATTTCCAGAAACATTAGCAGCAGGTATTGGTGGTGGTGGTGGTGGTGGCTGTTGCCGAAATTCTTGTTGCTGTGATGGTTGATTATTGTAGTTGAATGAATTTGGAGCCAATGTGGGTTGCTGTTGTATCTGAGAATTTGAATATAAAGGACCACTATTTGACGTGGGATATTGATTAGCATAAGATGAAGATGATGACAATGTAACATTCTGGCCATTCTGAAAATTGGATTTTAATGAATCATTTTGTTGCGATGGTTGACGATTATTCAATGATAGATTTGACATTTGATTGGTAAGCGCTCCATCTTGATCACTTGATTGTGATTTGGATACCATTTCATTTATTTGAGGAGGTGGTGGAGGTCCTGAAGTTGAATTATCAGTAAATTGCTGCTGTTGATATTGTTGATAATATGGTTGATTTGGAGATATTGGTTGTTGATGTTGGGTCCATTGCGGTTGAGGATAATTCATCATCATTGGATTTGTCTGTCGAACTTGTGGATCCATTTTGATTTGTTTTTTTTCTAATTCACAAATATTTGTAGCTTGATGAAATTTCGAAATAATAAAAAAAAATCAAACAAGAATATTTTTCATTGATAAAAGAATAATTTTTTTTTGTTATTTGATAAAACACTGTAAATGCCGACGTGGAAAAACATACAAACAAATAACAAAATGCCAGTGTGAGACTTTTGAACAAGTTTGTCTGTAATTTAATAACTTAAAGCCAATAAGGACTCTTTTCTCTTCACCGAGAAATATTTCAGTAAATATGACGTGTTATATTGATTGAAAAATTTTTTCGGAAATCCAAATTTTTCGGATCATTCATTGAGGTCGTTAGCGTGGCAATTTTCTAAAACTTGACGTATTCATACTGTCATCAGCTGAATTAATTGGCAAGCTAAAACTATTCAAAGCAGTAAAAAAAAATCTTTCGTGAATGCCACGTATCTTTTGTGTTGTCACGGCTTAATCTGATTGTCATAAAGTCAATAAAAATAATTTTTGTTTATCATTTTTTTATTCAAAAAATATTGATTTGGTCAGCAAATTAAAGAACAATTTCCTTTATTCCCTCAAAAAATGAAGACTCAATTCGGTCATGGTACTCATATGCTAGTCTGTTGCTGTCATATCCTCGTATTATCAATAATTTGTCGGCTCAGTTTGGCCGTTGAATTGACATTCGAACTACCCGATAATGCAAAGCAATGTTTCCACGAAGATATTCGTCAAGGAATAGAGTCTACAGTTGAATTTCAAGTGGTCACCGGAGGTAAATACGATGTTGATATGAAATTAACCGGGCCACGTGGTGAAGTTTTATACGAAGGCCATAAAAAACAATTCGATACTTTTAAATGGACACCGGCACAAACTGGAACTTATACAATTTGTTTCAGCAATGAATTCTCAACATTCAGTCATAAATTGATTTATTTTGATTTTCAAGTTGGTGAAGAAGCACCTTTACCCGGTATGCAACACGTATCTGTTATGACAAGAGTAAGCATTTAATATCCACTTTTGCCTATGTAAACATTTTCATTCATATTTTTTCAGATTGAACAATCAGCTGCAAATATTCATGAAAATCTCAACACCATTATGGATCACCAGAAACATTACAGGCTTAATGAGGCTAAAGGTCGTAAACGTGCCGAAGAATTAAATACTCGAGTGATGACTTGGTCGTTGTTTGAAACATGTGTCGTACTTATCATCGGTGTTGGACAAGTGATGATTTTGAAGAATTTTTTCACCGAACGACGCTCAGCGATAGCCGCAACATAATCCGTTCAATATATCACAATTATTGCCTGAATAGTTTTTTTTATACATGCAAAATTTAATATTAATCATATCTTCATACATTTATTGTAATTGTAAATACAATATTTTTTTTTAAACACCTGAACATATATACAATGGATTAATATATTATATAAACAAATTTTAATCGATATTATTTTTGAGAAATTCAATTGATTTTATGGTATCATAAATGAATTTTTTGTCGGGTAAGATCGATGCTACGGTATGTCGTATACGAGGTTCTTCATCATACAATTCCGTACGGGATATGATTTGAATACTGATCGTACGGAACAATAACTTTTGCGACAATAATTGCCTATAGCAACAAGGATTTCCTTGATATAAATGAGCCAATTCTTCGACGGATTTATCTAATAGCATTTCGCATTGATCATGAAAAGCGACTACCCAAACAGAATCGGACCAGTCGGCAATCTCCATGCTGAGTATCATGCGCCATTTGAATTCGTTGAATGTAAAATTACAATGAATACAATAGTTTATATTATTTTCATCGGATAATTTTTTTGAACAACAAGGGCATGATTTGTAGAAATGATTTTCTGGGCGATTTAGACTTTTAATTTTACAGCGAATGTTCGAATATAGTATTTTTTCAAGCCTGATCTTCTGAACAAAATGGCCGATAAAAGTGAATTGAATTGGCCTATTGATTTTTTGATCTGTAGATGGGCAAAGCGATAAAAACTGTTGCTGTTCTTGTTGGCTCAAAGCTTGATACCAATTCTTCAACAAATCAGTTTCAGGTAAATCAGGTTCAATCAAAGGTAAAGCGAATGTAGAAAGCATTTTGCCTTGATTTTCAATTACAACAGCACCTCTGACAGCGATTACTTGACCAGGTATTCCATTAAAATTTTTCGCATGATCTTCATGCAAAATAAGAATTGTTTTAGTTTTTGAATCATCAACAATGGTCAACTTTCGTTTGTGTACAAATTTCTGGTAACGTGGTTGATACGCGGTTCTTGTATTATCTACTGAATGAATTATTGCAATTACATCGATCACAGAACGTTTATCTAGATTGGCTATAGTTGCAAGTTTCACAAATTTATAACGGATTTTTGGTGGTTTTAGACCAGGTTCTAATGGACATGGATGAATAAAACTGGATTTATTTAAAGAGATATCGTAATCATTGTGAATATTATTAAATTTTTCGTTTGAAGAAAATCTAACTGTTCCTTTTCCAACGAAATAGCATTTATTATTTTGGATAAGATTGTAATAACGATTACATTCTTCGTTGAAACAAGTGATGCGTATCTCACCGCTTTGATCATGAACATCAAAATGAAATATTCGTCCATTGGCGAATGAACGAAGTGATGACTTATTCATTACCCAAGCACGTATTATCCAAGTACGATAAAACGGTGTTAGTACATTAATTGGACAAATCAATTGTGGATCGATTAAGAAATTCAATGATGAATCTTGACTGACAGAATTAGGCTTCACAATAGCAATATTGCTCGAATCTGATTTTGTCGGTAATCCAGAAACTTTAGGTATGGTAGATAAACTTTTCGAATCAGAAGTATCATCCAATTCTTGTGATTCTCTTGAACTTTTAACTAATCTCCGATTAACATTATTGCCATTTTTGATGATAGATAAATTTTCGATCAATAATATCAAAGCATCGTCGTTTTTCGCTGCCAACTGATATTTTTCGATGCGTATGACAGTAAATGGTACGAGCAATTCTTGATGGAATCGTTCGTTCAGTTCATCGTTTATGACGATACAATGCTTCCAAACGATACGACCATCGTATAGGGCTAGACGAATTTTTTTACTTGATGACATTTCTCTGCTGCATAATATTTGCAATACTGGTTGAAAAGTTTCATTACGATTTTCCAGGATGATGTTTAGAATACCCCAACTCAAATATACGTCGTTTTCTGACATTTTCGGTTGTTATTCACTCAAATTCGAAATTAAAATGCGGAAGCAACAAGCAAAAAACCATAATTTGTATTATTAGTAAAATTCTGGAAACTTTTCGTAACTATTTTTCAAATGGCTTCTTTGTTCCCAGAAAAATTTCCATGTGGAAAATAAGAATTAGTTGATTTATAAATTGTTTATTCCATGTCTAAAGAGAAGATAATAGCGAATGGCATCAAGAATGTCCTGCATCCAGCGTTTGTCAGAACACCAACTCAAGTGTCTCCATCCGTACCAGGTAAGGTATCGCTGATACCATCACGTTTACCTCCTTTGCCAACAGTTCGAGATCTAGTCAGAATTTACCGTGTTCGAGCACGTCGAAGTTTGTCACAGAATTTTCTATTGAATAAAAATATCAATGAAAAAATAGTCACATCTGCTGGAATTCAAAATGGAGATCATGTGCTTGAAATCGGTCCTGGGCCTGGTAATATTACACGTCAAATTTTAGAACGTGGACCACAACAGCTGTTTGTATTAGAAAAAGATCGTCGTTTTCTACCAATGCTCGAGGTATTTGAATATCGATAATAATAGAATACTAATAATAAATTCATTGTCTGAAACTTCATCAAAACAAAAAGATGTTGGCCGATGCTACATATCCCGAACAGATGAAAATCATTGTTGGTGATGTGATGGATTATACGTTCGACAATCTATTTCCAGAACATTTACGAAAGGAATGGCACGAAGAATCGCCAGCCATACGGATAATCGGCAATTTGCCTTTTAATGTATCTACACCATTAATAATCAGATGGCTAAGACTGATGTCTGATCATTCGGGTTTTTATCGGATGGGCCGTATTCCACTTACGTTAACGTTTCAACGTGAAGTTGCCGAACGAATGATCGCTCCTGTAATGGATCATCAACGTAGTCGTCTGTCTATAATGTGTCAACATTTATGTAATGTTAAAATTCGTTTTACCATAAAGGGAAAAAGTTTTGTTCCGGCACCAAATGTGGATGTAGCTGTAGTCAAATTTATACCATTGATAGAACCGAAAATCTCCTTACCGTTTAATGTGGTGGAAAAATTTGTACGACATTTGTTCATTTACCGTAACAAACAAATACATAAATGTTTAAAAACATTGTTTCCAAAGGATATGCATGACTTGAACGAAGAATTATTTATAAAATCCGCTATCGAACGTGATTTAAGGCCAACAATGTTGTCCATTGATGAAATCGGTGCAATGTGTCATGTATACAATGAATTCTGTACAGAAAACCCAGGACTATTTGAATTTAATCATCAAGCTAAAAAAACACTTTCAGTAAACCAATTTTTAAATCAACAAGCCACTTGGATAAATGAAGATTAATTAGAATATTTTTTTTTAATCGCATCAAATGATAAATTGTAATAATAGTAATAATAATAATTTCGTTACTTGAAAAATTGATCTAATTTTTTAGTTTTTTTCATGTCCATCAATTAAAAAACAATTAAATTAAAATAAAGAAAAAAATTAATTTCTATGTATTCACCACTTTTTTACATCGATATTTGAAAACAAGACAGACATGAATGCCGAGGGAAAAAATTGAATAAAACAAAACGAAAAAAAAAATTAGACCAGTGAAACATTAATGATGTTGGTTGCATTTAAACGGATATTGTTTTGATAACGAAAAGAAAAAATTCGAACGAAATGATATTGGAATGATTGGATTATTCGTTCTTCGTATTGTTCTTTTTAGTTTTCAATTTTGATTCATTGTTTATGTTATCATTCAAAATGATTTTATGTTTTCAAAGCTATTATCAACGATTCGATCATGAATAATAATTGCATGTGTCAACTATTTGATGAAATTTAGGTGAAAAACGACTAGTAATGTGAGTCTTGATGTAAGAAAGAAAAAATTTGTTACAATTTTATCTGTCATCATGTTGAAAACATCCATCTTTTTGAATGGGCAATGAAACTAAAGATTGATAACAAAAAGTTTGTAATGGTGGTGATGTGGGAGGTTTAAATTGATACTGATAACAGAAAAAATAATAGTAATGAAGATGATGATAATACAACTTTTCTGAGAAAAATTTGTTTAAAAATGACATCTGATTTGTGTGTCGTACAAACATTCGATTAAGATCATTGTATTCAGATGTTGTTTTGGCTTATTATCTGATTAATTATTAGATGATAAGAATTTCAAACAGTAAAATCGTTATCACCACCATAAGTGGCAACAACATTCTGATCGACAAGATCAATATTGGTAAAATCATTATCACAGTCATGGAAAGCATCTAATGTTTGAAATTGTTCAGTATCATCAATGAGGAGATCATCATTGAATACGCCACTAGTACCACAATCACCACCACTATTAACGCCATGAACATTTCCACCGTTATTGTTAATTATTCCATTCGTTTCTTTATTCATTAATGATGGTGATGAACAATCATCAATACTATTTCCATTTGTAGGCAATGAACCACCGCCAACACCAGGTTGAACGCTTGAAACAATCAAATCTTGACCACTTTGAATGACATCTTGATCGTTGTTAGACAATAGGTCATCCAATGTTGATTGCAATATATCGTCATTAATCTGAACCAGATTATTGTTAGCAAGTTGGTTATTGTTGGAAAATTTAAAATTCATATCCGTGCAAATCGGTGTAGCAGGATAAGATTTCGACATATGATTATTAGTCATCATTAGAGAATTTGATGGCTGATTTTGTTGTGGTAATTGTATATTAGGAATGAATTCATTAGTTGATTTGAAACATTCATCAGCACTACCATCAGTTATGATGGAATCAAAAGTATTGGATGCGTCAAACATGTTTGGATGTAACGGCACCGATTGTGATCGATTAAAAAGAGATTTACTTAAAAAATCATCAGTTGTAGGCATCGATAATGACGAATTTGTGAGAAAATCATCATTATTATTGTTTTTATTCACAGTCGATGAACTAGAAAACGTCGATACACCTCCATAAGGATTGGAGAAATGTCGCTGCCTTGAAGAGTTTGTCGACTGTTGTTGGGGATGATGGAAAGATGAATTGATAAACAAGTCAGAGGACAATGAGTGATGATTGTTCGGATGGTTTTTGTTTTGATTAATTGAGAATGTTGGATCAGTTTGTGTGACTACTGATGAGAAATTATGACCGACAAATGGTTGATTTAGGTCATCCGAGAGCAATTTGGATGAGGTATTGTCCGAAAAATTGAATGATGATGATGATGATGGTAAATTATTAGAATTATTCACCAATGATTGTTGACCAAAACAATTGTCACTAATAACCATAGGTGATAATGAATTACTTCGATTATAATTCATAAGGCTTGCTAATTGCGTTCGATTTGTTATTGGACCACCGGGACCTGAACTATGACGGACGCGTACCGCTTGTGCTGATACATTCCGTAAATTATTACACTGGTTTTGATTAATTCTTTGCAGGCTAGTGGTTGGTATCGGTGTCGATTGTGGTGAAATGAACGGCGATGAAGATATCGATGAAACGCCAGAATCAAAATTTTGCAACGATGCAGGAGTTTGTCGTTGACTTGCAGCACCGTATGCACTGTAAGCACTTTGTCCGCTATTATTTCGTGATCTTGGTAATGAAACCGGTGTATTTCTCGGTGATACAAACGGACTATTTGCTTCACTTGATGGTTGTGACGGACCGGCACTGATACTGACACTACCAGTTTGTATATGTTTATGTTGAGATGTAGCTGGTATGGATGTTATATTAGTACCAACATTATTATTTGAAAAGATATTCATCTCTAATGTAGAATTTTCTGGTATAGTTGGTGTATTTCGTGGAGAAATAGGCTGAAATATGAATGCATTACGGCGTGAATTGGGGCTGCACAATTGTTGTTGTGAATTATTAACCAGGTTTGATGATTGATGTTTAGGCATATACTCAGGATCTATATTGGCAGAATTAGTCAATAAATTTTGTAACAAATTTCTATTATTATTTTGCAAGGTTTGATTATTATTATTATTATTGTTGCTATAATAATGCGATGCTGATTGATTTTCCGGAACTACTTTAGCCAGATGATTCTCTAATAGGCGACGAATATGCACAATATTTTCAGAGTTTACATTTTTAATGTTTTGATTTGGTTGCTTATTCTGAGACTGTTGTTGCAGTTGAATATTATCAATAACCGGATCGGATGATATATTGTTTAGATATTCATTCAATGCTTCTGTTTCTAATTCATTTACTTTTAGATCACAAATATCAGTTGCCGTTATTGTCGATAGTTTCGGTTCCATATTATCGCTATTCGTTGTCTTTGTTTCGACATGACGTTTTTTCGATGCAAACATGACGGTAATTTCTTTTTCCACATTATCGATTTGTCGTTTATGATTTTTATCTGTTAATTTAGAATGCGACGTTATATTATTATTGTTATTGTTGTTATCTTCATAGGGTTCGCTTTTAAAAATACTATCATTGACTTTGTTATCGTTATTAACATTGACAGCATTACAATTAAATAATGCTACAGTTGTTGTTGTTGGCATTTCGTTTTTCGTACTATTCAATTGTTCATTGTGAATGAATGCAATAGTCGATGGAACATTACTGGTCATAGGGCGAAATCTGGACATTGAATCAAAATTAACTGACTTTGATTGTATAGGTTTATATTTAAAACTTTCTATGCTATTTGATGCGTTTATTAATTGCTGTTGCTGTTGTTGATCAATCATAAAACAAGTATGTGATGGAACTGTTTGCAATGTCGATATTGGTAGTGGTTGTTGTTGTTGCTGATTTTGAGGATGTGGGCTAAGTAAAATTTTCACAGTTTTCGCATTACATACAGGCACCTAATAATTGTAAAATGATAAACAGGAAAAAAATTGTTAAACACGAAAAAATTCAACAAATTTTTATTCAATGATTACCATTTTTGGAATATTTGCTGGAACTACTTTAGTTTCGACCGCATTATTTTTTGGAGATTGTAGGGTTGTGAATGAATTTCCGTTAATTGTTGAGTGTATGATAGTACCAGTAGTATTCGCAGTGATAGTTGAGGCAGTATTATTTGTGGAAATTTTACTGCTATTGATTGCGTTAATGTTCGAATTAGTTATGATTTGTTGTTGTGTGGAAAGTGTTTCTGATGAATATTTTTTCTTATCATTCATAATTGATTTAATTTTCAATCCGATTGGACTGAGTGAAATTTTCTGGCCATTTGTAAGTTTATTGGTTGACGTTTCAGTTGAATCATTTATTGATTTTGGTTCAGTTATCGTACTATTCGATGATGGAAAACAATTTCCATTACTTGATAATACCGTATCCAAATCAGATTTTATGTTTTGCGTTTCAATTAGATATCGCGCAAAATCAATACTTGTTTTGAATTTCCGATTGAATGTTTTTTCCACCCATTCTAGTATAATATTCCATACAACATCATTGACCATGACATTGTTTTTTCTTACAGAATTTATTGATGATTCGTGACATTCACCATTACCGTTTCTACTATCGTTTGATATTTCTAAGATTGGTAATTCCGGTGCGGTTACAATAATTTTTTTCCTAAGACCACTATAACAATATTTGGAATTACCACGTTGTCCTAAACGGCGAGGTTTAACTTGAGGAAATATATGTTTCATTGCTTTACCAAAATCAGCAACACACAATTTTTCGAAATGATTTGCTTCGCAATATGCTCGATATTCTTCATAAACTTCATGTTTTGGTATCGAAACGGATATATCTTCTTCAAGGTGACTTTGAATCCATGCATATGTTTGTATCACTTCCGAATCGGCTTTCTTTCCAAACGGACTATTGTTCAACGTTTTTCTATATATATCAATTGTACACATGTACATATAAATTAAATCGATCAATCAATCGATCAATCAATCAATCGATCAATTGACGATACAAAGAACGGGATGAAAAAAAATAGATAGATAAATAGAAAGGAAAAGAAATTAATTCAAACCAATGAAATTCAATTCAAAATGATGAGAAAAAGAAAAAAATAAATAAGAAAATAACAACATACTTTTTTCCATTTGAAGACGGTGTTTCATCACCAACATCATTAACACTATTGGGATGATGATTACCACCATCGGGTAATTGTAAATATAAATATAATTTCTCAATATCATTGAACTTTCCAATATCAGCCTATATGAAAGAAAAATTTGAAAAAAAATCGATCATAAATATTTAATGAGTGAAATATTCTATCAAATAATTATCTAATCAATTATCCTATATATAAATATCAGCGTTTTTTTCTAGATTTTTTTTTTGCTCCCCCACTTTGAGAAGCGTTGTAAAAAATGAAAATAAAAATGTCAATACTTACAATTATGTCAGCTATTTTATTTTTCGTAGCTTCACTAAACATATTTTTCAATAGATGAAATGGTGTACGAACGGGGTAGTAAGAAGAAAATGAAAAAAAAATCGATGACAAGAAAAAAAAATGCAATTAACAAAAATTATTTATGCAATAAATATTAAGTAAAGAGGAAATATAAATGAAGAATTTGGCCAAAAAATGGAAAATTCTTTAATAGAAATCTCCCCCCACCAAAAAAACGAATAAGAAAAAGAAAACATTCTGAATAAACATTCGAAATTCCTTATTATTATTAACAATTCATGTTCTTCCTTATTCTCAATCTATCAATATAATGATCATCATCATAATAATAATAATGGGGAAGAAAACCTATGAATGTTTATATTTTGAATTTTTCTTATTCCAAAGAAAAAAAAACAAATATTTTTCAAACTAATTGCTAATTATATTCGAATGGAAAAAACAACAACAATAAAATTGTTAAAATCTAAACAGAAAATAGCATATACTTATGATAATCCTCTTATAGCAAGTAACCCGAGTACTCAATTACAACGAAACATTGATGTTTTTTTTAATACATAAGTTGTTTTATATAAATTATTGACAAATTATTTTTTTGGTAGTTGAAAAGATCGATTAACATCTGATAATAACATAGATCTGTTTATAAGAATTAAATACAAAACGAACCTGATATATTCTTTGAAGCTATTATTTATGATGGGTGTACCGGTTGTTGATTTCAGTTTACCATTTGAAATTCGATTGGATTGATCATCATCTTTTCGAATCGGTTTTGAATTATTATTATCACCATCGGTTAACATTTTCTTTTTCATTTCTAAATCATTATCTTTATCATTATCTTCACCATCTTCCTCTTCTTCTTTGACAACATTTAATCGGTTGGAATTGTTCACTGACGATGTTTGAATGGAATTCGTTGATGTAGTTGGTGTCGTTATAGCTAGATTATGATGACCACCAACCACCTGAATGGTGGAAGACATGGGCAAATTCTGTTGTTGTTGCGTTTTGGATTGGTTATCTAATTTGATTCTTAAAAGATTCTGTGTATTAGGCAGATGAATATAGTTTTGTTGTTGTTGTGAGCTGGCAACTAATAAATGAAGATGATGTTTAGATGATACTGTAGCTGTTGCCGTTTGAGGTGAAGTCTGCAATGGATGTAGTTGTTGTTGTTGATGCCGATGCTGCTGCTGCTGCATCAAAATAGATGATGAAGATTGAGATGTTAATGACAACATCGGTACCATTGTGGTGGTTGTTGTTGATGATGATGTCTGTTGTTTCATAAAAGGTTTCATTAATATAACATTGTTATCATTGCCATCATTATTATTTTGATTATTATACGATGATGTTGATGATGATGATGATGATGATAAAGAAGAAGTTGATTTGGACGTTGTATCGAATATCAATGTAGTCATCATTATAAATTGAAATTTTTCGATACTTTTAACATTTTAGAATTTGATTCCATATTCTGTTAAACTTAATAATACTTAATTATAAAAAATTGATTTTGAAATTTTTCAAAATTAAAAAAAAACAAAAACAAAATCATTTTTTCCATTCAAACAAAAGTAAGACATACAGACTTACACACACACAAAAGGAAGAACATTTATCTAAATTGGATAAACATTTGATCAATTGATAAAGAATATATAAGATTCAAAGAGGTAATTTAATTAATAATAATGATAATAATAACAGCAAAAGAGAAAAAAAAACAATTAAAATCAAAATTATGGATTTATTTTATCATAATCATCATCATTATTATTATTTGAATCAATACACACACACACACAACAGCAGCATCAACAATAAGTGTATGGTATAATAAAATCTAATCACATATCATCATCATCATCATGATGAACAACAGAAAAATAAAAAGAATCAAGAAAAAAAATTGATCAATAAGTGAGTGGTAGAAATATATAAGAAAATCATTTCATCTCCTGTATACATAATATTGTATACAGCAATATACAGGAGAATGAATGAGTGAAAACAAAAAGAGAGAGGTATCTCTTTTATTGGAAACTTTGGGAGATTTTTTTTTTGTTCATTTTTTTCAATGTTGATTGTGGTGTATTGTAGCTCCCATGGGCAAAAAATGAAAGAGATGTGTTTTCTGCCTATATTTGTGTGATGTGATGTATATGGATGTCTATAGACACACAATGTATGGGGGTATTTATAAAAGAAAAGAGGATCCATCCATATATAAACCAGTATACAAACCAAATTTTTTTTTTTAATTTCATCATTTTTTTTCATAATGTATTGGAGTTTTGTAATATATTCAACACAATAACGATGAATGATAATATAAAATGATCGAAAGAAAATTTCCAAGTATTTTGGAGTTGACGTGAGCCGCCCAGAAAAAGGAAAAATTTTCTGCTCAAACACTCATATACACAAAAAATACTTATTATCAAATGGCTGAATCCAGAAAAAAATAACATTCACTAACAAAAGCATATATAAATGAATTGATAATAAATACAGCTGTAGTCATTACAAAATAAATATATATAATGGCTGCATTTTATATAAAAAGTATATATTATTTTATATTCAAAGATGATTTCGTTTTTCATTTTCATCATGAGAAGTAATACGAAAAACAAAAAAGAAAAAAATATTGAATTTTTATGGAATTCCATATGGCATATATACCTTTGTCATTGAAAATGATGATGGTTCAAGTGAGGAAATGTATTATGTATTCACGTTAAAACAACAATCAATTAATTTTTGAGCGCCATATTTGAAAATTTCTTTGGATTTTTTTATTTTGGTCGCGATATTTATTTTTGTTAACTTCTGTGAATGGAACAGAAATTAAATTAGGCTTCCAATCATAAACAATAGTGATGAATAGATGGAATTTCGAATGAAATTCTTATGTTTTATTCCAAATAATTGAAAATAAATATGAATGCAAATCATTTAATTTCTTTTATCTTGATCGATAGAATGAAATTTTAATCAATATATTTTTTTGGGGAAGTTTTTTTTAGTTGCCTGAATGCAAACAATTCACAAAGGAATTACTGTTATTGTTACATGATTATTATTTGGGAGAACAAAATGGTGATGACAGCCTAGTGGTAAAAAAAATCAATAAAGGTGAAGACATACGGAACGATCAATTCAAACACCAACACCAACACTACCACCAACAATAACAATGGCCAACTCTGAGTTTGACATTCACAAATATCTTATTCGAAGTTATTCAAGGAAAAAAAATAGAAAGAAAGAATTTTTTTTACTCAAAGAATTCCGATATAAAAAATGATTGAAAACAAGACACTAATAATCATCAATGAAGGTGATGCCACCAGATGTCGACTAAAAAAGAAATTCTGGTTATATAATAATATTCCATTGGTGTGTGTGTGTGTTTAGAATCGGCATGTCAGTAAAAGATTTGATTACAAAGTTTTTTTTTTTGGTGATTCGAATATTTTACACATCAACAGGCTTTTTTAGTCGAAATAGTTTTTTTGTGTATGATGATTTGACGCAATAAAAATATAATGTATTTTCATTGCTAACTGATCAAATAACGATTACAATTGCAGGCAGCTTTTTTAATTTATTAATTCCAGTTTTGCATTCAAGTTAAAAAAACACTAGTCATTGTGGAAATATTGTTTTGGATTATTTCGTTTTTTGAATCTTTGAATTGTTATTATTGAAAATATTCCTTGGCTCAATTATGGCTGAAACATCAACTAACCGAGCTTCCACTGCTGATGATAATAATTATGAACAATCAACGGAAACAACTTCGACGGGTATCGGTGCTGTTTTTAGGTAAAATTTGCATTAAATATTAATTTTTTTTTTAATATGAAATTTGATTTTTTAATTCATGTTTCCGTAGACATTTGACATCAAAACCGACAACCACTTTATTATTAACCATGCGAGTGGCCACATTAACTTTCACATTTTTATACCTGGTACCATTAACATCAATTTCACCATCAAATCTTTATCAAAAAGCATTGGTATCGAATGCTGCCATATCAGCTTTACGTCTTCATCAACGATTACCACCATTTCGTATTAGCCGTGAATATTTCTACATGCTTTTAGTAGAAGATTCGGCTCATTATCTATTTTATTCACTAATATTCATATCGAATCAACCGATTACATTGGTACTTTTACCGATTGCATTATTCTCTTTCCTACATGCATGTAGCGCTATACTTAATGTCAGTAATGTTGCCGGCATTACCGGTAAGTTTGTAATTTATTCATTTTTATGACCTTGTAACATGAAATTTATATCAGGAGCATCTAAACGCTTTCTTGAAAATATATTACAAAGTCAACGACAAATACTCTTGACCATTGCATTGGCCGAAATCACATTGATGCCGACCATTATATTTGCCATAATAGCTGGTTTGGCCAGCATATTCACTCCGTTTATGTACTATCAATTTGTTGCATTACGTTATTCGTCCCGTCGCAATCCATATAGTCAACAGGCGTTCCATTGGCTACGATTATCATTGCAACATTTCGCAATGTCACCTCGCTGTCCATCAATATTACAAACAATCATTTATCGTGGTATCGAAATTGTTTGTCGATTTGCGCCACAAATCCAGCAATGATAAACACATCCACATTCGATGATGACCGGTGACCAAAGTAAAAAAATACATTCGATTTTAAGATGAACAATCTTTTATTATTCATTAGTTGTCATAGTTGTCTCACTCAAATCTCGATCCATCATTTTTTATGTTAAACTTTGAAAACATAAGCAAAATATACATTTACTCTGGATATTTCTTATTATGCACCACAAAGAAAATTTTACAGAAATTATTACTAATAAAATTCACTGAAATTTAAAAGATTGATAAATTTTTTCAACTTTATTAGAATTATTTTTTTCTTCATATTTCTATTCATCAAATGTGACGAAAACAATATTCATTAATAAAATCAAATGAAAATTTAAATAAAGAAAAAGATGAAAATGGCAAGAAAGCCATACGGTTACACAAATGGAATGGATGCACATCGATCACTATTTTTTTTTTGTTTGTTTACATTGAAAATGATGATAAAGAAAAACAAATGCTATTATGATGTTAGATTGTTTTTTTTGTTAATGTCGATCAATTTATATGAGTGTATGTATCTGTGTATGAAATAACTTTTTTAAAGAAAAAAAAATTCATATATAAAAATAAGAAAAACCATTGCCCGTCCAAAAGGCCAATTCTCACTCAAGACTTGGGGCTTGGTCGGATGACTGTAGAAAAGAGAAAAAAAATCAAGTAAAGAAAAATTGAACTGTGAAAAGAATTTCTGTACAAGTCCTACAAGAGTTTTGGAAATGAACAAATAAACACACATGCAATAATAATTGGAAAAGGCACAGCAATTAACATAATTAAAATGGATGACATATTAACGATATAACGCATCAGGTCCATTTCTTGTTGGAAAATTGATCGATAGATATCTTTGTTCTGCTAGCATCGAATGAGTTGAAGATGGATAGTCGTCATCAATAATGGTAGCCAAATCAAAGAAGACTACAAAACCATATTTTTGATTGTTTTTTTGCAGGTTCATTAGCCCGTAAATGATGACTTCCACGACTTTGATTGTTCGATTCCTATCAATAGACACACACAATAGAGGAAAAAAGATTCGATTTGATTAAAGGTAAAATTGAACTGATTTTAAAAAAACATACCAATTTTCGTTCCATTTTGGCTTTAATATCTTTAGCCAATGTGAAGAATGCTTCCTCAACATTAAAACTAGATTTGGCCGATGTCTCCATAAATTTGATATTATATTCTATCGCTAATTGTTCACCACGTTCGCGTGAAACTTGTCGCCGATCGTGTATATCGCATTTATTGCCTAAAATCATTTTTTCCACATCACTTGAAGCATGTTCCTCTATATTTCTTATCCAATTCTTAATATTATCGAATGATTTTTCATTCGTCACATCATAGACCAACATGATTCCCATAGCACCACGATAATAGGCCGTTGTGATTGTACGGAAACGTTCCTGACCAGCCGTATCCCATATCTGTAGTTTTATTTTTTTACCATCCAGTTCGATGGTACGAATTTTGAAATCAATACCTTTTTTTTGATAATAATAGTATTAGTAATTGGAGATTAACAAGATTAAAACAATAAAAAATAAATATTTTTCAAAAAAATAATACCGATTGTCGAAATGAATGTAGTATTGAATGCATCTTCACTAAAACGAAATAGTATGCATGTTTTGCCAACGCCCGAATCACCAATAAGTAATAATTTAAATAGATAATCATAGGTTTTGGCCATTATCAATCAAATTGATTTAGGTACTTATATATGAACAATGAAGAGATTATGAAAAAAAATTATCTCAAATTCAAAAAGATGTCAACAAACTGAACAGATTTTTGTTAAAAAATTGATGCGTTGTTTTCGATGTATACAAGAATCAATGGCGATACATCGAATCCTTTCAATTCACATTTAGACACATATGTGAAGAGAGGCTGATCCGTTTGGATTGGAATTCAGAAAAATAAATCTACTGTGGGTGAGTCAGATTTAAATTGGTTCGATTTCGTAAATTTCGGATGATTGACTTTTATTTGTTGATAATAATAATGCAATCTAACGATGATGATGATGATGATGATGAAAGTGATTGATAATAAAGTGATTTTTTTTTGACTGAATTAATGTCGTTAAACAATTTTTGAAGAAAGAAAAATGAGCACCGGTAGAATCGAGATATTAAAATCGTACGTATGTGTATCAATGAAGGGAGGGGTTTATTTGTTACTGATATTTTTTTTACCTTTTTGTTTATTTGTAAATTTTTTTTGTTTTGTTTTGTTTTGGTTAGAACGCTTACATAAACAGTTGATAGAAACCAATGATTTTACAATGAGCACGTCGACGATAATCATTCATTGATGATTAGTCTGTCGTTTAAAATTACTCATGGTGATAAGGGATTGCTATTGCTTTACTGCTCGCGCAATGTGTGTTTGCGTGTGTGTGGCTTGATTATTTATTGTAACGACGATAATAAAACAAACAGTATACCGAAAAAGGCTACAGTCACAATATTACAAATATTTCGGTTGTAAATGACGACCGATAGAGGTCCCACTAAACTTTTTTTTCAAAAAATTCTTTTATTTTATTTTATCGAATCACTTCCTCATACTTTAAAATCAAAATAATTCCTGTTCATTATCATAATTTGAAGCAATACCTGAGCGACCTTGTTTGATCGATTCGATTTCAGTTGATCCAGCATCAACAATTAATCCATACCATGAATCATTAGAACACAATTTTTGTTGCTGATTACGTTCAATGATGATCAAATTGCTTTCATTCGATTCAGATTCATTCTCACAATCTTCATCATAAGTGATGTCACAATTTTCGTTCCATTCGATACCACCATATATTAGATTTAAACCACAGGCAATCTGAAATTCTTTCCAAAAAATTACAGGATATAGATAACGAGCAAGTTCTGTTGCCATTTGATATTCACAACGACAAACATTGATAAATACAAAACCAGTTAGCTGAGTGAAATTTCCCAATCTTGATTCAAAATCCGATTGATTCAATGAAATGAAATATGGTAGCTTTTTGGCCCGTTTAGACAAGTATTTAGCATTCTTCAGTGATGACGAGATAGATGATTGAAAATCCTTATAAACAATTCCTATTGATTTATTACTGACAATTTTAAATTTTTCTATTAATGATATACGTTTTCGAAATTCTTTAGCACCGTCTAGCGTTCGTAAATTTTCTTTCATAGGATCAATCATTAACATTTTTCGACAGCTGATGATCATCTCCAAATCTTGACATTCACCGATAAACACAACGACTTCATAATAGTTAAAATTATTTTTGAATCGATATGGATATTGCACTATTGAAAATGCGTCAGTTTCGTCAAATAGATTGGAAACGTTTGGCTCTAGATACCAATTTTCTTGCAGGGGTTTTACGAATTTGGTTATTTCGATTTTGTTGTTAAACAAATCGCATTTTTGAATCTTATTGGCAAGCGGAGTCAAAAATGACGAATGCGTTAGATCAGACATTAATAAAACATTTATATTAGATGAATCACGAAATTCTTGATCTATGCATCCAATAATGTAATCTAATTCATCATCAGAAGGAATAAAAGAGACGAATAACATGGGCAAAGTCTTTGAATATCTTTCCGGACAAAGACAATCACAACCAAAATAGATGGCAGCATCGATCTGGCTATTAGCATCCTGTAAACGGAATGGTAACGTTTCCGGACCAGTTGTACAGGTTACCGTTATAAAAAATCGAATATCTGGAAGATCTTGTAATCGTTTAACGATTTGGTTGGCATATTGATAAAATTTGGGCAAAAAATATAGGCAAACATTTCGAGGTTGAATATGATTAATCCAATCGATACAATGTTCAATGTTGAATCGTTGTTGTTCATGAGTTTTAGTTTTATTCATGGTGATAATTATTTAGGAAAAAAAAAATTAAACTTGAAAAAAATGATCGCATGATCTATTTGGATTCAAACATAATAACCATTAAGGTCAAAATAGCATTCCATTCGAATTCGGTGTGAGTATACGAGCTTTTCAGCATTTGAGTTTATTTTTGTCTGAGTCTCTGATGCATAATTGATTTCAGTTTTTGTAGTAAGTATATTTTCAATTATCAAAATGGATCAGAATACTTTCGAAGCAAGTGATTTACTTTCGTTTGATTATGCTGTGGATGATGAACTTAAAGATAATGAAGTAAGTCTTTCCATGATAAAAATGATCTTAAGCTTTATTGTTAATTATGAATTTTTTAAAAAGGACGAAGATGTCAATTGTCTTGATCATGAAAACAAAAACAAAGGTATGTCATGGTGTTTAAGGTGATGTTGCAATTTTTTTAATGTTAGTAAATCGAATGAATAAATCTAATAATTGGAGCATTCTCATTAATAATTTCTGGAGTGATATTAAGTATACATAAAAAGATGATAATGATTTTAGCACAATAAAAAACTCATCTGTTGCGTTTTCATCAAATAATTTGAGAAAATGATGATGATGAAAAAATGAGCAATAATTCTGATCATTGGCAAATTTACACTTAAAATGGTATCGAAATCGTTGCTAGCCATTCAATCAACCAAAATTGATGGACCATATATCTTTTTTGGCTTGTCTCAAAGTCATTTCTCTATTTGGTTTGGTGAAAGTTCCGTAATGATGGATGGATAATGTGTGATGAAAACTTTGCGATCTATTATTTAATTTATTATTGAACATTATTGTAATATTGAACTGGATAAAAACTAACTAATGTTTTCTACAAAAACATACATTTATTTTTTGGTTGGTTGCTGGTGATCATAATAACAATCACAATTATTAGGGAGTGAAAATGGCGTTACAAATGTGAAAAAATCAAAAAAGGACAAAATTCGGAAAGAAAAATCCGTTAATAGCGGCGGCAAAGAAAAAGTATCGAACGTTAAATCATCGACAAATTCGAATTCTAACAATACTAATAAAAGTAGTGGCGGTGGAACAAAATCGAATAAATCATTAAATGTGGTGACTGCAATGGATTCGTCATCGAAAAAAGACAAGAGGTTGGTTAAACTGCCAATGAAAATTTCTTTATTACATACTTAGTTAGTTCGAAATGTGAAACAACCATTTTAAAACTCAATTGCAAACAATGTTAACAACAGCAATAGATATGAAAGATTTTAAAACCTCCGATCATTCTAATATTCATGGTTTATTGTTAAATATTAATAGCTCATCAACATCGGCGGCCATATTGAATTCAAATAGTAGTAATAATGGTAATAATACCAAAAAATCCTCACCAAAAAACGATCAAAAGGATTCGAAAGGTACCGAAGGTAAATTTTTATACAAATTGTTTTTGAATATCTTAAGGCTATATTGACCATTCCAATATGATTGAAATTTTTGATGATGATGATGATAAAGCTGTCAAAAAAAATGAATCTGGGACTGACATGAAGAAAAAGGATTCTATTACATCGAAAACCGTAAAAATTTATGTGAGTGGTATTAAAGAAGCAACGAAAGCTTCGGATCTGCAAAAATTTTTCAAAAAATCGGCTTCAACAAACATTTTGGATGCCAAGATCATACGATTCTCTAAAATTCCGAACGAATGTTTTGGCCTAGTAACTGTAGAGAATGAACCACAAGCCAGTAAATGCATCGAGAATCTGAATCAAACCAAATTGAATGGAGTGGTTGTCACATTGTCCAAAGTGAGTGTTATCTTGGATGGAATCGTACAAAAAAAAGGAATATTCAGCAATTTTTACATATTTAAATTTTAATATTTTCCACGATCTACATTTAGCAATCACCATTGAAAACACGAATGACAGATTCAAAGGAAAATGACAGCAGTAATAAAGATAAAAAGTTAACAACTACTGAAGCCGTGTCAAAACCTAAAGAATCATCCAACAAGGTGAAATTGGTGGATAATAAAAAAACAGAGAATAAAACTTCTTCGAAACCAACGATCACTACTAATAAGAAATCGGACACAAAGGTATCGATTGAAAAGAAAAAAAGCTCAACGTCGAAAAATGAAAATGATAAACCTTCGGACAAATCGAAAGTAGTAGCAAAAGAAAAATCAAACAAAGAACCAGCCAAAGAATCGTCATCTTCTAAAAGTGTTAAAAAGAATGATTCAAAGAATAAAGATGATAAAAACAAAAAGATTACGAATGATAAAAAATCATCGGATCGTCATCGTCGAAGTCGATCCAAGTCTAAATCACCTCGTAGTCGACAGCCAATTAGACGGCCGATTTCATTAAGTCGAGAATTCATTCGTAAACAACAGCGACTTGCTAGATTCAAAGAAATGCGTGAACGTCAAGAACTCGAACGTATACGACAAGAAAGAATTCGATTCCAAAAAGAAACCGAACGTTTACAGTTGGAACGGCTTCGTTTGGAACGAGAAAAGATTGAATTGATGCGATGGGAACGAGAAAAAATCCGTAAAGAATGCGATGAATTGGCTCTACGAAAACAACAGGTGACAGCCGTAGAACCAATGCAACATGAACCATTGCGAACAAAGCGATATTTGTCATCACCATCAGCATCTCCGCCACCACCTATAACCAATATAAGATCATCTACATCTAGACGTTTCAATCGTAGTCGTGGCCATAATAGTAGTGCATCTCGTTCTCGATCACCGGAATTCTGCAGCCCTCATCGTGAGTATAATGCTGCTAATCATAATTCATCAATCAAACGTGCACCAAGATCATTTACTGCTTCTTCATCAACAGCACTTGATCATTCATCCAGGTATTTTCGAATTTTATTTGTTCGATCAAACGAACGAACTGACGAAAATTTCCAATTCTTATTCTTTAAATATGTTATTTATTTTTATCTTCTGGTTTGATCTAATCTCGCAAAAATGTTGAATAATCATAAAAAAGATTTGAATCGTCATCAAGGCGCCGTGAATCACCACCACCAAGAAATTTCGGCAAACGAATTAATTATGAGAACGATTCAAATGATTCATATGAAAATAATCATAATCATCATCGTCGTCATTCTACAAGTCATGGCAGCCATCATCATGATCGTGATCGAGATGATCGTAAAGAGCTGTCGCGAAGTAATCGCATGGATTCTCCGATACGTCGTGGAGGTGATAATGAGCACCATCGTTATAGTGCCAGTGGAGATAAAGGCGATATGCTCATCAGTTTACATGCTCATCCTCAATCACAACGCAATCCGTTTGGTGTTCCTTCGGATGGTCAATCTAGAGGAGGTGGATGGCCCAACATTGCCTCGAATCAATGGCAAACTTCAACCCCTAATGATCGTTGGAATAATGGACCATCCAGTTCTACCTTTGTTGAAAGTCAAGTTCCACCGCCACAACAACAGCCTCCTTCACATTCAGTTGGACCAGCCAACTCTTTGAATACATCGATGGTGGCACCTGGACCAGTTCCATCTATGAATGATATCTATTCTAATAATTATTCTGTCATGCCCATACCTGGTATATCACCATCATATCAAATGCATAATCGGCGTTATTGAGATGCTTTGGATTTTTTCTCCAATTTTTTTTCTCAATTTTTTTCCTCAATTTTCATTGACATTTTTTTCAAAATGGAATGAGATCACATTCATTCATTTATTCATATAACGAAAATATTCTTTGTAAAGCATTGTCTTGTTTAATTTCTTTTGTCATGCTTTTTCTATATTTAAGATTTTTATTTCGATCAGGTTAAACGGTAATTCGGCATCAATTTTTTCCTTCAACATGCAAAAATCGATTTACATTCTTCAACCTAGCTGAGGATGTGTTATATGGTCACTAGTTTCCGTTGGCTACTAAAAAAAATAAAAAATTGTTTTATCAATTTACAATGATTGAAAAAATGTGGCAAAGATAATAAATGAAAACGAGAGATATGGATGGTGATAGGTTCTTCGATGGAGGGCAAAAACAAAATAAAATTTATGCGATTGTGTGGTATTTACAACTTATTTTTGATTGCTTCAAGAATTTTTCTACCCATAAAATTGTAAAAGACAATGTAATAAGGCACATTCTTGGCATTGACCACATTTGAACGTTTATCTTCCTCATTCTTGCAAGGCTTCCAGTTGGCGTTTGTGCATTTCGATACGGTTTCGGCGAGTACGTCGCACATTTAGCTTTTCCTTCAAACCTTGACTCATTCGTGCTTTATTCATCAATTGATTCTGTTCGAATTCTTGCATCTCCCGAAGGTGTTTCTGATGAATTTGTGTAATCTTGCCTGTTTGATAGGAGAAATCGGATTAATATCTGAATAATATGGAATATTCTTACCGAAAATTTCTTTGTTGCTTGGCATAGGACCCAATTTTTCTCCCGGTAATAATGGCGTTGAGTTGCTGAAATCTGTGGACAAAATTGAATCTTTGGCCGATGTTAAAATTCTATTGTATTGATCATCAACGATAACTGATTCATCAAGCTCGCTATCCACTCCGCTGTCTACTAAAAATGTCCAAATCAGCAAAAAAAACAATCAATGTAAGATTATGAATAAAACAAATTTTAATTATGGATGGCTTGCCTCTTAGATCGAATGGTGAATCATTTTTAATCATTTTATCGGCTACTATCAAACCACCATTTTCATCCTCATGGCTCCATTGTTCTTGTTTTTGTTTGATAAGCATGGCACGTTCGAAACGGAGTTCATGTGCTTTAGCTCGACATTTATCCCTTATGTTCAGCAAATCATTTTTTATCGTTTTGTTCAATACCTCTTTCACCCATTTATGTTGCGTTACCATTTTTGTTCTCAATAATTCTAATGAAGTGATTAACGATTCTAAACGATCCGATGTTAGATCATTAAATAATTTTATAAGTTCTCTTTCAAAATGTTCAAGATCTTCAGTTTTACAATGGGGCAATTGAACATTTTTAAGATTATAGTGCAATGAGATTAGATTATAATGAGCCATTACGAGACTGTTTCGTGCTTCCTTCATACATGTATAATAGAAAACATAATCACTGTTAAGAAAATGGAATTGAAAAAAAAATCAAATAAACAATTATCAAGAAAAGAATTGATTGTGATTATTGTAATACTTTTCGGGCACTTGCTGAAATTGTCGAATCTTTTCTACGCCAATATCCAAACACTTGAGTGCATCAATAATCAAATTATCCGAATTTATCCAACGAATTTTCGCGATTTCAATATAATGACGTTCTTCCATCAATGTATCCAATTCCTTTTCCAATTGTATTTCTTTTTCACTACCATAATTACCTTCAAATACTTGATCTATGGCCAATCAATCAATTAAACAAATTAATTCATAATTAATAAATAGTAACTTACTTAAAACATTGTCACGTTGTTGATATAATTCGTGTAGTTGATCGCAAAGTATTTGTAATTCTTTTAATTCGGATTCATAATCATCCAGATCTTTTTCCAATAATTCAATTTTTAGCTCATAAATTTTCTTTAAAAATGATTCAATAAAAAAATATTATTAAATAAGAAGAAAATTAAAAATGATTCAATAAATCTAAAATTATACCTGTTTATTGAATGATTCTATTAAAAAAGTTTCATTGGGTGATAAATCATGACGACTTAAATTATCGACAATCATATCACCAAAGGTACGTTCATCTGTTAATCTATTATTTGTTTCGTTTGTGCTTAAACTATTATATTACGAATAAAATTATTTAAATAAAATAAAATTATGTTATCATCAAACTTACAGATTATTATTTATTTCATCTAATTTTTCATTCAAATTCTGTATCTGTTCTTTCACTTGTTCAACATCATCGGATGTGATTCGATATTTTTCAAAACATTTTGTCTCTTCCATTGTTTGTATGGCACTTTCCAGATTATTGAACAATTGTAATACATTACGTTTATCGACAATCGGTATTCCATTAGTGATACAATCACCGGAGCCATTGGTTGGTGAATCATCCGATGAATTCAATACGAATCGATCAGCTCCATTGCCATCACTAATGTTACTGCCAGTATTACCGATCAATGTATCGATACTTTTTCGGCCGTTGTTTCGTCTTCTATCAATACCACCACCACTATCACTGGAAATATGATTTGATCTGATTGTTGCTGATGATTGTTGTTCCGTTTGTTGTTGATAATTATGATGCTGACGATAATTTAAATGATGAATTTCGTTGATATTATTAATATTGTTTGTGTCGTTTATCATTGGAGAAGTGGATGATGTGTTGATTATGTTCGAATGATCTGAACTTACACCGCAGCCCATATGGATCTGTTAATAAAAGTTCATGGATGTGTAATAATAGATATGGATCACTTCAGATATTCAATAATTGAACAATCAACATTGTTTAATCATCGAATACATCACAAACAAATTCATGTGCGAACACTTTGGTTCATGTTAGTTCACGGTCATGCCAACTTTTAATAAAAATTGATTCACGGCTGTATTTCAATGAATAAGTGGACGATAACATCGAACTGTTTACATCCATTAATGATTTTGACAATTTAAAAAAATGATTAGATGAAAAATTTAATTTGAAACTAACAAGACAAATTAAAAATCGTTCGATAAATTTCGGATACGATTGTGTTGTTGTTGCTGGAAATTTGGGATTACAACTTGAACTAAATTGTCTATGTACAACTGAAAACTGACTCATAATACAGTTTTGTGGTGTATGGACTCCCGTTATTGAATATTAAAAAAAATTCTTTGTATCGATTAAACCGCATAAAAACAATCGATCGATAGTTTTTCGCGAATAACAAGAAACGACTCGACATCAAACACTTGTCACTATGGTTTCCTGATTTTTATTTTTCGATATTGTTTCAAAGGTGTTTGGGTTGGTGTAATTTGGATACAGTTGGTGGTCTTATTCTATTATTTTTCGTTTTTTTTCATTTTCTAATGTATAAAGTTTGTTTATGCGTTATGTATTTCTCTCACTATCACATAGCAGCAGGTATATCTTCATACAAAAATATATTCATTATACTCGGTCAAAAACACAAATATTCAAATGGAATATTCTTCGTTTTGGTCGAATATCTACACAAAGATACACACACACACAATCTAATTAAATTACAAGAATGAATTCATATCAATTCCTACATTTTTTTTCTATTATATAGCCGCATATACAATAATTTAGATTTCAAAATATTAAAAACTTGACACACTCACGCGATTTAATACTTCTGTGTTCGAGGTTTTTCATATTGTCAATCGATTTCATCATACGCTAACGTGCGCGTCGATCCAAAAAAAAACAAAAATAAAAATTCAATGATGATTATAGAAGTTTTGAATCGATTTTTTTTTCAATCGAAATTTTCGTTCACGTCAAATAAAATGTTTGCTATCACGGCCAATGTTAATTAATTTAATTTTATGTAACTACTGTACTTGAGGAAAAAAAACTTAATTTGAATTGAAAAAAGACAAACTGATAAACAAAATTCTACATAATAATTATAATTGAGGACTTTAAGTATTTTTTCTTGTACATACATGCATGCTGTGTGTATGCTAAAGCTATTATTTTTTTCTATTAGATACATTTTGCATAAATATTTTTTTTTTCAACCAATTATTTTGAAAGAAAATCAAATCAATAGTTAGCAGGAACCGTTGAAGATTCGGGTTAAAAACTGATACGAAAACAATTCCCGCCATGAAACAAATTTTAAATAAAGCATTACATAACGTCATTTATTGATTACTCTAATGTTTGAAAATATTTAATTAAACACATGTTTGATTATTAATTAGTGTGAACAAAATTCAATGGATGCGGACATACGAAATTTGTCGCGGGAGAAAAATCATAAACTTGCCGCTTGGTTAGGTATAGGTGTTTTCGGCGGTCTAGCCACTGCTCTAGTCACTATCTCATGGCCATTTGTAATGCCAGCATTTCGTAAAGTTGTTCTTCCCTATGTTCCAGCTACTGTCGAACAAATCGAAAATGTCTTGAAAGCTTTACAATATCGGCGGCCATTTGAACAACAACAAAAACAGCAATGCAATTCGGATACAAAATTGATCGATTTAGGAAGTGGTGACGGCCGAATCGTATGTATGAAATTTCTTTTTTATTTGGGGTACCAAATTAATTTATGAGTTTTTTCATTAATTATTTATTTTTTTCTGATCTTCAGGTAATTGCATGTGCTCAGCAAGGCTTCCTTTCATATGGCGTCGAACTTAATCCATGGTTTGTTATTATTGGAATTGTTTTCGTTTGAAATTAATGAATATTTTTTTTTCATTTTCTATATTTAGGCTGGTTGTTTATTCGAAATTTTGTGCTTATCGTCAAAATGTTCATAAATTAGCTAAATTCCAACGTAAAAATTTATTCAAAGTAAGAATTTTAAATTTTCGATATAAGCATGAACCGGAAATATATAAAATAATATAGCAGTTGAAAGAAACAATGACAAATATACATGACAAATGACTAGTAAAGCAATAATTAACAAAACAATAAAAGCTCTTGAACAAATCAATTTTTTCATTTTAATCTTTTTTTCTTTTCCATTGCGAAAAAAGGTTGATTTGGCCGATTATGATAAAATTATTCTCTTTGGTGTTCAAAGTATGATGCCATTGATTGAGCAAAAAATACGTGATGATTGTAATCGTAAGCAACGATCAACAACTTTAATCGCTTGTAGATTCCCTTTGCCCAATTGGCATCCATACATGACATTCGGTTCCGGTGTCGATCAGGTTTGGCTATACAAATATTACCCATCTTATCATTCAAAAAAATAATTCAAGAGATAATTATAAATAAAAAAAATGCACAACAAAAAATTATAATAATTATTATTCATCCGATGATTGTTGCTGTTCCATTTCAAGTTCAAACCATTTAGTAATGGGAAGTTTAACATCCAAATAATCACTAAAATTTATTTCAACATGACCAATGGCTGATTTATTTTTCTTGAACAAACCTTCTAATCGGCTTAGTACGACCAATTTTATTGATTCGAGTTCAATATCAAGGTCAAGTAAAAATCTGTTTGAAAATATTTTTTTGTAAAATTTGAAAATTATTAAAAGAATAAAAATAAAATAACCTTTCTTCATAAACTGGATTGCAAGTATTTTTTATCGTAACTGATTTATTTCGTTTATCCTGTTTTGATTTAAAGCGATCAGGTTGGGTATAAATTTTCACATATGAATCCGGTGGTCTATCATCTTTTTTCGGTAGATTCCTGTATGCATAACAACAAGTACATGTTTTTGGAAAAACGTCTAATCATTGTCAATTGAACAACAACAAAAAAAAAACATTACCTAGCTTTATGGGCAATAATCTCCCATTTCGGATCATCATGATTATCTTTTTCATCTAATTTGTTTATAGTTATCTTGAGCATGGGATTATTTGAATGTATTGAACTTAATGTACTCGATGTTGATAATGTCAAACTTGTCGAATCTTCATGACTTGAATAATTGTTATTGTTGTTGTTGTTTTGTATTTGCTGTTGTTGAATCAACGGTTTTATTATGTCTTTGAGTTCTAAATTTTTTAAATTTTCGACACTGAAAAAAAGAAACGAAAAACGTTAAAAAATTTATATCAATATTTTGTCGACAACCTACCTATATTGTTTATAATGTTTCTGTAGCTGCTTTTGGCCGATTTCCATAACATTATGATCAAGACCACTAATTTTAGCAATAGGCTCAACCGTCCCTTTGACAAGATCTTCCATTGCTGGAATTGTATCGGTACGTTCTTCAATGGTTTCATCATTAACCATTCGTACTTTTTTAATTGTCGGTGATGTCAAAAACCAAAGCGAAAAAATACCATGCAATTCAAAACTATAATTATAAGTTTTTATTATTAATGGCTCATTGTGTGTCATATTTTTCGATTGTGTTAATTCTTCCATCTTGATACTTGTATCACCAATCTTTCTGTTACTTTTTGTATCAATTACTTCAATATGAATTTCATCTTCCGGATTAAATTGATCCATAAGAAAATGAAAATTTTCTTCCCATACCGGATTAGCTGTAAATGTTTTTACAATACTTTTCTCTATTTGTTTATTCAATTGAAAAATAACTTGTGAACTTGGCTCTCCAATTGATTTGGCCATCAAAGGTAAGTTTTTCAAACTGTCCAGATAAATCATAAGGCATGCGATTGAACCATGAGGGTGATCTTGAGTATTATTATACTCCGTTTTAAGCAGACGACATTCTCTTAATTGATCAGAAAGATTTTCCATCGAATGTTCCAATTGAAGCCATGTGGCTCGAACATGAATTCTTCCAGTTTTAGCATCTTTAAGATTTACCCAAGCATCAATGATACCGTCTTGCATAATTGATTCAATTGAGAAGGAAATTCGACCAAGAAAATCATCTTTACTTCCTTGATCTTCATCCATTACTTCTAAATCAATACTCTGTGTAGAGAAGAAAGCTAACGTTTCACAGATGAAGTTCCATTTAGGATTAATCGTATTATAGACGGTAGCCGTTTTATATTCTTGATTCCCGATAATAATGTTCACATATGGATCACTCTTGCCTAGACCAAGCATACCAACGTCAGCTTTTTTCAAATGTCGTGCTTCTATTACTTCCAATCGTACAACGCCCAAAGGTTGCGTAAATTTGATCACATGGCCTTTAAGATCACTGACCAGTGGGCAGACGAATTTATTTGGAAGAACCATCATTTTACCAATCTGTTCTTTGATTGCATTACGAAGAAATTCACTGAGACCTGGAAAATCAAGTACATCGGCAACATTGGTAAAATTGAATTCTATGACTGGATTTTTCAAGAAGTAAATCGATACACAGCCGATCAATGGCATATCTTTCATCAATGGTTTTAATTCGATGCGAACAATACCATACAGTTGAAAATCTTTGATGCCAGCGTTAAGGCCCTTTATTCGCACTTGAATATCACAATTTCCTGCATATATCAGTTCAAGGTCGAGAATGATCTCATCTCGAGACGTGTTTTCATCATAACATTTAACACTGCCAAGTCTTAATGGCTAATCGATGAATCATGAGTTATTAATCAATTTTAATTTTAATTAATCAAATTCTACTAACCACACAGCCAAGATCAATTTTTTCAAAACGGAATCCTTTACAATAATCAGGCATAACTTGATCAATGTTTTGTTCGATTTTATTTTTCAGCAAATTTTTCACATATTCACCGAGAAAAGGCCACATTTGTTTAAATATTCGGTTTAACCATTCAGCTCGTTCAGTGTCCTGCATTAGAAAAAATCAACGTTTAGAATCACTGATGATTACTTAGAAGAATTACCGGAAACAGGACCCAACCGGGCAAATCTTGCATCGAATATTTTACAATATTTTTTTCATCTTCAGCGACGGCTCGTTCAAATAGTAATCGTCGTTGTTGTAAAAGGCGATTTTTATCACGAATAATCCACATGAATGCTGTCACAGATAGCCACCAAGTACTCATATTTGTATAACCAATCATATAGCCAAATAACATACATCCGAATAATTTACCAAATTTTTTGGCCATCGGTATTAAATCAAACTCATCATCTTGTTTATTTTTATTATTTTTGCTGTTCTTTTCAGCCTTTGCGGATGAAGCGGATGATGTGTTTTCTTTGGTCATTTTCACGACAATGAAAGAATTTGAATGTTTTGAATCAATGCATCGATCAACTAGTGGATGTCAAATTTAAAATATATTCTGTTTCGATGAAACAAATGTTTACAATGTTCAATCGATACAGAAAAGTATTTATCTTCTGCAGGATTCTTTTCCTGATTTGGAGTTGCTCGTCTTTCTCGAACTCTGTTGAGTGAATTTAAAAACAATATAAATACACACGCATACAGTTTCAGAAAATGATAACCATATAGAAATGAAATATTGCAATATCGTTAGCCGTTGCTAATCACCCAAAAAAAAAAATAATGGCATAAAATAATGTTACTCAAACAAATCACATACAATAATTCCTAATAAGTTATTATCAAATCTTATTCTTTGATAACTTTTTTTTTATATAAACCTTATAATTTATAATAAAATGTAGACTTTTCATCTATTTATCTGAAAAATCCGATTGAGGAGATGAGATCAAATAAAACTCTAGAATTGAGTGCATGTGTTTTTTATGATGATCAAGGATAAATGATAAAAAAATGCAGGTCATACCTGATCGATTAATTGATAGATTTTTGTTCGAATCAAAGGAAATTTTAGTAAATGATTGAAGGGATTTTAAAAAAAATTAAATTATTGTTGTGGGGTTCTTTAAAGATTCTTTAAAGTTTAATTTTGTGCAATTTGTTTTATCAATCTGAATCGATATTTGATAAACACAATATTCGCTATAGACATATAGATATGTTGATGCAAATATTGTTACGCGAGCAAAATCGACTTATAAGATGCTAATTATCCCTAATGAATCATCATCTATTTGAATGGCACTTTGGATAATTTTTTGAATATAAAATGATAAATCTTTAAAATTAATATACAAAATTTTTATTTATTCAATTATTTTCTTTAATTGATTTACAGTTCAAAATTCATTTAATTCATGTAAGATATTATGATGGTTTTTCTATTCGTTTGGTCTCTACATCTAATAACAATCGTAATAATTGATCATTCATTTCGGTCGAAATATTCAATGGATTCATGAATTCTGAAATACGCTGAAATTTAAACATCGATCGTAATGTTTCAAGCGTTTGTTTTTCGTTTTCATGTTTCTCCTCCGATTCAGATCCAGATTCAAGTAATTCTTCGCTTTTTATTGAATTGATTAATGAATGCATATCACTGATCAAAGTCAACATTATATTCATGGACTTTTCATTTAATCCAGACAGGTCCGAAAGCTGACCTTGAAGTAATTGCGCGATGAATTTATAAACCTGGCAATATTCATTATCAGAATTATGAAATGATTCGGCTTTTATCATCATGATGTCGGCGAATGCTGTATTGAAGAATTCACATTTATAATGCTGTTTCATATTTAACAGGTTAGAAATCCTGTTAATGACAAAAAATATAAAATAAAAACCATGAAATTTATTTTTTTGAAGGGCTAAATCTACTTACAAATCACCTAAACAACCAGCCGTATCAGTCGACTTTCGATAGTTGTTCAATATTCTTTCGATTTTTTCCTTGCCATGATTCGCTAATGCGGATTGATTTAGAAGATCCTCATCAATCGATTCGAACCCGTTAGCTATCAGGAATTTATATAATTCAATTTTATCGCTAAAGTAAAATATGAGATTTAATGTTCAGGTTTGCAATTGACCTTACCTGATATTTAATTCATCCATGTTGATCAAACTCTCGATAACTCAAGCCAATAATAAATAAAATCGAAAACACAAGGTGGCGACACTAAATAAGAAATTTATTTTTATTTTGAAAGAAAACACCGCGCGTGATTATGATAAGATTGGTAGTTTGATGATAGAGAATATAATCCAATTTAAAAAAAATCCAATGATGTCAATTTGATTAATCGATGTTTTTAAAATTAATATCGACGATTATTATAATACCCGCCGCCACCATGGCCGCGTGATATGTCAGACGAGTGATTTAGTCGCGATGACATCGTTCCACTGGTACTACCAATACTGCTTGATAATATCCGAGGTGATGTGTGATGATCATAGCCAGCGGAAGAATTCCATCCACGATTTTCGGTGCTGATACCACTAGCTAATCCAGTGGTCATCCAGGAATCCATTGATGGTTGCTGCCAGCGCTTACTAGTCAAATCTGAATATCGATCTGGTCGACTACCAGTTTCATAGTTATTTCGACTGCCAGAAATCGCACCAAATGATGATCGTGGATTGATTTTTCGTTCCACGGGACTTCTACGGGAATCATACCTACGAACAGAAGTAAAATCGCGTCTGGGATTCTAAGAGTAAATAATTGAAAAAACAAATTCAAATACTCACCTATTATAATCATCATAACGTTTCTCTTCATGATGCACGAATGGGGCTCCATCGTCGAATGTTCCAGCTGCATTGTTGCGTTTGATCATTGAACGAATCCGATTTGGTGGGCTTGCTTCATTTTCGGTACCAACGACGACACTGCTGCCGCCACCACGTTCGAATTCAAATCTTGATTTCCTTTCGATTTTAATATATTCGGCTTTTTCTTGTTCGAAACGCAAACGTTCCATTTTCAATTTTTGTCTTTCGCGATCCAAACGCGATGATGCTTCTCGTTCATGGCTTCGTACATCACGATGAGGGCCGCCCTGGCTACTTGATGATGATAATCGTATAGGTGGTGTCCTTATCAATTTTGATGGCAATGAAGTCCGAGGAGGTCGATGAAATGATCCACGAGTGCTTGGTCGAAAAGAAGGAAGAGGTCGTTTCGGTAATGGTTTGGCTTGAATTTTTCGAGATTCACTGAAGCCTATTTTTTCGACTTTTTTACCGTCACTGTCCTTGTCGACTGGTCTTTCCTATAAAAATATATCATAGAGAAGAGGATTTTTTGTTTTTCATTGATGAACGATGAGCAATAAGATTTAAGATTTACTTTAAACAATTCAATTTTGCTTCCCCGAAATTCAGTTTTGTTCAATTTATCCAGACATCGTTGAGCTTGATCATGTGATTCAAGTTTGACAAAACCAAGTAATGAATTATTGCCGCCACGAATAATCTTGATGGCCAACACTTTTCCATGTTTCGCGAATATCTCTTCCAATTGGGTTGATTTCGTACCAACTGGTACTCCGCTTACCCATAAATAACGTGTTTTAGCAAGATCGACTTTTTTCGATCGTGGTTTTGGATCTCGAGCCGGGCTGTCAATCGAATCGTATTAATTAGGTAAAAATTGATTTTTCTTTTTTTTGCAAGACAAATATATCTTTAGTAGAAATTCACCTTTTCCTCCTGACAGTACTTGATGATGATGATTTCTTTTTTCTGTCAGTATTTTTAGTTGAAGAATTAGCTGCTTTTTTAGAATCCGACGATGATTGCTTTCGTTCTTCTCGATCATCATCATCCACGATTTCCTCATCTTCTTCATCACCTTGACCAGCACTTTCTATCTCTTCCATCTCATCTTCACTCTGATAATCGTTGGATTCATTGTCAATATCGCTTGGAACATCATTCATAATGAATGAGCGATCATTATTTTTAGTTTTACCATTTTTTCCGCCATTAGAAAATTCTTCATCATCATCATATGAAGCCATCGTTTGTTCTTCTTGCTATGGCTAATGGAAATATTATTCTGAAAGAATATTTTGTTTCGAACTTTTTTGAAAATTATAGAAGATAATAAGAGATTGGTTTATGATTTAGAAAAATTAGTTTGATTTATTATTAATATAAGTAATATTTTTGGTAGAGCTGATCGTTTGACCACCATATAATAATAGTGATGATCTTCGGTCATTATATTATCATTTTAGTAACGTGCATCTGAATGTTCTGAATAAATAGAATTTTTTTCTCTGTCTTTCTTTATTCAAGGCAAACATTTTATACTTCAAGAAATTTTTTGCTTTTTGAAAACTCTGATATGAAATTTTCGGTCATTTTATATTTTCACTGTTCTATAATGGTTTTTTTTTAATATTTAAAAATTACGTAGTTGAAGAATCACATTGATTGTTTCTTTTTCAATTCGAAGTGAAAATGGAATCGAATCAAAATGATAATATATAATAAATATAATGATTAGGCAATCGGAATATTTTTTCTGATTTTATTTATTTGAATTTTTTTTTCTTACCAAAGAAAATTGACTTACCTGAACAATAAGGATGATTTGATGAGAGTGAAACACTCAAAATTTTTGCTCGAATTAAAGACGCTGTATGATAAGTAAAATGGTGGGTTGTTTGCATTCTCAGCGACACACACACGTTTCGAGTGAAACAGCTCAATTCAGCTCTTTTGTTATTTTCCGACTATTTACACTTTTCTTAACCACGTGAATCGAATTGGATTAATTGTAAAGAAACGACAATGGTATTTTGATTAACATTGATAATTTGTTTTGCGATGATAATCCATTCTTTTTTAAAAAATATTTTCAAATGAGATATAAGGAAAAAAACAATTATTCAGGATTCTGCCAAAAAAAATGAATTGATATAATTTATAGATTAACCTTACAGATTCAATCTAAAGTTAACTTCGGTTTATCAAAGAAGTTATCGCTAATTGAAGTTACCACTGTATTTTTCAAGAATTTTTAATTTTATTAAATTCGAAATTTCATTTTTTTCTTTATATTGAGAATGCTAAAAAATAAAAGCTCATTTTGTGAAACATGGTGGTATTTGCTTTGCAAGTTTTCGGTTTTTTTTTTGAATTTTCTGAAATTGGAATTTTATTGATGTTGTTTGATTTTTTTTTTGAAATTCGATTTGAAAATCGTTGTTTTCATTTAAAAATCGGTTCAAGAGACGATTCTAACATGTGAGCAGAGTGGCGCAGCGGAAGCGTGCTGGGCCCATACATCAAAAGTTTCTTCGAATATTCTACTTTCGAATGCTTGAGATTCGTAACCCAGAGGTCCGTGGATCGAAACCACGCTCTGCTATAATTTTTTTTCAAGAATTTTTTTTATTTATTTAACATTGAGAAAATTAGTTTATAAAATTTTACAATTTCAATTGTTTCGGGACGTTTGTCGGGTTTCAAAGATTTACATTTTTGATGAATCCAATCAAGTAATCGTAGCTGAAAAGATATGCTTTTAGAATTTCTACCATCATTAATAATCCAATGGCAAACATCGGGCACTTTCCAAATATCAGTTTTATGATCATAACCTTCATTGTTTGGATATCGTTGTTCGGGTGCTGAGAATTCTCCGAAAATAGGTCGATGTCCACATTTGATTGATCCATTAATAGTTTGTGGCAAAGCATCCATATCATTAATGATAATCAAACGGTCATCATTTGTTATTAAATATTGTGATAATGTTTTAGTCAGATCATTTGAATCACACATAACCATATAATTCTGATGTAAAAAATGTAAAATTTCAACATATCTTATACAATATGATAAACGATTGGCAAAATTGGAATTTTGTGCATTTAAAATCTCACGCAAATTGTTCATATCACCATATAAATAGTATGGAGTGAATATTGAATTTCCACATACACCAAGCAATTCGATAATGAAACGATAATTTTCACTTCGAAATTTTATTAGGTTTTCAATGTTTGCTTGAAAATCTTCTTTGAAATCATTTATTGTTAACGTTGACATAACCAATGGTTGATGATTCCATTCGATTAGCCAGATATTTTTAACCGTTCCTCTAGCCAAAATACGTATTGGATTCATGAATTGAACATCGTTACAATCAAGATAAGAATAACAGCCGAATGTTAAACAAAATTGTGCGGAAAAATATTTAGATTTGATGAAAAAAGTTACATGGAATAAGACGATTACAAAACAAAAAAAGATGAAAAATTTTAATGCCATTTTTATGTGAAGCAAAAGCGTTAGGAATTTACAACAAAAAAAACGAATCTAAGTTTATTATGAAGAACTAGATTCTATCAAGAGATTCAAGTAATACTACTGCGTTTCCACGGATGACAACCATACCGATAGGTATCTGTTGATTACGTTTATTGATTTCTACCGCTTCATCAATAACTAGATTCATAAATGGATCAAAACCCCGTAGAATGCCGGACACTTGACGGTTACCGTTAAGTTTTACTGAAATTATAAAAATTTTTTGTCAAAATTTTATTTGGAAAAGAAATTTTAATAAAATACTTACATGACAATCGTTTGTCCATATATTTTTTGAGTTCAGGTGGATGTGCTCTGCTCATTTTTTTCGAATAATTATCAAAGTAATTTTTAGAAAAATTGAATTGAATTTGAAAAAAAACTAAAACTAATTCGAATAATGCAATATTGAACAGCAACAAACAAAAGGAGTGTGTTCGGCACAACTTGAAAATATTTATTCATAAATGAGGTAAGGAAAGAAAAATGGCTCCGATTGACGAAAATCGTAAACGATTAGATCAAATTTTTCGATGTTGTTTTGATTCTTTTTAGATCGAATTAAAATTTATAAGTCAATCCGAATTCAAAGGCCTTATATTCATTTTAATTCGAAAAAATTGGTGAAAAAAGGATCATAGATTGATTAATTTTTATTTTAAAAAATTTGTCATTAGCATTAGAGGCGCACTCTGTTGTCAAAATAGTTCGAGCACTAACGCTTTTTATGCTATTAAGAGTGGAGCGCGCTAGTTTTTGTGAAAAACAACGCCTCATAGCGACAATTAAAATAACACCGTTTACAATTGGTCTTTCTTTTTCACCCCAAATAGCACTCGCAATTCATCGTTGAATGTGCAAAGCTCGAGTTTTATAATAAAAATCGTTTTTCTATTGAATTTTCTGTGAAATCCAAAATATTAATGGATCAGAATTTAAAATATTCATTGTTTATTTTGATTTGAGAATCATAAAAATATTTAAATCACCTTCATTACGTAATTCTGACACAAACATCAATCACGACGACAATGTCAGCCGCATTACGTAGTTCGGACCTTAAATATCCTCCAGGGTGTCGTGAGATCACAGAAGAATTGCCCACAGATGATCTCATCAGAAGGTAAATTTAATTTTGAATTTGATTTCGAATGTATACGATCATTCGATAATTGATCGAATTTTTTTGATGGAATTGTTGTCGGAAATTATTTTTGTTGCATCAAATCGATTTGTATATAACCGCTTTGATTCAAACTAAATGGCGCCATCTCTTTATTCTTTTAGGGCTCATAATTTCAAAATGATAATTTCAATTTTTTTTAATTTTCAATTTATTTCTGCATAGGCTCAAGGATATTGCCATGGCATTTCAACAAATGTCACAGGAAGAGAATAATAAAATCTACATTCCATTGGCACTATATCTGGGTAATATTCATTTCTGATATGATATTCATAATGACAGTTTAATTTTTATAATTGACAGCCAGTGACTTTTTTCTTGAACATTCATCACGCGATGTTCGATTGTTGGTCGCCTGTTCCATTGCTGATGTATTTCGTGTGTTTGCACCAAATGCTCCATATGATCGAGCAGATATAATCAAAAGAATATTCATGTTTTTCATTCAACAGTTAAAAGGGCTACAAGATCCGAAAGATGCTACATTTAAACGTTATTTCTATCTTCTCGAAAATCTTGCCTGGGTTAAATCATTCAATATTTGTATCGAACTGGAAGATTCTCAACAAATTTTTTGCGAACTATTCTCACTAATGTTCAAGGTAAGTTCATAATTGGCTAGGAAAAAAATACCCTGAATTTGATCATTTTCCCCTTAATTAGATTGTAAATGAGAATCATAGTGAAAAAGTCAAAAATTTTATGTTAGACGTTTTGAAACCGTTGATAATTGAATCGGATACAGTTTCGACGAAATTGTTGCAGATAATCTTGATGCAGATTATCGATCCAAAAAAATCGACTAACAAACAGGCCTATTGGTTAGCATCCCAAATCCTTGATAAGACAAGTAGCACATTGGAACCTTATATATCGTCATTTTTCTCTAAAGCGATAACACGTGGTGTAAACGAAAATGGTGACGTTTCAGACGGTGAAAATGAGGACGAAGAAATGACTGAATTGAAGCAAAAATTTCGCAAGAATAAATCCAATTCAAACCCGATCGAAGTAGCTCAGATATGTGATTTAATTTATGAATTGAATCAAATCTGTCCAAATATTGTCAACGGCCTTTTGCCACATATCGAATTCAAATTGAAAACAAACGAAGAAAAAGAGCGTTGTGAATACACTAAACTTCTGGCTCGTCTATTTTCTGATCGTAATTCAGATTTGGCCAAAAATTTTCCCGAAGCTTGGAAACAATTTCTTGGACGTTTTAGGGATATCAGCGTTTCGGTACGAGTTCGCTGCTGTCAATATTCTATGCATTTTCTTGTGCATCATAAAGATTTGCGACAAGATATAACTGAACAGTTGCGACAACGACAGCATGATGCTGATGAAAATGTTCGCTATGAAGTTGTCATGGCTATTGTTAGTGCCGGTAAAAAAGGAATTGAAAATATTAATGAAGATTTGTTAGGTTTCGTCAAAGAACGTACCCTGGACAAAAAATTCAAAATTCGTCGTGAAGCGTTGTTGGGTATGGCGCAGTTATATAAACAATACAATTATCATATATCCACATCGGCTGCTGCACACCAATCAGATCCTGAATCTACAGAAGCTGCACAGGCTTCATTGCGAATGCTGAGCTGGATCAAGAATAAGTGTATGCACAATTATTATCAAGCACAATTGGAAGACAAATTATTGGTCGAACGAATCGTTCACACCTGTTTGGTTCCTTTTTCGTTAAATCTTTCTCAACGGATGAAGGCACTGTACATGTTTTATTGTTCGATTGATGCTCGCGCTTCTCGTGCATTCAATGAACTTCTTCGTCAACAACAAGCTGTTCGTCGACAGATGAAAGATGTTATGGACATTATTTGCCGAACGGAAAAAATTGAAGATAAAGATATGATCTTGAAGCAAAAAGTTTCATTGGTTGCAAAAAATCTCACCGAACCTGTAAAAGCAGAGGAATATATAAATAAATTGTGCCAGAATCTTGAAACAAACGTAACAGCTAAACAACACATGAATATGATCGTTACATCGGCTTCATTTATACAATTGACTGAAGATGGAAAATATGTACCACCAGCATCTTCGGCCACAATCGAAAATTCCGTCCGCGAGATCCTCAAATCTCTTGGATTTCCCGTTCAGACAAATTCATTCTATATGATTATTAAACAACTAATGGAACGAATTGCCCCGATCATGATTGATCATCAAGGATTACTGATGATATTCAACTATGTTTCCGATTCATTGATTGGCGATGGAGAATTGGATGGCCAGATGGGCTTGCATAATTCTGCTATTCGTGGATTACAACTGATTGAAGTAAGTCATATTTATTTGATTTAATGATAGTCTATATTTGTCTCGTTGATTTTCAGATTTTATCGGTCGTTTTTCCTGCTTTATTCTATGGCCGAGATATTTTCAACACTTATCTATTGCCATTTTTATGGCAATGCGATGGAAATCCTGAAGTGGCCGAAATTGTTTTACAAATTTTGACCAATATAGGTGCAACTGCTTTTTCTGATTCAGATACTATGGAAAATACAATCATTCCTTGGTGGGCAGAAAACGAAGATTTCGTCACTCGTTTAATCGATAAATTTATCCTCAACGGTAATGATTTTTAATAAAATTTAATGAAATTTTTTCAATAATGGCATAAATATTCTGATATAGCTTCGACAACAAAACAAGCCAAATATGCTATCAAATGTTTGAATTCGATCATATTGGATGAGAATGAAAAGATTAAGATTTATGGCGATATTATCGACAAGATCAAAGAGGCCGGTCTTTCTTTAGAATCTACACCATATTTTCGTTTTCATTTAGTTGCACTTGGTATGATCGCTGTAAATGGTGGTCATTTATTTTTTCCGAAAATGTTACGTTCTATTGTTCAGAAATTTATCGTACAAGGATTGTTACTAAAAGATATACGAACAGAATTGGAAATCGAAACACTGCAAAAGTCTGAGGACGAAAAAGATCATAATAATGATCTTAATTCAATTTATGAATTTCTAAGCGATGAAGTTAAAGCTAAACATGAAGGTATCAAATTACTGGTTCGATGGATTTTTGGTCTGAAATTAAATTCAATTTTGGTCATACAAGAAAATCAGGCAGATGCAAACAGTAAGTTTTTTAGTTAAAAAAAGAATTTTTCTAAAAAATCATGAACTAGGTACCTATCAGAAAGCTGCGTCCAATGCTTTTCAATTATTGAAGACGATTATTAAAAATGGTGGCGATTTGAACGAGAATGACCGTGCCGGTACCGTTGTGGAGAAATCATTTCTCAAACTTACGGCTGCATTGGCCATGATAAAGATTGCTTCTAATGATGCACTTTCATCAATTTCTTCGAATAATGAGCCTGTGTTTCAAAAGTCGACATCAACATTGGATATAATGTCCGTTCATCAATGGCATTGTTTGGCAACTGTTTTACTTGATCCCCAGGAATTTGTTCGCGAAAAGTTTCTTAGCAAATTAAACAAAGGTCTTATGTCATTGAATTTGGGACTTGAATTTTTGGCTTATTTTTCACTGGGTGGAATATTTGAAAATAATGTGTTCAGGAATAAGATGAAAACCTTTTTACATTTGAATATGGTAAAACGGCGTGATATTGTTAAATCACGATTGACCCCAAATTTGAAAAGCGTTGTACCTGAATGTGTCATGCCATTTGTCATACATCTATTGGCTAATATGCCATTCTTCACTCAGCACGATGATATTGATCAATTGGAAAAACTTAAAGGTTTGCATTTATTCAGTTTTTTCTTGCTCATTTCTCATTGTTTTTCGCTAAAACAGAATGTCTTTGGTTTGTTTTGGAACCATTGGTATTGAAAAACGAACTTTATTCGTTTTCATTTTTTAAAAAAACATTCGAAAATATAAAACAGTGCGTAGATCGTGTGACCGCTTCACAGGTGAAAGCATCTAATAATGATCCTAACGTTGTTAAATTGGCCACAATTGTCAATCATAAAATATATGCAGTAGCTGATCTGGCAATGGGCCTAGTCATATGTAAAACGCAAAATTTTCTGCTCAAAGAATTTCCTGTGCCACCTAGTTTGCCAGGAAAATATTTTACCGCCTCTTCTAATGCTGACAATTTAACAAAAAATTATCTGCCCGTTGAAATGCAATTTCAACCACCGAAACGTTGTGGTCTTGAAACAGAAATGTTAGGCCGTTTATCGAAATCATTTTCACAGGTAAGAATAATATAATTCTTTTGCTTTTATTCTTGACTTATTAATCATGAATTTCGAAACAGTCAAATTCTGGTAAAAATAAAAAGAGCGGAAAATCAGCAAAAAATCAACATCAACAACAACATTCTTTGAATAACGATAATCTTATTGATGAGTCAAGTTTGGTCGATCAAAATGATAATTCCAACAATTCATTGATTCAACAACAATCGAATACGACTGGTTCTAGAACACGAAAACAGCAAATTGTAATGTGTTCGGATAATGAAAATGATTCCAATCAATCAGTACCGTCAACAAGTAATGCAGTTAATAATAACGATATAAATGTGACTGCCAGCGTCGATATTGATGATATTGAAAAAGAAAAGTCAGATGACCATACTTTGATCAATGAAAAATCAGAATATGATTTCGATGATGGTGACGATCAACAACAACAGCCACAACAAATTAATCGAACTTCTTCAAACACTGTAGAATCTGTTGGTGATTCTGCCTCCAGTGGAGGACAAAAACGTGGTCGTGGTCGTCCTCCATCCAAACCTGTACCTTCATCAACTGCGGTAGTGAATAAAAACGATACTCCCAATCAAGCATCATCACCTTCAAATCGCGATGGATCACCACCACGCAAATCAGCTCGTATAGCTCACAAGTAAGTTGATGTCACAAAATTTGAGTAAACCTCTGATTTTTGGTTTTGTCGTGCAGATCACCTCGTCGATCCCCATCTCCTGAGCCATCCATCGAATTGTCATTATCTTCCTCTCCTTCAACTGTAACCGTTGCGACAAAATCAAGCGGTCGTCCACCCTCGCCCCAAGCCACATCAACTCCAATTCCTACTCGACAAACAACACGTACAAGCGGCCGTCTGGCCGGAAAAAAATAGCCCATACATTGCACTTCAAAACAAGTCATCATTATCATTGAATCATTCATTCATCTTTTATTTCATTTTGCTTTTAGCAGGAAATAATTTTTTGGTAGCAAAATATCTTTTCCTGATCCCACCATGGAATGAGCAGCCAATTGATTCATAAATTCTTCTCATCATTATTATAAATATTGCATTTTTGCTCTCTTTTCTCGAATGTGTTAATCAATAATCATCGATTTTTTACCACCATAAAAATTTCCCGGAACGAAAACCTATCACAATTTTTATTTGACCAATTCAGATAAAATCATTATTATTATATATTATTTTTTATTTGAAAAGATTAAAAAAATCATAATTTATAACGAATCAAGATTTTATTTTTTCAATTTTTCAACAAAAAAGAAAATTGAAAGATTTAAATTTACGCGCTTTAATTATTTAACCTCGGTTACAATGCCATCTAAATACTGTTGACTGCAAATTAAATAAGCGTATTTGGTATACACTACCCGATTTTCATCAAATTTTTCTTATAAAGAAAAATACCACTACCACAATTCATATTCTCTCTGTGCAGATCCGTTCATTCACCATTTGATAACCATGCTTTCATTGGATGATATTTTGTTGATGATGAGCAGTTCTGCTCCATCTGTGTTTATGAATGAACGGAATATATGCATGAATAAAATGAAAAGATTCAGTTTTTGTTTGCCTTGCGCGCCTCAAGTAATGGCGGTAACCGAATAAACTTGAATTTCAACTTACACAACCAACCAACATCATCGCGGCTGTTTGAAAAATATTATTTCCATTTATATTTTCTTTCTGTTTGCGTCCCTTGTTGTTGTTGTTTTTCATCATGTTAGGTTCGAATGAACATACGACATGACATGACCGACTCTGTCTATTTCAATGTTGGTGCGTGTATAAATGGTGATGAACCTATGAACGTTTTTTTTCGTTGTTTTTTTTGGGGTTTTTTTTTTGGTTCACCAATTTTTATCCCTGAGCTTTCGTTCAGTGAGTCGTCTAGCTTGCTTGGTGGTGGTTCCAAATCTGATTATGTTTTTTTTTGGTGATGAAAATTGAAAATAAATACAACGATTGTTATGGAATAAAATTGACTAACATTGAATTAATGTGACGGTGTCTGACCCCTATGATGTTGATGTTGATACGGTGTTTGGTTTTGGTCATGACGAATGGTTGACTCATCATCATCATTTTAAACGAAGGGTGCTGAATGCCTGGATGTGTATTATTTTTGGATTTTTATTCTGGGTGCCATTCAAAAAAAATGTGGATAAAAATAATGATTCTTATTGAAAAAACATAGAATAACTATAACGATTCTAAGTTTGGTGATTGCCATATTTAATTTTAAAAAAATTATTCAAAATGGCTTTTCATCGATACAGCCGTTATCATGACCACCACCATCATCATCATCATCATCAACGTTCGAATTTTCGAACGCGAAGAAAATCATTATCTTCCGATGAGAATTATATCAATCCGATCTCATTATCAAGAATGTTCAACTTAGTGCCATCATTTAATCATTCAATTCTTTCATTTATCATCATATTCTATCTTATTCATCTTCAAATTATAGTGATGACACAAACATTGTCATCATCATCATTATCATCATCATTTACATCTGGCCATTCATTATGTAAGTATAATCATTTTCAGCATTCTAATATTCATCTTAATTGTTTATGATGATTTCATTCACTCAAAATAAAAGAATTCTTCTTGTCATTCAATCAATGAATCATTCATATACGAACACAATTGATGTAAGAGTGGTTTTTCTTTGGAATTATCATTTAATTTTTCATTCAGTTCATGTTTTTACTTGTATAAATCATTACAGAGTTAATTTTATTCACGGATGATGATGATGATGAAAGTGGATGAAAGTCAAGAATATTGTGTTCAACAACAATCCCATTGAAATGAATGTTTTTCATCCCCTGATTCTTGTCGTTGTCGATTATGCTAACTGGTCATAACATACTTGTTTTTTCATTTCATTTTTTGGCTTGTTCAGCAAATTTTCAAAATTTTAAAATAAGGAAAAAAAAGAAATTCAATTTACATTCAGAACAAACTTTTTTGCTGTTGTCGTTGTCGTTGTCAATTTATAATTTGACATTTCAAAAAAAAGAGAATGTTGTCATCGAAAACAATCTGATATATCGACATCTAATACTACCTTAAAAATATTTCAAATAACTATTACTTATGACTTATATAGATTTTTACTTTTCTGGATTCTGAACTTTTTTTTTCATATTATTTAAGAACATTAATATCTTTCGGAAAGATTTTTTCTTGATAATTTGTATATGTGTGTGTGTGTGTCGTTTCCGTTTGTTTCTTTTTTTTTGTCGTTTCGTTTCGTTGGTTTCATTAATAGTTAGTTGTACACATCATTCCTATAGAACCTTTTCCATCTTAATCATCATCATTTAAAGAATGATGATGATGATGCTTTTACTATTATTTGTTTTATTGTGTGTTATAATATGATGAAACCGAATGTGATTGTGATTTTTTTTCGTAGGCTGCTTATTTTTCATATCCCTTCTTCCTGCTTGAAACGAAACACAACAAATAAATATAAATATGAAAGAAATGATGCAAGCCTTTCCATTGTGTGTTTGTGTGATCCATTTTCATTAGTAAAATTGTTATTTTTTTTCCTATTTTTGGTACATATTAAAACAAAAGTCAAACAAGAATATTGTATATATTTCTATCTATCTTAAATTTGACATAATCTGGAAGAAAAAAATCTGTTTTCATCTTGCTTTCGGTTAGTTAGCTAGTTTTTTTTTGATTTCAAAGTTTACAATTAACAAAATCCAGTAAAATAAATGTATTTTGCTTGCTATAGTTGATAATTTTGGTGTGCTCTCCATCTCTGTGATATGTTTCGAATGATTCAACATTGTTTTTGAAACACATACTTCATTTCACTTCTTCCAAGTGTTGGAATCCTTTTAAAACATGAAAGAAATTATAAATAATAGAGCTAATTTTATGCTAAATTCCATATATAATCTTTTCAACCAAAGATTATTATGAGGCTAATTTTTATTTTTTGCTCGAATAATATTTCTCATTATGGTAATTATTCTTGATCATTTTTTTTCACTTTATATACATTAAGTTCAAAGTTGTCACTGAATTTTAATTTGAAATAGTTGTTGTTGTTGTTGTTGATAATATTCTTGACGGTTAATTTTAATGTAATGCATTAACTCGATTAAAGTTTTTTTCTTTCATTCTAAAATCATGTTGTCCGATGATTTCAACCGTTGATGACAACATTACTATAGTGAGAAATAAAAATTTTCATCACCGAAACTGAAGAATTATGAGAGATTATTATGATAAAAAAAAAGTTTTCTTTATAGAAATAAAACTTGACAATGGATCAAAATTGTTTTGACACTTTTTTTCATTTCACGTTGAAATTTTCAATTCACCAGGTTTTTTGTTCCACTGCTTTGACTTTGATTTTTTCCTCTTCACCAGTTAATAATGACTGTGGGAATTTCACCAGATTATATTCATTGTTTTTGATTGACTGATTTTTTTGTTGTTGTTGATTATTATTATTTCCAGATGCTAATTATCGTTTCCTGAATCTCGAATTAATTTTTTTTTTCGGTGATAAAGTACCAAATATACAAATTGAATTCCATTCTGTATATGAATCATTTTGTTTTGTGTGTGTGTGTGTGTGTTTGTGAAAATTTGCTCAAATGGATCTATCATATGCATTTTTTTTCGTTATTTTCATATATGATGATAATTATTTCCAAATGAATAATATTCTGACACGTACAGAAAGCAACAACATATGGAAATACTATAATGGGATATCAAGTTTGCTTCAATGATCTTTTTCGTTTGTTTTTTTTTGTTGTTGTTGCTAGAATCGATGATATTCACTGATAACGTCTGATGACGCACTGATGTTATTATCATTATCTGTTATCGTTTTTGTTTTCAATTCAAATTTAATATCTATTTCGATAGATAGGTCTAGAAACAGGAAACTCAATGGAATGTTTTTCTTTTTCTCTCTCTCTCTTTTTCAAATAGGGTATTCCATTTTTTTCCTCTGTTTCTATTCTGTTGTATATTTGTATCATCGTTATGCAAATAAGTTCTAATAAGCTAGAAAATTCTATCCCATTCATTTGTTTCTTGAATTTCATCTATGTTTATTGCTTCTTGTACTTTGTATATTTACATTCTTTATAGAATTTTTACCACTTTTCTGTAGTTTTTTTGGTTCTATTATGTTTTCATCGCTTGATATTATATTCATGTGTTTGCTTATGATGTTTCTTTCAACAATTTTTGTTTGCCATATTTTTCTGTTTATATTGTTTTGATTTCCTTTTTTTTTATTTGCCAGATATATAATATTTTCGTTATAAATAGTAAATATTTAACAGTTTTTTTTCTATCCAGGAAAACTGGAAACATATTGCTTGTCTAACTTGAAACAAACAAATGAAAGTGCCGTATAATTAATTTCACCTGTTTGTTTGGGGTTTTTCCATGGTTATTTTGTTTTGTATGGTTCATTTGATGAAATTCTTGCGGAAAGAAAGTTTTTTTTTCTGGCTATGTAAATTTGCCACCGGTAACATACACCCTTTTTGATGAAATATTCAGTCTGTGTCTGATTTTCTCCTTTAAACTTATGGAATTCATTTTGTTTAATTATTTTCATAGTCAATCATTCCTTGTTATTTTTTTACAAAAAAAAATAATAATAATCATGACGAATCATGATGACATTTATTCTTCATTTATCATTCATTCTCAAATAGACCTTGTCAAAATTCATTAAAAAATCCATATGGTTTATTGAGATTGCCATAGGCGTCTAGCCGGATTGACCATCCTAAAAAGTATTTTTAATCAATTTTTTTTCAAAGAATAAAATGTTCAATTTTTGCCATATGTATTCAATTCAACGATTCCATCTGCCTCATATTTTGACCAACAATATAATTTTTTTTTGTTTTCATAGAACAACTCCACCTTTAAGCGACAATTAATGTCCTGTTTTTTTTTCATTCATATCGGTTGGTCCATAAATTTAACTCTATTCATTGATAGTAGACATTTTTAGTTGTTGTTAGTCATCCTGGACAATATTCGAAAGTGATTAGTAGTGTGTGTAGCCAATGGTCAGCCATTTGTTTGAGTTTTCTATTTGAAAACATAGAAAATGTGTTTTTATATTCCTGTATTTATCCATGTATGTCAAAATATAATTAATAAAGTCCTTTTTTTGTTCCTGAAATGGATCTCATTTCTCGAACCTTGGTCTATGGAATCCGGCATTATTTTTATATATGTTTGAAATTCGACTAAACCAAGCATTCTCTACCGATGAGACAATGTTGATGTATTGTAGTGTGCACAGAATTAGAAATGAATCCTAATAGGATTTTGGTCTTCGTGATGATGATGATGATGATGGTTGGTGGTGTTGGATCGTTCCAAAAAAAACCAACATACAGCTGCCACCACTACCATTTCACGATAACCTATGACTCGATCCTTGTTATCAGTCACATCTACCAAAAAAAAAAATTTGAAGAGAAAAAAATGTTCCATGATTGTGGGTGAGGCCAGGCTTGTGTTGTTGAATACACCGCTGACGTAATTTTTTTCGTTTTGATCTTACCCAATTTTTCGATATAATAGCTTTACCCAGCAAAAAAGAAAAAGAAAAATATAAATAAATAAATTCAAACGAGAAAGTTTGATTTTTCTTTTCCTTTTTTTTCTCAACCATGATTATATTCTATTTCACGTTCCATTCATTCATTTCTAGATATAAATTCATAATCATAATATTGTAACCTGTATGTGTAATATAGTTGTAACTCTCATGAGATTTTTTTTCCTCAACAATCGATACACAATGATCAAGTCATTGAATAGTATTGACAGTTTCATTGCTTATTTGCCAATGATGTCAATGATGATGATGATGATGAAGTTGATAGTCGCTTTTTTCAATCTTCGACATTGAAATCAATAGACCAAGTTAGTTCATTGATACTATTATTCATTATTTTGACTTCTCAGTTGATCCTTCATCAACAACAACAACAATATAAAGATATTTGTTGTTTATATTTCGAAATTATTTAATTTAAGAATTTTGCTCTTATGTCTTATGGTCTGCTTCTATTCATTTACTTTATTATACTTATTTTTTTTTTAATATTCTTGGAAAACAACAACAAAACTTTCGAAACATCTAAACATTTGGATTCATTCATTCAGCCAATCAAATTCTGTTTTTTTATATAAATATTTTTGATTCCCAAATGAACGACCATCGACCAAACAATGAACGACCATATGTTAGAATAGTTGATTTTTTTGCCATTCTTTTTTCTTTAAAATTTTAAAAAGTTTTTAACCGAAACTTAAATTGTCTGGAATTTTTTTTCTTTTTCTTCTTCTCCTGTTTGTTTACTAAAAAAAAGAGAGAATTTTTTGTTTGTTGTGTTCTGGAACAGTGAATGAATTTCTTCTTTATTTCAAAAATAAAAATAAAAAATCGAAATTTACAATTCACGTTATTTTTAGTTTTCTATCATGGTTTTCTTTTTAATCACC